GCAGGAATAAGTTGGAAATAAAACGTTCACTCTATTTACACCGTTTTACTATTATATGTACATATATTAATTAAAATGTCCATGGATTGTTTGATTATATAATGTTCTGAAGTTCGATTACCCCCGCGGACGTATTCACAATTTTGTAAATATTATTGCAAAATTACATTGTTTATATAAAGAGTGTGGGTGCAAGACGATCTCAAAAATTTTCCATGAAAAACAGGCCGTGGGTACATAAATAGATCGTTACCGGGATCAAGGAAAATGAGCGTAAATAATACGTTTGCACAAATAATAGAATGTACGGGCTGTGTGGCATTAAACATATCATTATGTATTCAATCTCTGAATAACTCATCAGGAAATATACAGAGATATTTGAGGAATTGTAAATTTTCCTTTGACGAATAATGTAAAAGGGAAAATTACAAATAAGCCGCGCCAAAACAGCTTTTACAAAACATCTTAGTTGGTGGTTACCTACATCCTACCTATCCACTATAAAGGTTGGGATAGCCGTTACACTCGTCACAGTGAACTATACTCATCTTCGGAGATAAAAAAAACAGTTGAGATCTTATTCTTAAATCTCTAGGCGGGTGGCGAAATTGAGAGAATGTGATGTATGTGTGTATGTCGGCATTGGTTACCATCTAATGCAAAAAAAAAATACGGTCCCCGTCTGCAGGATATAATACATCAGGATAGTCGTCATCAGCTCAATTCAAATACGCACGTTGTCTAATTTTTTAAGCCACAGGTACATTTAGAGTCCAAAATCAGTCACGCATAGCAGACAAACCGTGGAATTTAAAGTTATTAAAGTAAACGTAAAAGTTAACATAACAATATCTCTTTTCCGTTATAAATATACTCTAGTAACTGATTTCATTCGGTAAATCACGAAATATAATCTGTGGCTTTGTACCACTTAGACAATGAGATCGACCGAGATGATCCAGACGTACCACTTACGGCCATCTACAATTAACATAATAAGTTTAATCGGTGGTTTGTGGAACCTTTTTTATTATATGTATAATCTGAAAGGGGTTTGAGAAGATGAATGAGAAGAGTCAAATATCAGGTTCATTAACTTGATATTTGTCCAGCGATATAATAATAATATAGACTGTTGATTGGGAGTGGAAGATGTTGATAGAAACGCTAACACTAGGCGTCATATTACAGGAAAAATATTGATTTCGCTAAAAATATACATTTTAGGGTTTTTCACAAACGTACGTAACAAGTACCAAGAATTTAGCTGTAGATTTATCTCAATTTTCTAAAAGCCTTTTATACGCCCAGCGTTTCAGAGTAACATTAGGTAGGTAAGTAGATAATATTATTTTTACCACTTAAGGACAGCTATCTCTACAGGTATATATAAAAATGAATTGCTGTTCGTTAGTCTCGCTAAAACTCGAGAACGGCTGGACCGATTTGGCTAATTTTGGTCTTGAATTATTTGTGGAAGTCCAGAGAAGGTTTAAAAGGTAGACAAATATAAAAATGCTCGGAATTAAATAAAAATAACAATTTTGTTTTTCTTTTGATGTATCCCCCGTCGGGCAGATTCATTTTATTTGTTTTAAGTTTATTTTATACAAAAGCTTAGGTCTTTTATTTATCGATTGAGGCACTACGAAGTCTGCCGGATCAGCTAGTTATAGATATTATTAAATCGATAGTCAGTCTTATATTTGACGAATGGACTTATTAAAATAGTGATCACGTACTTACGCTGGTTTTTACACTGAAAACATAACTATTTGTGTTAAAAAAAAATATTTACTTTAATTTAAATAATGCATTTAAAATGTTTAATACAAAAGGCAGCTCCATGTTTACCTAGTTTACCTAAGACATTATGTTAGAACAGGTGCGTCGTTTGAAATGACGCGAATGTTGATCGTAAACACGTATCATATATGTATTTATCACGCTCGTATTATTCGTTTTAGTGAAAACAATAATACTTCTATTGTAGCTATTGTAGTTTTACTCTCTATGGTCACAAAGTAACAAATGCTATTTATTTTCTTCGTTATTTACAAAATCAAGAAAGCCAAAACGTGGTATAAGTACGACCCGTGTTCGGTCTTAAGAAATCCATTCATTGCTTTTCGTAAATTCCATTCTTAGGGTAAGCGTTAATTGTTTTATATTTTAAAAAAAATATCGCTACTAACACACCAGGTGGTTTCACAAGGTAGACCGACGACCTATTGAGCTTTGCGGAAATCCGCAATCTTGCGCTACCTGTACCCAGCGGAAAACTAATCGTTGTGGTGAAGCTTCGGGGAGGCTATGTCCAAAAGTGGATGTCTGTGGGCTGAAAGATAGAATAAGATAGGAGCGCTACTCATTAGTATTGAGTTTTAAAAATTGGTAAAGCCTGAGTTACACAAAACTACGAACATTTGAACTGTAGAACATAATGTGTATTGCTTAGATCTAAATGTCGAACCACTGTCCGAATACCGATCAGGTTAATTAAAAATGCTATTATACCGGCAGGGTGTCGAAAGTACCTTAACAAATATTTGAGAAAGATATGTATGGTACTGCAAAAACACACTGTAATGTTTGAGACGAAAAATCTGTACGATGAAATATAATGAATAATACGTCAATTTAAACCCAAAGTATGGGCCATACGGAAAACTAATGGTGTTACGGTAACTTAAGTAAAGATCATAGCGAACATTTCAAGGGAATATTAGAAATCTCTCGTCAACTCCACTTTTAAACTTCATACAAATTCGAGTTAACTTTTACGCGATCGAGAAGTTAAATGACTCGCACTAAGCACACTGAAGAAGTTGACAATAGAAATGCTTGGGGTCCAAGAGAAAATAATTTGAAGCAGATCTCAAATTCGTTGGACTGACCATATCAAGATTACTGCACACACTATGAACTGGTGTTCTCGCATACTCATATCGACGTTACTCAAATGACAATGCACCGTCAGAGCTATGATGGACGGTGACACAAAATGCACAACGCGATAACTGCATCAGCACTGCACTAGACCTACTAGTATAATAACAATTCTTGAGTAAGAAGAATAACTTCTAACTGGCAGAAATGTGATACCTACCCGCGTGGGCTTACAACACGCCCTGTCGCCTTAAAACATTTAAAATGAAAGATACAGATAAAGGTAGACAGATAAGATTCATCGCATCGCGCTCTCTATTCAAAAATCTTTTGTATGACTAATGTCAAACAATGTTAAGACCCAATTTATTAAACAACGTTATAGTGATTTTATGTTGTGGCACTATCTAGTTTATGATTTTTGTATCCAAAATTGAGTTCAAAATGGAATCAGGTTTTGCAAGAAGAAGCTCAACGAATGATAAAGAAATAAACGTACCAAATTTCACCCTATTTATTTTAACGTGTGCTTTAAATTCACATTCAAGTTTTGGAAATTTCGTGATGCTAGCCAGAAAATTCTTTAAATTCGACATTATGCTTGCTATATAATGCAAATTTTTTTATTGATGCTATTAAATTTCTTTGATAAATTAGCACATTTAAAAATAAAATTATATTTAACAAAAGCTTATTAACATAATAGTTTTGAGTTGAGAGCCATAGATTTATGAATTATTCATATCAGTCGCGGTGTTCAGTTGTAGCATTATTCGTAGCAGCGTAGCGTAGTGAATTCGTAGCACGTTGACGTGGCAATGGAAAATTGACAAATTATTGAAAAAATATAGAATACGATACATGTCAGAATGTTTTAAATTGAAATCCAAAAGTAGTATGTGAATGAAAAAGGAAAGTCATGCATTTATTTCTATGGATGTTGTTACTTTAAGTTCTATTGTTATTGCTAGAATCCACATAAGTAACCGTTATTTTATGCCACATTTATTGTATATTAACAGTCAAATAATTTATGCTCTGAATCTACTTGGTCAATAATAATGTTTGCTTTAGTACAAATAATATGTTTTACAAAACTAAGTTTATTTTTTAAACGAGATTTTACTTTAATCTATTTTATTTAAAAACTAATTGATGGACACTGCCAGCAATTGCGCAGTAGGGCGCCGCGTGGGCGGTCGTCTGTCGCCCAGCAACCGCCGGCGCCGACGTCTCGCGCACCCCTCCAGTTCATATACGACATTAGGCGCCACTGTTGCTGCCTACAAACCTACCTAATATTCCAAATAAACTACCTAAATTCGTAATTTTTTAGATACTAGGTACACCTAGTTTTTGTTTTAAAATCTTAAGTCAAGACTATACGTCTTGAAAATGAGATCGAAAAATTTTAGTGATCCATAATGTACCGTAGTAGTTGATTCTGTTTTAACTTTTCCATTTTATTTTATTACAAGATATATTAATACGAGATTAATTATACCGAGAACAGAGATTAAATAAAGTATCAGAAACTCAGTATAATATAATAAGCATTTATAAACTGTATTAACTTTTAGAAGCTACATACTTCTGTTGTATTTGTATCGAATGTAAGAGGCAGAGAGGAATTGACGAAAACAGAATAAGCTGTCATTTACGATGTCTTTGTAGAATGCTATAAATTTCACATGTGTTAGGAAGTATTGTGAACATGGACATGTAGGTATCCTGCCTATTATTGGCACGATGTTGTCATGCGTTTCGATTTGAAGGCTATCCACGATGAGCCGTGCGCTCGTCCACACAGGTAGAGCAGCGAAAAAGTCATAGCGCATTTCATCTGCCATTATATGTGGTATTTATTTGTCAGAATATATTGTAATGTAACTGAAGCACGCATAATAAATTAATATTATTGAGTTATTTATCGAGTAGAACATTTCATGTAGCATGCAAGTGATTTAATTAAATGTGTTTTATAGAAATTACACTGCACTGCATATCTAGCAATTGGCAACAAAACAAACAACGTTATATCCTCTAATATTTGTAGCTGGTATATTTTTATTTTTGTATTTAAAAAAAAACTCTTGTACTTGTTTCAGACGATAATGCCACACTGGGTAACCGCTGAAGAAGGCACTGACACCGAATCTCCTGACCAAGTTATGTTATATTACGAAGATGACGCTTCAGAATACTATGATAATAAACCCGACGGCCCAGACAATATAGAAGAACAAAATGGAGGTAAATTGATAAGGCTATTATTAAACCGTAGTACTTTATTTTGTTGTTTTGAAATAGAGGCTAAAATTGAAAGTAAAACATTATTTTCAAGATAAGTGCATTGTTTTTGCGATAAAGCAGTAACTTTAATTGGTATGTAATTTTGTGTAACCTTAAAATTTGAACAGTACAATGTCGTTGTAAAAAAAATTATATTGATAAAGTCAATTCATTTTTTAAGGATATCGTCGTTTAAAATAAAACGCTAAAGCAACATTTATCGTAGTTTTTACTACACGGATATGATAGGTCAAACATAAACAAATTTTGTTATTTTTACTCTATAATATAATACAAATCGAGTTAAATCCGCCGTGGGTAAATGTTTTCATGAGCTGCACAACACAATTGAACTGTACAGCACTAAACACCAAATGGGCTGTGAATTCAACTGTCATGGCCAGTAATAAAAACGAAAAACAACATAAGCAGGCAAATTTTAAGTAAGCTTTACTACATTTATTGACAGAATTACTTGACATTTGTTCTATATGTTAAATATAAATGGGTAAATATATTATATACGCAACAAAAAGAAAACCTTTTGGAGTCGATTACAAAAAAGTCGAAAACTATATTATTATAAAGGTTAGCCTTTATAAAGTTGAAAGGATTTTTTTTTTCGTTTTAAGGTTTGCGTTGTAACTTTTATGAATGATAATTCATACGATATCTATTTCTTAAATAATAGTTTAAAAACAATATTTTGTAGATAGCCGAAATAAGGACTAGATCTTTTTTAAAGTGCTGAATTCTTACTGTATTTAGTTTTCAACTAAAAGTTTTCAACTATAAATTCAACTTATAGTTAAAAACTAAATAACTAATTTGTACAAGTTCATATTTAATAGTACCTAAAATAAAAATAAAAAGATTGTAAAAAGTGTGCCTCACATCAAATATTATGATTAATTATGTACTTGATTTTTTAAGATTTGTGATTTGTGAGTAGTTGGTAATTGTTACTATATTTCAATTATAGTAGAGAGCATTTTAATTTATTCCGACATCTTGATGTGGATGAAAATCACATTCAAATATTCCGTTACATACTTAAATGCCGTATGCTTGTCTGACTACAAGGGCAATCAAAAAATACATTAAAGAATTTTAATACATGTATAATGCACATTATAGGTATTTTGGCATTTTTGGAAATATATTATTTATAACCTTATATAGCTTAATCAGCTTGTGTTACAATTTCTACAATAACACAAAACACCTTATGGTATTAAGGTAATAAATAAGTTGCACTTATACCCACTAAAGTATAAGTAATCTTCTGAATAACTCGCACAGTTACAGTTAAATCTATTATTATTGAACATACAGCCATCAAGAAGCACGAAGCAGATAAGGGCATTACGAAAATCACCCGTAACCGTGCGTACAAATCGATTAGTCTGCACTCCGACTCTTACGCAAACACTTTATCAAGCGTGCAGTCTCGTCACGTAATGCCTCAAGTTTCATACAGAACAGCTGACTTGTTGCACAAACTACCGAGCTCTCTGTCTTTTACTATTCATATTTTACTGTCGGCAATGTTTTGTGTGAGAGAACGTGAGCTTGTACCTTTTTGGGTACCTATAGTGTGACGCTGAAGGCTTACCGTGAGTTGATCAACGACAAATTAAGTTTATTCCTACGAATGCATACCCCAATGATTTTATTAAATTGTCACTTTGACACGGAAGCGTTAAATCGAGTACACGCACAACTCGTTTTACCTCAGCGAAGTTAGTTACGTGAGTTGAAGCTATTTAAATTTAAGAAAGCGGTGTTCAAAATGTATTCAAAATTCGTTCTGTGCAGTTGTCAAATATATATATATTTTTTGTTTTTTGTTTTACTGTTTAACTTTACTTCGCTGTACAACTTAATTTATTTCCTGATATTGTGTTCCATGTATTTTTATAGTAAAATAATTGTTACAGATTTTTATGATAGTGGTAGCGGAAGTGATGAGCCAGTGCAGCGCAGGATGCGGCCAAGACGCGCTGTAGTATTAGGGTCTTCATCATCAGCCGGCAGTACGGGACCTCCTTCAGGACCCGGTCGACGGCGGAGGTGTGGCATTTCCGCTCGTGAACGCAACCTCCGTCGTCTCGAGAGCAATGAAAGAGAAAGAATGCGAATGCATTCCCTCAATCGAGCTTTTGAGGTGGGTTTAATGTACTATTTATCGGGTATAAATATTTTGAATTTAACTGGAACAAGTAATGATGAACCGTTCAAGTTTTCCTAAAATGTTGTTAACTCGAAATGCGGTTTTGTTGTAATTTCTTTATATCTTCCAGGATTTACGTCGCGTAATTCCACATGTGAAAAAAGACAACAGAAGTCTTTCAAAGATAGAAACCCTTACCTTAGCCAAAAATTACGTGAAAGCCCTCACGAATGCTATTTGCACAATGAGAGGTGAAGTTGCTCATTATTCGTAAGTACCTGAGCATATTGTATATTTTTTATTAAACCAGATCTCATTCGTTCATTTTTGATCCCGTTTGACACCTGTCCAAAGTTTTTGAATCCCAGTATAGTCGTAGCACTTGATAAGAGTTCACCGTGCATTTTACCCACTGCAGCCATTGCCGCTTCCAAAAACACCCTGACCGCATCTCAGAACTGTTTTCCTTGGAAAAAAGTAATCAGCTCGTCCTTTAGTCTGAGTTCCACATACTAAATTTCATCTAAATCTGTTCAGTTATTTATCATGATAATTTAACATGTAGATAAACAGTTACTTTCACTATTTTAACATTTAGCTAAGTGTCTGGTATTTTGACAACTAATCGTTTCGCCATTTATCAATTAATAATCTTCATATTTAGTAAATAAATATGAGGCTTATCTGTAGCAGTAGCAGTAGCTTATCTGAAGTCGTCGTGGCCTAAAGGATAAGACGTCCGGTGCATTCATATCCAGCGATGCATCAGCGTTCGAATCCCGCAGGCGGGTACCAATTTTTCTAATGAAATACGTACTTAAGAAATTTTAATGATCACGATTGACGTCCACGGCGAAGAAATAACATTGTTTAGTAAAAATCAAACCCGCAAAATTATAATTTGCGTAATTACTGGTGGTAGGACCTCTTATGAGTCCGCACGGGTAGGTACCACCACCCCGCCTATTTCTGCCGTGAAGCAGTAATGCGTTTCGGTTTGAAGGGCGGGGCAGCCGTTATAACTATACTGAGACTTCAGAACTTATATCTCAAGGTGGGTGGCGCATTTACATTGTCGATGTCTATGGGCTCCTATAGCAACTTAACACCAGTTGGGTTGTGAGCTCGTCCACCCACATAAGCAATAAAAAAATGATCTCAAACATTAGTAATAAATTAAATGACGACCAAATTAATTGGTTTATTCTATCCGTATTGATTTAATAATGTTATATTCACAGATTCAATAGCGACGATGAAAACGTGGAACCCGCATTCGTATTGAATAGGAGGGATCAGGAGCCGAACAACAACGAGACTGTCAGTACGGACCAGCAAGAAATTACGACACGGACGCAAGGTTTCTTCTGACCTTTGCGGTCTAGTGCTCGCATAGCTGCCAAAATGCATGCTGCGACCACCGCTACTCACGACAAATTTCTGATGTAATACGACGACTGGATTGCCGACGTTTTCAATTTTAATTCAATTATTTACTGGTTTTAAATGAATGTCAGATATTTTTATAGTAGAGCTTTGGCCAAAATCATATCTGAGTCAATGTGATGTGATACCCTTACTTTTTTTCCTGACGTGGCTAGTGGATCCATTCGGTCCATTTAATTTAAGCTCTAATCAAATGATACATAAATATATAAAATAAAATAGACTTATAACATAATTTTTTGTAAAATTTTCATAAGCAACAAATTTTGTTTAGTCTTTCCATATGTTTCGATGTTTTAAACAATAGTATTAATTTTATTTATTTTAAATTAATATACCGGAAGCTTAAACAAAAAATTCTAGTGGAATTCTAAAAAAGCTTTTTAAGATGCTTTCAAAGTAATCACATAGCACAAAAAACAAAGTGTAGCGAAGTTGAATGTCATCAGCACAAATTTCAACAGAAACGCGTTTTAAATCTTAGCTTTGCTTTCTCACTTGTTGTCGTCATCATATTAATCTAATGAGTTGCACTGGACAAGTGGTAATGTGTCAGTTTAAAAAAAAGTTTACTAGACCGCGTGACTGGTAGATATGTATTAACTGTGCTGAATGTTAATATTTCTATAATATTTTGACATTCGATCTGAATTGAAAAGAAAATACTACGAGTATATTCTTAATTTACATAGTGAGTACCTAATGTTTTGTGTCTCTTACTGAATTGCTTCAATTGTAAATGCCATTTCAAATTCAAATTTTCTCGATGTTTCCAATTTTAACTATTCCGGCTAAACACCAGTGGCGTATTTTAAGATTCAGAGTCCTGGGCCTTATGAGGTTTGCCGCCCTAAAAATCAATGAAAAAATCCTAATCCTAAATTGGGTAATTAAAACAAAAAAAATCCTGCTGCGTTGTCTTGTGGACTTAGAATGATGATAATGTATTATATGAAAATACTAAAGTTTATCAATGTTACGACTAAACAAGTTTTGTTATTAAGGTAGGTTTTTTCTTTAATTAAGCTTTCGGCTCATAAAGTCCAAACAAAACTGAGGGCGAGGTGGTGCTTCTTTGCCGCCCCTCACAGCTAGCTGCTCGGGCCATGGCCCTTTTGGTTCTAGGCTAAATACGCCCGTGTTTACGAGTAATACACAAAACTTATCTTCTTAACTTAAAATCTAAATAGATTTTAATGAGTTTGACATGATACCAAGGCTTGAATAAAAGTAAATATAATTTCTAACCAATCTGTTCGAAACGCACCCTTCCCGTTTATCAAAAATGTCTAGACAATTAGAGTGTTAATCTCACGACCGACATCCATTTATATTTATGTACATATGTGTAATTTTATAGACGTGGATGAGAATGGCAAACGATCGAATACTATAGCATAAAAAGGTTAAGCCTTAGCCCAGCAGTGGGGATCAAAAGGCTAAAGATGATGATGTGCAATTTTAGATATTACTTATTACATTGTTTTCATATTACTCAGTATAGTATATTTGCATACAATTAAATAAATATTTGCATACTTTCAATTCGGTTGAAATATTTAAAACCCCTCCAAAGATGAAGATTATGCCGAAACCGTGACTAAAAAAGGCTCGGTTTCATTATCACATCGGATCTCCTAAATGTTCTTACTTTATTTTTATATCTCTCGATGATCTATTTGGTCTGTTGACTTTTCGTTAAGCAATATCGATATTTGGAAGGGTGGTTTTTCTATGTAGATGCAATATTTAGCTGAACTTACACACAAAAATAGCCAGTCGTCGTTTAACGGTAATAAGAAATGTGTAAATATAGTCATTATTAGTATCCAAAGTTCAATGTCGCCACGAATTTTAACAACTTAGTTTTAAAAATCAAATTCATTAGGTATGTAATAATTGAGTAAATGTTATTTTTAATAATGAATACATCGATGGTTAAATATAAAAGAAACTGTAGGTAATTCAAATTATTGTATAAAAATTATTACAATAAATTAACCAACTATATTAAAAATATTCAAAGTTTAATAGGGACGGTACGAATAAATATCGATGGACGCCCATGTCTTTGTACTGTTTTGTGAAACATAATGAAAACAGGTTTTCTCCTGGTGCCAAATTGGTCATTAAGTAGACTCATGTTGTAATTATATTATTTAAAAAAACTTTTCAAATAAAACAATCCGTTGACTATTGCTAGCATTTGAATTCTTAAATTTTATTTTAGTTATATAGAACGGCAGGTTCTTCAATGACTTATTTCCTGTCTTTGTAGTACTTTTTGGGACTGTGGTGAGTTTCATAAGTCATCTTTTAGATGACTTCGGAAATTTGTAGACAACGAAATCTCAATGCTTAAGTTACCAACATAAATATGATATATGATCGTATTAGCTAGTAAGGATAAATTTAGTTTTTTTGACTTGTCTTGACAGTTTCAAGAGGCTTACAATAAAATCAGTCAATTCATCCAACCCGTCTTGTCCTCTTTAAAGCATAAGTTTCAAATCCTGCTATATTCTGTAAATAAATAATATGTGACAAAGCAAAAGGTAACTTTCAGATATTTCTATTTTTGTGAACTTTTAAAATAGGTAATTAATAATTTTAAGGAAATGCTTTAAGAAAAGCATATGATGTATTTTGTGTCATGAAGACGTTGTGATTTTTATTTATAAAAATATGTAATGTAAACTACTTATAAGCATTGATTTAATTATATTTGTGAGAAGCATTCGAATTGAATTGTTTTATTTGTTTACTTGATTTGTATTTTATTTTAGGTTCCGTAGCAGAATGGAACCGAAATTGGAACCGTTTCAACTTTGCCCTGTTCATCAGCCCATAATACATGTTACAGCCCTTACCGTCATTTTTTCTAGAGGTGCTCAGTGTGCTTAGTGCGAGTTTCTTGACGTTCTCGATAGCGTAAAAGTTAAGCCAATTTTGTATGCAATTGGAACAGCGCCCCTAGCGGCAAACGTATGCAAACGATCCCATTCCATACAAATATGAGCTAACTTTTACGCTATCGAGAACGTTAAAAACACGCACTAAGCACACAGAAAGGTATAATTTTATTAGTACCTTATATCTACGCGCTTAAATGTACATATTCTTAAACAGGATATATGTTGGAGTATTTCCACTTTCGGGTAGCGACATAGTAAGCGGGCGGTCTTCGTAAGTCAATAAAACCAGAAATGAACTCAGAGCGTATATTACGCAGGAGCGCTCCGTCCGATACGGCGACTCGCTCGCTTCTCAGCTCGAGAGTTTTTTTTCCTACCTAAGCTGAGAGCCTTGAGAGGCTATTTCAGCGTAACCCTAACTTTAGTAGGTGAGCTCACGGGGCTCAAACCTGATGACGTTGCTAACACGAACCCTAGCAAGAGCCGTGCTTCGCAGAATCTACCACCGGATCGGAAACGCGACCCACTGAGAAGATCCGGCGAGAAACTCAGTGGGCTGTGTCTGAGAGTTAATTTACTCGTCGAGCCCTTCGTCGCAAGCGACGGGTTCGACGAGAACGGTGACCGGTGCTTGAAGTACCTAAAAGCACCGTTAGTGGATCGGGAGGATCCGAGATGACGTGTTTTGGGCGACGTCGACTGCTTTCCATTCTGTCCGCAGGATCGGGAACGTAGTTACCGGCGGCCACGATGAGAGGGTTCTCGTGTCGTGCCGCTTTATCGACAACAACGGAGCGTTTTTATAGCAAGGTATCGTGGTGGGACGATGTTGTTTACGACTCTTATCTTGCACGTGTTGTTTTCGATGAATGCTTGCACCTGTTGTTTGTCGTCCCATCTTTATTCGTCATGAACTAATGGTTTATAAAAAAACACGCGCCGACATATATATATAATATACCTAGTCAGGTCATAAATTCTGTCACATGTTTAATGTAAAATAATTGAAACAAGTTTATTCATTATGTAACCATTCATATACCAAAATGAACTTAACAAAACAGATTCTTATGACACTAAAGTTTATTCAAAATGACCTCCGTGATTTTGAATATAGGCCTTCAATCTGCGCGACCAGTCGTCTATCGCAGCACGAACGAGGTCCATGTCAATATCGGCGGCTGCCTTAATCAAGGATGTCTTGAGTGACTCCAAATTGGGATGAGGCTTTGAGCACGCCTTTTCCTCCAAGTGTTGCCATATCTTGTAATCTAACGGATTCAAATCTGGACTGGAGGAGGGCCAGTCTTCGTGCCGGATGAAGTCGATTTCACGCGCCGCCAGCCAGTCTTGTGTGCTCTTCGCTCTATGAGCTGGCGCCGAATCTTGTTGGAATACCCAGTGCCTGTTATTGAACATGGTATGAGAAACAGGTTCCACAAGGTTCGTCAGGACTGTATTTTGATACACAACTGCATTCGTTTTTACACCTTTCTCACAAAAATGTACCTCTGTTAAGCCCCAATAAGAAACTCCCAACCATACCATGAGCGAGGATGGAAAATGATCTCGTTGGACACGCGGAATACGGTTGCTCGCTTCTTCACTACTGTGTGCGTACACCTTATCATTTTGTTTGTTGTAGCTCTCTTCTACGGTAAATTTTTTTTCATCCGAAAAAAGAATTTTCCGATATTTTTTTCCCGCGTACCGCTTCAACAAAGCGCGGCATCTCTTGAGTCTCAGGTCCATTAAACGAGCATTCAAACGATGTCCTGTTTTTCTTCGATATGCCCGAAGCTCTAAGTCTTCATTTAACACCCTTTTCACCGTGGTTCTGCTTAACCCCATCTGAAGGGCCAACAGTTTCTGCTTACGTTTGGGGTTTCTTTGAATTCGCGCCTTCACAGCTTTTATCACTGCTGGAGTCCTAACAGACCGAGGGCGACCACTTCTTGACCTGTCATTTACACTAGAGTCTTCATTGTATCGTTTGATGGTACGATAAACGAATCTTTTGGTTATATTCAAAATTTTCAGTATGTTAAAAATTTGAATTGGCGCGTAACCGCAACGATGCAACGCAATAACTGAAACACGGTCTTCTCTAAGCGTCCATATTTAAAAATGAGTAAAATTCTAAAAGTATACATTTTTATTTTCATGAACAATTCGAAATTCGAATTCAATAAACTTTTTTGTGGCCAGCATTCTAAAAGAAAAGTTTTTACTGTGCATCAATAGTGTGCTATGAATTGCAATAAATAAACTTTGTACATTCAACGCCTCCATCTTATGCCCCACTCACATGCGGGCAAATATTCGTACATTGTACGAATGTTTGCGCGCATGTGAAGGGCCGTCAAACATTCATTCGCAAACTTAGCAGCTGTGTAAATGGGTTCGCATACTCAATTAGCGAACCCGTTTGCGCTTCCTCCTACACTTGTTTACGAATGTCTCACGAATTTCTCCTCCCTTTTAATTCGTCAATAGAACATTGAAGAGAAAAAGAGTTTTGAATTCTTTCCCAGACATCATTAACAGCCATGCTGTTTTTATGGGATTTCGTTTGATGAAGATACGCTACACAGTAGATGTCACGAACTATGAAAATGGCGACACGTCCGTTACCTTTGCAATCGTCGGCGCAACTGGGCAAACGAATGTGTGGGAGACTACGCGAAGGTTCGAGGTTCGCACGCTTTGATGTCTGTTAAAAAACCGACACAGCTTGGAAAACCACGAATGCAGCGAAAACTTTGCATAATCATTTGCAAATGTCGTCCTACACTTGCGGGTATTCGTATTCGTGCGCATGTGAGTGACCGGTGTTAGAATTTGCTTATTGCTATAGAAAGTACACAAGATAAGAACAATTATACCTAGACTCCGAATAACAAAAATATTTCCGAAAGATTCCCACTCTTATCAGATTCTCTAACTCAGTGTTGTAGAAATTCTGATTCGTTTTTATTGAATCTTTTCCATTATATTTTACTGGAACAGGAACTCACACCTCTAATCGTTTTAAACGATTATTAAGTTATTGTCCTCAAGTCATAAATTCCGACGTGGTCATTCAAAATTCATCGCGCAAGCCAAGGTTTATCTAGTCTTAGAATTAATTTTCCTTCTTTTTTTGTTTCTTGAATTTTTTTTGCTTACCTATTGACAATAGCGTCGTGGGGCAGTTCTGGCTTCACCGGGTGTACATAGCTCACGGAGTTCAGACTGAGAGACTTTACTAACACTGCCCTAGCAAGAGCAGTGTTTCGGATCTTTCACCGGATCCGAATTGCTCTTTTACTTCATTTGGTTCATTCAAAATTTTTTTACTCTTTTACTAAACGTTCTTTTACTTCATTAAACTTAAATGATCCTGTGTTTTACCAAATAAAGAGAAAAATATGCATAGATGTTAATGATTGAATATGTGTTGTGTTTATGTGAAGTTGTGTTTTTTTATCGACTAAATAAATTAGTAAAATTGAAAAAAAATTGTTAGGCATTTGAATGTCATTTATAAAAGGCTTAATTTAATTCTGAATCTGTGTAGGTTGGTGTTGCCATAGAAACCCTGAATGGAAATTGGAATCTTCAATCAGTAATACATATCTGTTTAATCTGTGGATCCCATTCCAGCAGCAGCTCTATGTTCTATCTAAGTTTTGTTCAATTTACAAAAATTTGGTTCCTCGTCCATGTGTTNTGTTAGGCATTTGAATGTCATTTATAAAAGGCTTAATTTAATTCTGAATCTGTGTAGGTTGGTGTTGCCATAGAAACCCTGAATGGAAATTGGAATCTTCAATCAGTAATACATATCTGTTTAATCTGTGGATCCCATTCCAGCAGCAGCTCTATGTTCTATCTAAGTTTTGTTCAATTTACAAAAATTTGGTTCCTCGTCCATGTGTTTCTGCCTGTAGATAAGTCCAATTTGCAACTTATTTTAGTTAAAAATATAGATTTTTTTACAGAAAATTTACTAAGATAATCTCTACAACAGCTCAGATACAAACAAAATTACATCAGAATTCATGTTCAATTTAATTTTACTAGTTAACTTGTGCGTCTATCGCAATATGGCCGTCCTGTAATGAATTGGTGGTCAGTAATATTATTTGTGGTTCTATCTCTCTGCTAATATTAAAATGGAGCTTCGTGTCGGTAACAAATACCGACTTGGGCGAAAAATTGGCTCCGGATCTTTTGGAGATATATATTTAGGTAAGTAATTGGAGGGTTAATTGTAAACAAAGAAAATCGTAAATTGCTGCTCGGGCCAGCTGCGCCTAATCTTCGTTTCTACATAAGTTAAATAATGTTGAACATGAATAATTTGAACTATGGACTTCTTAATTTTTTTTCCATTGAAAGTCTGAATACAGAACTAAATATTTATGGACATTGATTGCATGTGATTACTGACTTCATAACGTAGATGTCTCTCTGAAGACTTAATTAACAGTAGTCGCCACGAACGGTTTCCAAGATGTTGGTTAGACGCTTGTTTTCGTATTACTTTTGAGTAACAGTATATATTAAAATTACCTGGTTGTAATTCGATAATTATGCTTCTGTTATATACTGTCTTATTAATGAATGGTATGTATGTATCATTTGTGTTATGAAATGGTACATTGTGCCCTTTTAACATGTCCCAACATTAAGCAGTAAATAATTATTGATTCTATTTTATGGGTGTTGTTATTTATATTATCAATCAATGTGAATAAAAATGGTTTTTAGGAACAAACATTGTCACAAGGGAAGAAGTAGCCATTAAGTTAGAATGTATCAAAACGAGACATCCACAGTTACACATAGAAAGCAAATTTTACAAACTAATGCAAGGAAGAGGTAAGAAATTTTCTTGATATGGTTGAGCTGATAAAGTAATTTTCAAATCACAAAAGTGTTTCTTTTAAAGACCTATGCAATAAACTATAGATCGAATAGCTCAGTTATTAGTTTTATATCTGTCAAGTTTCCAACTTATGCCATATAACCATAATTCCAAAACCCTGCTTAAAACTGGATCATTCATTTAGTAAATGAATATGTATAAAGTTTTTGGATAGATAATTTGCACAGAGCTTTGCTCGTCATTAAAAGTAGTAGAAGTAGTGTTATTTTTGGTATTAACTTAAAAAAAGATAAAACTTGTTAATTTTGTTTTAAATTTTTATTAATACTTTCAGTTGGAATTCCTGCAATTAAATGGTGTGGGTCAGAGGGTGACTACAATGTAATGGTAATGGAACTGCTTGGTCCGTCATTGGAAGATCTCTTCAATTTTTGCTCACGTCGTTTTTCTCTCAAGACAGTACTCCTTCTAGCAGACCAACTAATTTCCCGCATTGAGGACATACACTACAGAAATTTTATCCATAGGTGAGTTTTAGTTTCTTAAACAGAGAAAAATATTAATTTAATCAAAATTATTATCATTATTTTACAAAAATACAGCTTGGTGATAATTTGGCATTAACTTTCAAATTAGATTGTGTTCATTTCATAGGCCATATTTGAATCTCAAAAATAAAACTAGTAAAACATAAAGTTATCCTTTTAGTGTGTGCAGAAAGCATCTCTTATTGTATACAGAAAATATGCATTATTTATTAAATTATTTAAAATTATTTCTTAAAGAAATAAGCAATGTTATTGTATCAAATTTAAAATACAAATTTAAAGAAAGTAAAACCTAAATTTAAAATAACATTTTTTAATAGAAGTTCCTAAATTGTGCCCATTTTGTTTGTGGGTGAGTGATCTTACAACTCTTAGTAAGTCAACCTGCTGCTTTTGGTGATTGTGTAATTTTGGTAACCTGAAGTGTGTGACGAAGACTCGTGTACTCCATGTGAACTCTGAGTCTCCATACATGCCTTACACAGTGAAATTTCTGTAATGTCTATTTTGAACAATTTTTTATGTAAGGCTTGTGTCCAGTGATTGCACCAGCTACATCTCAATATTGCTCTCTTATATAAGGGGAATAGAGTGGGCTATGGCCCTTTTCCGTTACTCAAAAGCCCTGTGAGTCATCATCAGCCACATCATTACCTCGATTCACTAGGTCCTTTAATCCACTAAAAAGTAATATTTTTTAAGTTATGTACCTAACATAGTGGCTGATGTTGTTTGATAAGTGACATACATGGCTGATGTAATCCATTGCCTCTAGGACTGCTAGTGTATTCTTATTTTGTAACATTTTATTTGTTTAGCATCTAGGATTCTCATGCATTACTTTGCACACTGTTGTAGCCATCTAGTGGCTTATATAGTTTTCATAACCATATAGATAAACATATAGCTTTCAGAAAAATGCTCATCTTGTGCTTTGCTTGGTTTTTGAGCCATACATAAAACTAGGTGGGTAGCCGAATCTTGCTGTGATTAATCACATTTAGTAAGATGGGATTCTATAAATCAAAATTAAATTACTTCTAGTAACTGCAGCTACTATTGGTATTTTGCTGTTTATCCTATCCACAATTTTAGTAGGAGCAGTAGTTATTTTAGCGCAGATTGCATTGATGAAATATTTAAATATCTCCTAGTGCAGCAATGGAAATTGTTTTGAATACATCCTGTTATGTTCATATATGCAAATATGCCTGAATTTGGTTTTATTAATTTTAAATATGGCCACCATAGCCATTCATCACATATTATTAAGGGCAATTGCCTACCAAGGACAAAAATCAACATTTTAGGCAATTTTTCTTCGTTTCCAAACAGTGACATAAATAATTCTATTACAATCGATTACTACAGTCAAAAAGTCTTGAAATTAAATACCTAGCTCCTCAAATAGTAAGATAAGAATTGGGAACATTTCTGAACCCTAAATAAAATATATTTGCCAGGCTATGTATAAATATACTCTTCCTTGTAGGAAGTTTATCCTTTGTGAATTTACAAGTGCATGTTGGGTGATGATGAACTAGAGTTTCTAAAAAAATCCATTATTTTGTGAAACAATAAAATAGTGCTATGATATGTTCTAGAAAATAGCCCATAAAATCTCTTAGTCCAATCATACAAGTTCTTTCTCAAAGTCAACAATACAATGAGTTTTAATTCTAAGGTAATAGAAATTAATAAATCAAGGGTTAAAATAGTCTATAAACATGTCAAAGTTAGATTACAACTGATTTGATTGTAGTTTCTATGACAAATTTTGTATTTGCATATGATATACACTGAAATCATTCATTCTGTTTGCTTTGTCATTAGAATTATGAGATAGTGTTGTACTTTGGGTCAATTTGCAGAGTTAAAATAAAAAGGAGTACCAGTTTACATTTATAATTTTTTGTTATCTTAATTTCTCTTTAAGTTTTTTTTTTTCAATTTATAAAGATTATTGAAAAAGTCAAAACAATTACAAAACATTCAGAAGTCAAATGATTTAAAAGTAATTATAGAGACCTACAATATAAATCAAGAAAGAGATTGCTCTTGAACTCTGTTATTCTCTGTGTAATCTAGTATAGATTACATAATATAAGGTACTGTGTGTTTTACAGGTAATGTGTACAAATAAAATTCTATTTACAGAGACATCAAACCTGACAATTTTCTAATGGGCCTAGGTAAAAAAGGAAATTTAGTGTATATAATAGATTTTGGCTTAGCTAAGAAGTACAAAGATCCTCGGACTAATCAACATATACCTTACAGAGAAAACAAAAATTTGACAGGTATGCATTTTTAATTTATTGTTGTGTGATTCAATAATTATTTTGATCACTTATTGTGTTATACTATAATTCATGCTGTCATTTATTATGTGATAAATAACCCTTTAAGGAAAAATTTTAGTTACAGTCTTCCTTTAACACAGTTATTTTAACATAATCCTCAACAAAATTTTAAATAAAATTGTTTTCTATTGCAGTTTCTATGATATTTTTACCGATAGGTGCACAACCTTTTATCTCATCATTCAAAACAAATCATCAATAGTTAGATATAGTTATGGAATAAATAATAACATTATTATTGTTATTGGTTGGAAATTGGCAATATCAAAGAACATACAGCATACATACAGCATTAGGGATCCTAAAAACTTATATGACCTCTTTAATTAACTAACAAACTGATTGTAATTTAATTCATATAATTGTGCAGTGCATGTTTTTATCACTGTATAATAAAGTTATAGATCCTACTTATAAAAAGGAATTGCTACAAAACATGTCATCTAAATTGCATAAAATATAAATAGAATTCTGTTCCTTACAGTACCATTATCTGATATGAGCTATTGATTTATAGTATTGATAATATTATTCAATACAGTAAACAAGTATGTAATTCAAATGTGAGTAAAATTACACTGAATATAAATTATATAAATGCTGAATGAAGTCAAGTAATTATTGGAATTGATTGATGTGAATGCCTCCTTCTTGAGACATGAGTCCATCTTTACTGTAGAATATGCCACTATATACTAATTTTTTTTTTTTTTATTGCCCTTGTAGGCAGAAAAGCATACCTGATGGTGAGTGGTTACCGTCGCCCACCAGGGGCAGGCAGAGCCAAGCCGCTGCCTATCAAAACACATAATTGTTACGAATATAATTTTGTAGCTATCCTTTCATATTATTTTATGTATAACTAGCATTGATGTATATTCAATACTCTATCTCATGTCCTTTTTATTGAATGTACTAATGTCTATATTTCCAGAAGCAAATATATATATTATTTAAGTTTTTTTTCCTTAAATGAATTATTTCAGGAACAGCAAGATATGCTTCAATAAATACACATTTAGGAATTGAGCAGTCACGTCGAGATGATCTAGAGTCACTGGGCTATGTGCTCATGTACTTTAACCGTGGTAGTTTGCCATGGCAGGGGCTAAAAGCAGCAACAAAACGTCAAAAATATGAAAGAATATCTGAAAAGAAACTGTCCACTCCTTTTGATGAGCTTTGTAAGGTAAGAATGTATACTTCATCATCATGTCATGTATTATATTAATGAAAGCTGAAATTGAAATGCTTATAAGGTTTCACTCTGTGGTTTATTTTTTTATTTTTTTATTGCTTAGATGGTTGGACGAGCTCACAGCCCACCTGGTGTTAAGTGGTTACTGGAGCCCATAGACATCTACAACGTAAATACGCCACCCACCTTGAGATATAAGTTCTAAAATCTCAAGTATGGTTACAACGGCTGCCCCACGCTTCAAGCCGAAACGCATTACTGCTTCACCTACCCGCGCGGCCTTACAAGAGGTCCTACCACCAATAATTACGCAAATTATAATTTTGCGGGTTTGATTTTTATTACACGAACGAACGAAGTCAATCATGAACATTTGTTGAGTACCTACGTATTCCATTAGAAAAATTGGTACCCACCTGAGATTCGAACATCGGTGCATCGCTCAACACGAATGCACCGAACGTCTTATCATTTAGGCCGCGACGACTTCTAATTACGACGACGTATTAACGACCGCTAATGAATATAACTTGCTATATTATTCTTAATCCTATTTTTTTTATTCAGAAACAAACTGTAAAATATTGTTTATAGTACATAAGTACAGGGAATGGTTCCTAGAGTCCAAAAGGGAATAATATTTATAATACAAAATTATTTGCATCATTCATGGAGTTATTTCTAATTTTGACATATACTGTTAAAATACAACCCATTTTTTAACTTACCTGTACCATAATTAAAAACAGATGGGTCAACTGTTTTCCTAATAGTATACTGTTTACTTTAATTCGCTTTTAGAATTTTACCTTATGTCCTGTGAAAACAATTGTTAAGCTACGAAACAAAAGTCATAATTAAGACTGGTCTTAATTTTTCAATGATGTTGTACAATAAACGCTAGCCAAAATTATAAATAGAGGTCATTTTCAGTCAAAATTGTTACAGTAGGTAAAGCTGCATGAGTAGATTCCAGCATACCCAATTTGCCATAAAACAGACACATTTCAGTTTGAAGGGTGGGATAGCTGTTATACAATACAATTGAAAATTTAATCCCAAGTCAGGGTGTGTGGCAGTTTTAATGGCTCTGGTAACAGAAGGGTCTTAGAATTCGTTCATCAATAAAGTCTAATAAAAAAATGTAATTATTTTAATGTACTTTAATATACTTAATACTAATATACTATTGTGATGTGAGGTGAAGAATTGTGCATTGATTTGTGAGTCTCATTTTTTATTTTTTTATTTAAAGAACCATCCAATTGAGTTTCAACTGTATTTGAAGTACTGCCGGCGACTTCGTTTCGAGGAGAGACCCGACTACGCCCATCTGCGTCAGTTGTTTCGCACCCTCTTCCACCGGCAAGGATTTACATATGACTACGTGTTTGATTGGAACATGTTAAAGTTTGGTATGTACTTTTATACTTTCGCTGTGTTATGACGGCTTTTCAATAGACCACCCCATCTCGATCCTTACGTGGCATAAATGACGACTAAGGGTTAATTTGGACCCATTCTCCAATTCAACCTCCTGCAGCGTTCTCTGAGAATTCATCACCGTACTGCGATCGCCAAACGATATTAAATGGTAGTAGTGGGTATTATAAGTCCATAAGAGTAGGTACCACAGTCCTGCACATGTCCGTCGCGGCGTATTCGTGCATTATGGCTTGAAGGCTTGGACAGCCTTTATACAATAAAATTACGTCTGACTTGGATCAAGGTTCACTTACACCAGGTAGGTTCTGAGCTCGCATACCTTGCTAAGCAATAAAGAAATAATTAAAAAGTATACCAAGATTACAAAATGTCAGATAAAAAATTTAAGCTGCATTTACACAGGTGGCTTAGCTAAAAATATAATAATATTGTAAGGAAAACTTTATTAAAAATGTTAGCATATTGTTATGACCGCCTGACGGTGGATACAAATATAAACTCAACTACAAAGTTATAACTGTTTATTACAAGATATATAAAAAAAATATTAATTAATTTATCTCAAAAAAAGTTATTAATTGAATTAAAAGAAATACTCTAGTGATGACTACTTGCGGGGAGTGGATTCGCGGCACAGGGAAGCTTTTTGGTCTTCAAAAAAGATCTATGTGCACTGGGAACTTATCTTTGGACCGTTAGATCCCGTGACACGTGGGGGTCTTCGCTGAGGAAGTTTCCACTGCCTAATGGGGAACTTGGAGGTGTTGCCTGAACGTCTACAATCCGTACTTGGACGTTCAGCCCGTATTTCGCAATCCTTACGGTGGACCCTCAGTTTACAAGGGGGTTGAAGAATCCGTTTTTAATTTTCGTGTTTATTTTAGTGTAGCACTGATTGTACTACTTTTTAAAATGAGATCAAATAATCGCCAATACGGATCACTTATAATTGTCGTGCGAACTCTCTGGCGTTGAAATCCCTTCCTCCTGCGCGAATTCGTTTTTATATTATGTTTGTATCGGAACGGCCTACTTCCTTCCCTGTGGCGACAATGCGCACTGAGCGGACTTCTAGATCTTTCGTATAAGACGAGATAGAAATATGGAAAGAATGGCTCAACCGAAGCAAGTCACGCCCTAAATTATTGTCTATATTCCAGAAAACTCCTGTGGTACTTAGATAGCAATAGTCGAGTCGAGCGAAATGGAATCATTCACAAGCAACGGGTCAACCCTTGTTCGCTTTTTTTTTTTCGATATTTCTAGGCACTTACGTTGTGGGCGTTTGTTATCCGATGTTCTAGAAGGAATTTGATTTCCGGTACCAACGAATTCCTTATATGGCCACTAGTTAAAGGGCGCGGTTTTCATTCATTGTAGAAACTAGTTATTTTGTTTGTTTGCGCGTAATGATTTTTTTAATTAATTTTATATTTTTAGAATTTTGTTACGACGTTACAATATTCTAAAACGAGTCTTTTACAATACCAGTTTTTCTTACATTATAGAAGTAGTTAATTACATGTAGTTAGTAGTTATAAATGTTAAAATTGTTTGAAATGATATCCAGTATTATAGCAAATACAGACTCTAAGGTATAACGTATAACTTTCTAACTATATAACTATTCTATAGGAGGACTGCGTGATAACCATCAAACAAGTGGTATTGATCGCGCTCTTAGACGTCTTGAACAAAATCAGGAACAAGAAAATAGTAAGTATTAATATTTCTTGAAATCGGATCTTGTATATATTATTCTTAAAATGTACATATTTATTTTTGTTCTCATTGATCATTTAGTTGCTCTTCCCACAAAATGTAGAAAAAAATGTAGTACCTTTAGCTTAGGTTTTCAAGATTATTATTCTTGTGTATTTCGCGTCATTGGAAATATTTTATCATCCTTAGGAATACGTCCAGCCCTTATTTCTATAATAATTTTCTTTTTTAGCCGCTGCGACAGCCGGCCAGCCCAGTAATGCAGTGGCAGCAATTTCGGAATGGCGGTGAGGAGAGATACCGCTGACTTCACGCTGATAACATCTCTCTAAAAGCACGTTGGTATTTGTGACCAGTATGTTCTGTGTCGCAGAATGTACCTTACACAGACATAATTGTGACAATGAAAGTATAAGGACGCCTCTGCAGATGATCAGTACGGCAGGACTTGAGGCGTGAGCGTGAACTTCGACTACACATTCGCGATTTTGAAAGCGAATCTTTATATTAATTAATAAATAAATAAAAAGATAAAATGATTTTGTAAGCATACAGGTTAACATTCATATTAATGTAAATTATTTAAATTTTAGGCTAAGCAGGTTGATAAGTGGGCCGATGAACTCGTAACTTTTCTCGCAATTTTTAAATATGTAACGTTAAGTTATGTAATAAATAACGTTTAAGGCCTACCCATACATCCATTGTACTTTGTGCTCAGTTATATTTAGATATAAGAGAATTCAATAGTAACATTTGAGGCGTTCGTTCAGAAAAAGAACTAACTGCCCGGTGTCAGATTTTGATGTTCAGTTTAAATAGAATAATCTATAAATATTCTTTACAAAAGGAATTATTTGTCTTATATCTAAATACAACACTCGTATATATTTGGTAAAACTGACTGATTGAAAACAATTACTAAAAACGCAGGAAGCATACTGTAGAAACGAGTTTATCAGACTTTTCGATTCCTACTGCGTTAATTTTGCAACTTTAAGTAAGTTACTATAAATTGAAAGTGGGAACGGTAGAAAAAAATTGCTCTAAACCAAATTTGTCTGCACATTGTGTAAAATCATTGCTCGAAAAGGTATAAAACTGTAAATAAACAAGTACATTCTCTGAGTGCAATATAGTGATGTTTTCTTTAACTATTCAACATGTAGTTTCATTTGATTTTGTCTTCCAATTATAAATATTATTTACAACTTACAATAACTCAAATTAGTAACGTAAATTTGTGATAAATTTTATTTCCCTTGAATCATGTAGGTCACTGCCGTACACAAAAAATCGTCACATGAGAAAAAATCAGTAATGATAGCTAGAACGTACCGAGTGTACAGTGTTCTACTAGTTCAAAGTGAGTTTTATTTGGAGATTAGTAACGTATGCAGTTTAGATTTTAAACCATCATTTCTGTTATGGTTATTTTTTTATAAACTTTGCGAAAACTATGATCTNTTCCCTTGAATCATGTAGGTCACTGCCGTACACAAAAAATCGTCACATGAGAAAAAATCAGTAATGATAGCTAGAACGTACCGAGTGTACAGTGTTCTACTAGTTCAAAGTGAGTTTTATTTGGAGATTAGTAACGTATGCAGTTTAGATTTTAAACCATCATTTCTGTTATGGTTATTTTTTTATAAACTTTGCGAAAACTATGATCTCACGCAGATTACCAAATTTCATAAATCATAATTAAAAAAAAAATCGGTTACCATTTCAGTATCTGGACACCGAACAATAAAAAAAATTACAATCTTTGTAATTGTCGTAAATTGTAAATATTATGTAGTTATATTTTAGAGCATTTGTGTAATGTAATCTAGCGTCAAATCTACCGCGCTGTTAATACTAAAACTGTGTTGCTATGTTATACCTTACCTTATTTAACCAAGGTAATTTCTATATCCAAAGTACATCATATACGAATATTTCTCGTTCAGTTTTTTATTGTCCTTAGAATTACTTTATTTTATTATAGTCGTTTTATAATAACCATTGTTTTAATATAAAGACTTTCAATTTGCCATTGTAAGCATCAGGCATTGTCAATACGTTAATCGTCATCTCATTACTGAGACATTTTTGTTTGATTTATGTTATTGAGCTGGAGAAAGTTTTGTAAAGTGGAACTTGTAAATATCATATTATCGATTTGACATAAGTGTTTGATTTTAAGGCACACGACATTCAAGATCCCTCTTATTAAGGACAATTCACTGCATAATTTAATAATTAACAATTGGCCCACGAGAGCGTTTATATTTCGCATATTTACATTACTAAAAATGTATTTAACAGACATAACTCATCCACACTAATCTCAAAAAACGAGTTCTGTATATAACAAAATTGTAAAGTTCAAAAACGCATTAAAAGTTTTAAATAGTGAACCTTTTCATAATTAATGTAACACATGAATGTTTTCAATAGGTTCGAACTTCATATAATAGAGGATCATTCAACAAAGTTCGACAAAGTTCACGTTGGGATTTCATTTTTAAAAGTTAGTTAAAATGTGTAGACTTATGTCTACGCCTTGTTTAAGCAGACTTCATGAATATTGTAATATCTTAATTTGTAGTTGTAAGTTTTGGCAAATGAAACCAGCTAATGTCCGATGCAGACTAACTTCAAACAAAATGACAAGTTAATTGCAGACAAAGGAGTAATGTCATCAGCGGTGACGATCATCCGCACCTGGACAAGAACAGTGTTTGTGAATGTGTAGAGTGCTACAAAATGTGTATTAAATGCTTGCCGCGTGTGACGGTCGTGCTTTTCTTTTTAACGATAAAGTATATTCGGAATTACAAAAGACTATTGACTTAAATTTTGTATATAATACATTTTTAAGGTAAGCTACTTGGATAAACCGAATACTGTTTTTTACAATATCTTAGGTAATGAAATAAATAATAACTGTTGTAGTGTTAAAATGTCATTTTATTTACTTAATTTTGTTTTACGTAGAGGTACCGTTTTTGCGTCAATAAGCCTTATTAGCTGTGACAAACAAAATGTGTATTTCAACACAAGAATTTCTTACAAGTTGGATTGATAAAGCAAAAATGAGATAAGAATAATTAGAATACTTTTTAGTTGCACGGAATCTGATGTTGCCTGTATGCATGGCTGAAGCTCTGGTGATAGTCTTGATGTTGAAATTATAAATCTATTTGACAATCAAAGACGAACCAAATAGAGTCGAGCCACAACGAAATCCATATTTAGTTTTTCAATCGTATTTAACAAGTTAGGAAACCATAGCCACAATATACATTAGAGATTTTTATGCTTGGATTTTTTTCAAATCCAGTATGTAAAATCGGGTCAAATCCAGTATCTAAAAAATCAATTGGCACATTAAACAACTAAAATCTCTTTGATTACTTTTAATTGTTAATTAATCAATAATAATATCAAGATCAATTTATGTTGCCAAAAACCCTCCGTCAATTGGTAATTGTACTCCAGAAATTAAACTAGCACTGTCACAAAGCAGGAATAATACCGCATTAACCACTTCCTTCACCTCACCGAATCTGTAAACAACAATGAAATTCATACAATAAATATGTATGAGCAATGTATGTGCAAATTTTATACAGTAATAATTGTTCCTCACCTTCCAAGAGGTATTTTAGATAACATTTCCTTTGATTTTGATGGTTCCGCCCAAACTTTTCTACCCATTTCAGTCATAATGACAGTAGGGTTAACTGTATTAATTCGTATGCCAAAAGGTCCCAGTTCTAGGGCCATAACCCTGGTTAGTGCATCTAGAGCACCTTTTGAGGCACAATATGCTACGTGATCCTTTAGAGCTGCCTGGATAATAAATATTAAATAAACAATTGTTGGATAATCTTACAATGTTTTTATTGGATCTTTCTTACCTTAGAAGCTTGTGATGAAATATTTACGATGGAACCTTTTCTTTTGTTTTCTATCATTTTTTTCGCTACCACTTGACTCACATTAATAACGGCATTAACATTTACATCAAGGGTTCTAAAATATAGTAGATACATTTATGTAAATCAAGGTTATTCGAATACTAGGTATTAAAGTATGAAATTGCCGTTTTATATTGAAAATTTTAAACATCTGTTTTCAAGAAAACACATTTTATTTCACCGGAGTGCTCAACGGTGTTTTATACCTTAAAGCGAAGCTACTCAAAGAAGGCTTTTACAATAATTGTTGTTGATGGCCAGACCAACTCACGGTGTACCTGAGTGCTTAAGCCTGTGTGCTAATTGAGAGTTTTTATCTTACTCGATTGTGTAAAAATTAACTCAAATTTTTATGGAGCTGGAACGTTTGCCGCTAAGGGCGCTATTATATGCATATATTTAGTATCTTCACGCGGATCCTGCCCCGCAAGGGAGGGGTTGCACCGTGTCCTCGTCACAAAAATAGGAAACGACTTGTTGCCAAGTGTTGTGGCATCGATGCTCGATGACGACGAGTCGTGGAAGGCGATGCTCGACTTCTGCGAGTGCACCATCTCGCGGAAGGAGCCGGCGCGAGCGGGGGCCAGGGAGGCGGATCTCGCTCAAGCCTTGGCCCTCTAAGTGTTTCGGGTCTCCCTCATATGTCGAGCGGGGGCCAGGGAGAAGGATCTCGCTCAAGCCTTTGCCCTCTAAGTGTTTCGGGTCTCCCTCATATGTCGAGCGGGGGCCAGGGAGAAGGATCTCGCTCAAGCCTTGGCCCTCTTTAAGTGTTTCGGGTCTCCCTCACATGTCGGTCTGGGGACCGGCGAAGGAGGCCTAAGAAGACGACGTGCGAGCTGCTGCACGCGTTTTATGCAAAAGCATCCGGGTGGTGGAAGGCCGGCTATCCTCAACCCACGCTGGTTCTGGTATTCTATAGGATAGACCATTCTAACCGGCGCACCGAGGGGAAGGGTGATGGGAGAGATGTGCTCCGCACTAAACGCTTCACTTTCCCCCTTTGCCTTTTCATGAGTTCTGTCTCATGCAAGCGACAGGAGGTTTTAGTCGGTTCGACTCCGACATAACCCACCCTCCATCCCCAGTGGAGGGCGGAAGTCCGGCGATTTCCTCGTGACAAAAAAAAATCTTCACGCAGATGAAGATTTTCGGGGATTGCGAATGCGAATAAATGCAAGATATCTGATTACGACACATACAAGACACAATATCGTCAAAATGTTAGCCTGAACTTTAGAAATCTTCAGTTATTTATTTTACGCAAAGGTACGGAGAAAATTGTGCTCACATACCCAAAATATACTGTCACTAAAAAGAAATATTTACATTTCTAGGATGGTTAAAAACTTACTCATTTAGGCTTTCTTTTTTGCATTCCAAAAAAGGTTCGATTATAGCAATACCGGCATTATTGACAAGGCCATCAAAAACTCCAAGAGCATCAATGACTTCTCTTGTTTTATTCCAATTTCGAAGATCAACATACACTATTTCAATGGATGGATATTCTTCTTTGAGTTTGTTTAAGTTTTCAGCATTATTTGAAACAGTAACAACATTCGCACCCAGTCTCCAAAGTTCTAAGACTAATCCACGACCTATCCCTGTATAAATTATTAAACAATTTAATTGATTTAAAATTACACACATTTGATTTTCTTTTTTTTTCATATGTTTCACCTTGACAACCACCAGTAACAAGTATTCTTTTTCCTTCAAAATATTTATCCATGTTTCGTATTTACTTACGCAACTTCTTATGGTAGATAAGTAAGAACTAAATAAAATCGAAATTTATCGTTTTGGTTGACATTCTTATCTCTAGGCCAATTAAATTATTTTGGATTGATTTGATTAAGTACTTCATTTTTATGGAGATAAATTTGAATGTACTACTTTGTGTAAATTGTGAAATATTGACATTTCGAAGAGCTCACGGTAAACTTGATCTGAAGGGGTTTGAATCAATGGACACTATATTAATAATATTAAAGTAGGTAACCACTTTCTTGAGTTTTCGTATCTCCTCATTTCGGAATTGATCTCGGAAGGAAACTCTCAGCATAACCTAATATTGCTCTTTGGGTATTGATATTGAATAATGATCCTACTGAAGGCCCGTTGTGAGCGACAACGTGTCAGTGGCATATGTCACACAGTACACACACGCTGGTCAAAGACTTTCATCTCGAGATTACGGCATTTGGGATAAGAATAATTTACAGAGCTCTCTGTGTGCTTAGTGCGAGCTATTTAACGTTCTCGATAGCGTAAAAGTTAGCTCATATTTGTATGGAATAGGATCGTTTGCCGCTAGGGGCGCTGTTCCAACTGCATACAAAATTAGGTTAACTTTTACGCTATCGAGAACGTTAGAAAACTCGCACTAAGCGCACAGAACACTTTACTAGAGCGGGCGTTACAGGGGCATTCATACTAGGGCCCGTTCTATGGTATATGGTACAGCTCACTGAGTTTCTCGTCGGATCTTCCCAGTTGGTCGCGATTCCAATTCCGATCCGGTGGTCGATCCTGCGAATCACTGCTCTCTAGCTCTAGCTAGGGCTAGTGTTAGCAAATTCTCTGATTGCGACCGTGAGCACACCTACCCGTCCGGGCGTAGCTGGAATAGCCTCTTAGGCTACTAGCTCCAATCCCTACAATCCCGCTTTTGCAGGATAGCCGTCTGGGCTCCGTGGTTCGTGAGGAACGTTGACCTACACGACGACCTGGGCCTCGAATCAATTCAGAAATACATGAAGTCAGCGTCGGAACGGTACTTCGATAAGGCTAAGCGTCATGATAATCGTCTTATCGTTGCCGCCGCTTACTACTCCCCGAATCCTGATCATGCAGGAGTCAGTCACCGTCGAACTCTAGACACTTCCTTACGGATCCATCAGATCCAATAACCTTTGCATTAGACGCCTTCAGCTCTAATACTAGGAGCAGGCCTAAGGACGCCAGTAACCGTACTCGTCAAACTCGGCAAACAGGTCGACGTGCAACCTAACCCATGCATCAACCCGCTGAGTTTCTCGCCGGATCTTCTCAGCGGGTCGCGATTCTGATCCGGTAGTAAGATTCATTCGCGAAGCAATTGCTCTTAAGTTGTTAGATCTCATCATAAAAGAGGCTACTAGCGAATAGAGAGGGGAAAAAAACAGTTTCGGAGAAATACAATCTTCCTGACTGACACCAAGCGGCTGGGTCCTGAAGGTCGATTCTGTAATCGGTCTGACATAGTGACGTGTTCATAAAAACATTTCAACTCTTTGATATCTTAAATATTGATATCGAATCTTATAAAATACCGTTAGCACCGATGGAAGCATGGGAAATAATAAACATGAGTTTAAACTGTAAATGTTAAGACAGGCTTAAGTCATCAAAATACCACCATGTGAGCTCACAATGCGCCTTACCTTCACTCAAGCCAAGGATTAGAAAAATATGTTATCGATTCTTAACGCTATGAATGTTTTGAAAATATCAGTGGCAAAATGTAATATTGGTATCATTTGATTAGTGGGTAAGGACTGCAATTTTTAGGTACTTCAAATAATTAAAAAACAAGTTAATCAAGTAACTGGTTCGAAAAATAAAAACAACAGATCATAATAATAACATTTATGTAACAAAATAGGATTTATTAAATTATATGGCCTTTCGTAAACAATAATTAAAATAACCAACAAGCTAACTCATCATCTAAAATCAGAATTAAAGTTACACATTATGGCTCTATTTTTATATTTATGGTAAGTTTTCAATATAGTTAAATTCGAAATGTATTAAGATTAATAGAAGTTGTCTGGATATAATTCTTGACTAACTTCTAGTTTCGCAACAACTTAAGAGAAGAAATTTGACATTTTTTTGGTTATACATATATGGCCAAAAATATTTTTTAGCATTTTCAATCTTTGGTTATTCTCACTATGTTTTTTTTGCACTTTCGTTAATTGTAATAATATTTCAAAATATATTAAGCCATACAATTCGCAAGTCTTTTGGTATGATAATATATTCAGATATTATGTAGCGAGGAAACCACCATCTATGGGCAATTCTACACCATTAATCATACTAGATCTTTCACTCAGGAGGAAAACCACCGCATTTACTACTTCGGATATCTCACCAAATCTGAAAAACATATATTAAAAGTTTATATAACATCATTTTAATAAAATATATTTCATTACATTCATGTTTAAGTTCGAAGCAGATCTTTGCCTATTTCCAAAAATCTCGTGATACAAACTACGAGAATATAATTATAATATCGATTTTTTATCTTCCGACCTTGTGACCTTGTGACCAAGAAATCTTGGGAAAGATAATTCACAGAATTCACGACAAATAAATTTAAAAAAAAAACAGTGAAGTCTAGTTACAGTTACTAAATTTGAAGTTTTTGAAGAATTTTGAAGATTTTACCTAAGCTTAGGTAGGGAAAAAAAAGTAGCCTATCAGCTGTTAGCCTTGAGAGGCTATTTCAGCCTAACCTTAACTAGTAGGTGAGCTCACGGGGCTCAAACCGGAGTGATGCTAACATTGACCTTAGCAAGAGCAGTGCTTCGTAGAATCTAACACCGGATCGGAAACGCGACCCACTGAGAAGATCCGGCGAGAAACTCAGTGGGCAAAGGCTACTGCTAACCATTCATCATTCGCAAATGATCAATATATTTCTCCTGGTGTAGAAGCTAATGATCGCTGTTCCCGAAGCAATGTGTAAATAAATAAACTTAAAATAATATAAATGAGACCGAATATCTACAGATAGGTACCATAAGTGCACATTTATTTCATTATTTAGTTTTGTCTCAACTTAATTCGGCGTTTTTTACATCTGTATGCGATGGAGAATTTCTAATCCTAACAAAGAAAAATATATTTCCTCACTAGGTTTCACTAGTTCTTTGTATGTATAAAAGAAGGGAATAAGTGTGTTTAGGTATTTACATTGCTTTTTTTCTAGTAATTGGACATAAATGACGTCTACATTATTTAGGCACTGAGTTAAAGTATGTAGCTATACAATAAAATTTAAACGATTTTAGTTGATATTTGTTGAAGTTATGGTGAAAAATAGACGCGTAAAGAAAATTATTTAAAAAAGTTACTTATACCAGTTACGCTCCACATTTTTGGGTTTCTTCCCAATAATTTTTCACATTTTTTTGGTCGGTCACTTATCGGTGGAAGGCATTGTATATAAGATGTGCACAATAGAGGTTATCTTGCCTTTCAAAGATTAGGCTTTATTTAAGATACTGTTGATAATAAACATAATGATTGATGTTTTTGTGAATATGATTATATCATCCACGGCGAAATACAATTATTGCCTCATTACGCAAGCTGCATAAAAAAACACGTTATCACGTGTTCACGAAACTAAGTATCAAAATATTAATTAGGGTTTGTAATATTTACATTAAGAATACTCATTTAAGCGGCCAATTATTGTTCAATGTTCATTTATAATTTGTTACAGTTATAATCTTGTACATAATAAATATTCTGTCAATAAACAAGATAGATTAAAATATACTTGCAATATTATACGCAGTTAATATAATTATAACATAAAAATTTTTAGAAAACTAGGAGAAATTGCATTCAAGCTAGTTTCTAAATACAGTTATATATTCTAAATATAAAATTCAAAATTATTTTGAGTCGGTCACCCACAGAATATATATTTTCTAAATACAAACCTTCCAAGTGGTATTTTAGAAAGCATTTCATTGGCTTTTATAGGATCTGACCAACCAACTTTAGCCATCTCAGTCATTATCACAGTAGGATTGATAGCATTTACTCTGATTCCATATGGTCCTAGTTCTAAAGCCATAGCTCGAGTCAGAGCATCCAAAGCAGCTTTTGAAGCACTGTAGATGGTGTGGTCTTTCAGAGCAGCCTGCAATATTCATTCCAACAAAGTTATTAAAATTTAACTTTCTTCAACTCAACTTCAACTTTTCTTTTATTCAACACTTTGAATACTTCTAAATAAATAGATAAATCAAATATGAGTCGACTATTATCAAAGCCGGCAATCTGACTTTTGGACAATGATTGGTAAATCAGAAAAACGAATTATTGACTTTGTATTCCATTGGCAGTCACAAAACTCTTCGGAACGATATCTTAGATAAATAACAGGTTAAGTATTAACCTTTATTTAATGCAGGTTTTGAACCGTATTCTTTGAAGGAGACGATTATATTCAAATCAATCTGAATTGACATATCAATAAAAAAATTTGTCCAAATGCACAGATTGCCACCTTTGATAATAGACGACTCATATGTATTTCTGAAAGGAAACATAACATAAAAAAATATTTTCAGTAAACTATTTGGAAATTACTCTACTTTTGGTAGTAAAAGCTGTTCACAAAGTGTTGTGGCTTATTTATTCATAGCCACATAAATGAGCTCATGATTCACAGCATGTTAGATGGTAATCGGATCCTATAGACATGCTCAACTTGTCTTAAGAGCTGAGACAAGATGATCATGTCATGTGAACTATAAAGTGGCTTTTCTTACCCTTCAAGATCAAGACGTAAATTTAAAAAGAAGCAGTTTCCTTTAAATTGTTCTATAAAATATGTCTGATGCAAACTTGAACAAATCGATGCCTCCAATGAACACTACTCTAACTAAAAATTTTGAAATTTTCGTTTTTCAAGCAAATTGCTTCACTATGTTAAAAGTATTACAATTAATCATTATTGATGGGGTTCGAAGCAAGAGTAAATCAGCTAGTTACACAAAAAATCCATAAATATATCTGCAATAATAAAGATTTTATCAACTTTTTTCGTTTAAACACTCCTTCTGTAAATCTACAAATTTGGAGTTAGCGTAGTGTTCATTGGAGGCATCGAAATATATTTTTTTAAACATATGACAGCTTACACAACTCTAAGATGTAAGTTGTTTTTTTTCAAATTCTGTTATTATATATTTAGTAATATAATTCCATGTGCATTACTTATGAATGAGATAAAAATGTGAGCATGTTGTGCCCATGTATGATGGTGGCACTAAAATTAATACTAAGTTTTTGTATGAAAAAATGTATGAACTTTGTTACTGCAGAGTACTGTGAAATGCAGAGTATTATGAAATGAACATTAATGCCTAGTTTTTGAAAATTATTTACATTGGAATTTAAGTTGCTCATGTTTCAATTTATTCATTGCTCAAGTTAGATTACAGCACTAATATGTCACATTTAGTACTTTTGTATTTTGTATAATATATCACATCTAGTACCTACAAAAGTATTGAATGTCATATTAGCATAATCTGATTTAATGATCAGTATTGATCTTACTAATCTTACATTTGTAATCCCAATTTGATAACAAATTTAATATCTATTCTATAGCCTGATAACAACAAATCCCTTTAATATATTTATTTCATGTTATATTAAGTGAATTCAACACATTATTTTAAACTTAAAACACAAATGGGCTAAGTTTTAATTTATGTGGACACTATACTTACCATGGCATCTTTTTTTTTGTTTTTACTGCATCTTAGAAGGGCTTTTTGGTTTATTGGCAACAAAAGAGAAAGAACTAGCAATTTTTTGTGTATTATAACTATTAAACTATAGCCATGAAAGTTGTGGTCTTATTATTTGGCTACATGTGAATGTATAGTCATGTATTAGTATTATGATGTATTTAGATAAATAAACTACTGCAATAATAGATACATACATTAAATCGCTTTATGAATGTTAATTCTCTATGAAACACACAATGAAAATAAACAGGTTTAGTTGCCTAATTTTTGCTTTTTGAATCCATGTTAGATAGTCATTGCTAGATGTTTTTCAAATAAATGAGAAACCTTTTTTTTTGTTATTCATGAAAATACTAAAAAAAACATCAATTAAAATTACAATACAACAATTATCAAGATTACTTCTATGATTCAGAATTATAAAAAACCTCACCTTTGATGCCTGAGATGAGATGTTGACAATGGCACCATGAGTTTTATTCTCAATCATTTTCCTTGCAACTACTTGACTTATATTTAAGACTGCTTTAACATTTACATCAAACGTTCTACAATAGAAAGGAAAAGCTTGTTTTATTTTAAGAGCTACTCTGTGTGCTTAAAACTCACTGTTAAATCAAATTAGGATAAAGTTTAGTACTTGTCAAAGTTGCTCGGCGAACAGTCCAAAAATGGTTCACATACAGCAACAGCTGCGTTGTTCACCAACGCATCAAAGTGACCTAAAGATTCAACAACCTTCCTCGTCTTCTCCCAATCTCCTATATCAACGTCTACAATGTCTATAGAGGGGTATTCACTCTGAAGACTTTCTAAGTGCGAACGAGTTCGTGACAATGCAACTATATTTGCACCTGCACGCCATAATTCAATCGCAATTCCTCTGCCGATACCTAGTTTTAATAACAGAAATAATTTGTTATAAACATGTGGTCTATGAATTTATTTACTTGTTTAAATACAACAATTGTAAGTGAATAATTAACTTAATGAACTTGCCTTGCCCGGCACCGGTAACGAGAATTCTTTTGCCTTTAAAAGATATTTCCATTTTTAGTTAAACTGAATGTCCTGAAAATTATTGCAGTTGATACAGATTATAGACTACAGTAGTACAGCAATAATAGCTGACATCAGACAGGAGAGTGCGCAGACTACTTACTACTTAAATGTAAAAATTGTACCTTTTTAAAATAACATGACAGATGTCCGAATGACAGTTCTGGAGCTGGAGCCATTGATGTATTAAAAAACCCAAGATACCTATACACTCACATTTCAAAACCGTTCCCATAAAATGAGCGCACAATTTAAAATTGTGTGCTCATTTCAAATAGTCTCGCGTCGCTCGCGTCTCTGTGCGCTCGTTAAAAACGCCGAAGTGTTCATTGAGAAATTGTAAAAATATTACGTCAAGATCGTTAAAAAAGGGTGGGATATCGTATATTCGCTAACTAAAAGAGTTTGTTGATTTGTTTTTGTTATTTTTATGACTAAATATAGGAAGCAATATGGGATTTTGATTTAATTTGTCTAAAAACTTCACTTAGCTGTCCAAGTTTAATACGGCAAATTTCAATGGTCGTTTTTTCAGTGTAAGAACTACTATTACACTGCCTCTTATTTTAGTCGCATAATCCAAACGATCCTGTTCTAATTCAATGGAGTCGATTTTTTTAAATTGTGTTTAAAGTTTTAATTAATAAGTTTATGCACTTTGAATTTTTTTGTATTTAGTTTTGAATAACTATTCATACGATAGAAAATATATTATAATAATAATATAGTTCTTAATCGAATCCCAGAAGGAAAAGAGGTCGTCTATACGAAGTTATTTTTTAAATTCGTGAATATTATATTATTATATCGATTACCTACTTAAGGGACAACTTATGGCCTCGCAATATACTGCATGCTAATGACAGAAGTATCGTTCTGGCCCAACACGTCACATTGTTAAAAACTTAAAAATTTCACTTCTGTCGGCAGTCTTCATGACTGCCTAGTTTTTTATGACACTTTTATTTTATTTTAAGAATGTTGATTTCGGTTTTTGGTAATTTAAGTATCGGGTATAAATTACGGGTAACTATTGAACAAGACGAGTTGTTTTATTTGCATGTTTTATTTCTAACTTTTATATTTTAGTTTTCCCCGTAACCCAATACGATGCGGAGAATGGACATCAATCGTCACTCAACAAAGATATATCAGATAATGTCGGTGATACTGAAGTCTGTCGTACAGGTTCAATGTATTATTTAGAAAATAACAAGGAATTCAAATCTCTTACTACTTCTCTGAGTATGGGCTTAATTTTGGATACACCTTGAAAAGTTCACAGAAAAAGTGAACTCCATAAATGCCGCAGAAGGCTAATTAGCAAGGAGAAAGTCATTAACAACTTAATAAAGAAAAATCTAGACTTGTTAAAAAGACCATTTCACTTAAAAATGCATTAAAAGTTTTAGAGAAAATATTTAAAGATTGATGTACACATGTCCTACCCAAAAACATATTTACGCTCAGATAAAAGTATAACTATGAGTATAGAACATAATTTAACTAACTCTTAAAATACTAACTCAATGTCTTATAATAAAAAAAAACATACAAATATTCGTCTCCACTCCATGTCCTGTCCTGCCGGCTAATTTCGGTCGTAAAAGATGGTTATTGTACACTGCNATTTAAAGATTGATGTACACATGTCCTACCCAAAAACATATTTACGCTCAGATAAAAGTATAACTATGAGTATAGAACATAATTTAACTAACTCTTAAAATACTAACTCAATGTCTTATAATAAAAAAAAACATACAAATATTCGTCTCCACTCCATGTCCTGTCCTGCCGGCTAATTTCGGTCGTAAAAGATGGTTATTGTACACTGCTTTGTAATAACAACTTTAAACAATGCGCGTAAAGTTGAATTTGCAAAAGATATCTTTATAGCTAACTATAACTACGTAGATATAATTGGTGAGTGTTTCGGGACAGTTTCGAGTGCTACTTTTGTATGAAACTGTGTATCTTGGGTTTTTATATATCAATTTATATTAAATTACAAATACATACACAAAAATACATACATACCATACTTAAATGTGTAAATATATGACGGGTAGTCTTATACCGTGATATTGTGATCTGGCAGCTGTGAGAAACTACTTTTAGATGTCGCTAGTGGAACGTAGATGAAACACAGTTTGACAGTTGAGACGGCGAATCGCCGGGTGGGGAATTAGTTCTTTAAAAGCCGTTGCGTGGAGTGCTTTGCACCTGGTCATCGTTCTCGTCGAACCCGTCGCTTGCGACGAAGAGCTGGGCGAGTAAATTAACCAACAGACACAGCACACTGAGTTTCTCGCCGGATCTTCTCAGTGGGTCGAAAGACTGAAGTGTGTATACTTTGCATTTTAAGAGACGGTAACCGGTGCTTGAGGTACCTAAAAGCACCGTTAATGGATCGAGAGGATCCATAATGAGGTGTTTAGGGCGACGTCGACTGTGCGTTCCCCCGTCGCGGTCAATGTTAGCGGCGGCCACGTTTATGAGGGTTTTTGTGTCGCGCCGCTTGTCGAAGTAGCGTTCTGACGGTTCCTTAAGATACTTACATGTCGGTACTAAATTAGGTTATCGTGAAGATCTACGTTCCTCGCATACCACAGTGCTCCGACGGCTATCCTGCAGAAACTGAATTGGATGACCTGGAGAGAGTTACTGTCTGTAAGCACCACGTGAGTACTACACTTGCATAGGTCATGACAGAACGTATGCAAGTTTTGTAGAGTGTCACCTTGATAAGTAGGGACAAGTTACTTCGCTTAGGGTAGAGTTGACCGAGTAGGAACGCGGCTCGGTCGCGTCATTACTTAATGTGGGGCCCCAATGTCATCCCCTGTCGAGAGTGACGCTTAAGTGCTTAGCGTCCGAAGCCCACGGCATGGGCTGACCAATGATTTTTATGGCGGGAATGTTGTTACCGCTCCTAATTAGTAACGAGATACTAGTAGTAGTGTAGGGAGGGCGACCCCTTTTGTAGAGCACGACTATGCTTTTCGTGGGGTTGATGGCCACTTCCGGAACCGCTCCCCTAAATCGGTGGCTGCGATGTGGAGCTTACTATGCATGAACAACATCTTCCTACTTGAGTAGTAAATAGCCGTATTATCCGCGAAAGGGGCTAAGTGGGTTAGCGGCGACCGGGGTGTTGATAATAAACAGGCTAAAAAGTAGCGGGGAGAGAGCGTACGTAGCCATGCAGGACTGCGGCCAAGATATGTCGCGGGAGAGAGTGAGTTCTCTCGACTCGATACCGAAGAAGTCTCGTATGATGACCATGAGATTGTCTGGCACGCCCACGTTATACAGTTTGTAAATTAAGCCGTTGTGTCAGATATGTCGAACGCCTTCGTGATATCTAGAAGAGGGTTCCCGTGGGGACGCGTCTGCGTCTGTTTCGCGCGGAATCCGAACTGTTCGTCGATCAGGATGCCTTTGAATACAAGCTTCGGCTAAAGGTTAAGACTTGGTGACCCGGAAACTCTTCTCTGTACATGCGATAGATTGTATCTATGTTAAACGAAGAAACATAGTTAAATACGATAGAAATGGAAAACTGAGTGGTTTCATAAAAATATTTTATTAAACAAAATTGTTAAATATTAAGGCAAAGTAGTACCTACGAAATAAGTTAATTATATAAAATTTATAAATTATTTTTGATTCTTACGATTACACAATCGAATAAGTCAAAATAATTATCTATTTACACACAAGTCAAAACATACATGCTACTTAAAAAATAAATACTAATGTCAAAATTACATAGACCTTTCATACTTCAGTGCGAAATTACAATAATTCTTTTAATTTGTCAACTTCTGTCAAAGGTTTAAATCTTTACTAGATGTATTTGTGTACTCTGCGGTTTCACCCGCTTTATATTTGATGAAACATGTCGCATTTTTCCAAAATATAACAGTTGCTTGCCTGTGATTCATACATTACCAGTCGATTTGTAGATCAATTGGTATAGAAAACCACGAATCAGAAAGCACATTATTTTTCATTGTAGCATACCCGGCGCACTTCAAGTCTTAACGAAAATCCGTTCAGTTTGCTCTGTGATAGAGTAACAACGAATTGCGAAACTTGGAAATATAAATAAAATAATATGGCTCTTACAATTGGCCGCTAACGTAAAAGATTAAAAATAACATTTAGATAATAATGCAAAATATTCTGCTGCAAACTAAAGAAGCGTTGCTATTTTTTCATTAAAATATATTTTGAAAAGATTAGATTGAGTTTTCGTTATTTCCTATGGTGATTTTAATAGACGCTAAATTGGTCCCATGATGAAATAGTACCACCATCACGGTAATTATTTTTATTAAAAATATATGTATATGGTTTCCAGTGTCTGGCTGTATTCGTTCTTGGCTTAAAGGTGTACTTTTTTGGGACCCATAGCATAAGAGAAAATCCCTTACGGGGGCGTTGAATGCTTAAAAATTATCTTCTGTAAGGAGCTTTGCGGTATCGGCCACGTTCTTCTTCGTCACGCACGTCCAAGTAATGGCTGAATACAACTGCCCAAAGGTAGAGATATAAGCCTGTTGACAGAGAAATATTCGGGAATAATTATTAAATTAAAAACGGTTAGATAATTATTTTGTCTATATCTATAATACGTATTTAATATAAGTAAATACATAGGTAATTAGGTCGGTGCAATCGCTCCGGCAACTATTAGGTAGATACTAGGTGAACACGTGTTCTCAACTGTATCACAATATTTATCCGTTTGTAGGTATGTGCACTGGTAGGAGCGTCTCCGTAATGACTGAATGATGAACCTCAAAATATTTTTCATGAAAGGGTCAAATCATGTCAACATTGAGGTTATCTTTGCTTTTTTTCCTACCTAAATACGAGTAGCCTCAAGGCTATTTTGGTTTCATCTGACGGCTAAGACGAGATTGCGGGGCTCGTCCTGAGAGACTTTTGCTAACGTTTACCGTAGCAAAAGCAGTCCTTCACTGAATCTACCACCGGATCGGAATGCGAACGTTATTGATGCGTTTTAGTTTGAAACAAATAAAAATCGGACACTGAGATAAGAAAATTTTCTCCTTTTTATTTAAAGTAGTTTCAAACGATTTGATGCGTCAAAAATTTTTTCGGGTAAAAGATTATTTTCCTGAATTATCTTCAGCTTTAGTTCTTAATAGATCTAATGATAGGTAGTTCTTGGCAATAACCCAAATTTTAACAAAATTTACTTGTTTGATTTTTATTTCGCGATGTTATTTTAAGTAGGTATAGGGAAAGTTGATTGAGAATTCTTAGACAGATATTTTCTTGGATTTTAATTGAAAAATGACACCAGGCTACTTTTTATTTAGGCGACGACTTTCATATTGCTTCTGCATTTATCCAGTCATATCGTATGGCAGACTACAAGAGTTTAACGACTGCACCTTTTAACATTTTACAAATCAAATTATGACGTAAAATATGTAAAATTTCATTGTGCTCTTCGCTGTGAACCTATAAGTGCGGGTGATGAAGGTTATTGTAAGTAATTGAATCGAATATTTATTATTTTAATCGAATACAGTTCGAGCTCTTTTCTCTTTAATTTTGACTTACATAAATATAGGATTCCTCCTACAAGTATGACGGTGGCTTCTATGACGTGATCGTGTTCATCGAGGTAATAGGTAATAGATGTGTGAAGGATACTGATCAGCAAGCCGATTGCCAAAACGATACCCAGCACTACCCACGGCAGCATCAACCATGACCGACGCTGAAAATTGAAGTAATATTAACATTACAAATAAATAATAGTTTAAAAAAACTAACAAAATTTCAGGATATTATCAAAATAGCCCTTCTACTCATATCTGTTCATAAAATATTTATAACTACTGATACCATACACCCCACGCTTTTTTTTACAATAAAATCATTTTTTCTTAAACTGTTTTTAATTCAAATTTATTAAAATTTATTTTTTATTTTTTAGTTGAATTTCAATTTAATAAGTATTCATATTAATAAGTATACCAAATTTCTAGTTAATCCGACGTTTTGAAAGGAGTCAAAATCTTGTTCAAAGATTCCGTTACATACGTCTGAAGCTAATAAAAGCGAATTAAAAATACTATTCAGTGTAATTTTACACAGGACATTTTTGTTCATCTTCCGAAAGCATTGCACGAGGTGATAGGGCTAATACAGATATGACGTTTTAGAACCATGTATTATTAAATTTTAAAACAGGTAGTTTGTTTCGTTTTGTACGTATAAGAAAATTAAAAGAAGTACTTTGTACTTTGAAGAAGTTAGTATTAAGTGATAATTTTTGCTTACCGAAAAAGACTTCTTGATGCGTGAAATCAGAGTGGAAAATTAGAATTTAATGATTTAAAAAAGCTTAAATTTAAGAACATTCTTTACCTTGTTTATAGCGACGATCAGAAGTGTGCAAATCAAGATAGTGAAACATAAATTTATTGTTAAAATTATCCTTGGAACTGAAACAAAGAGATGTAAAACAATTTTAACACACCTTTTGATGAAAATTTGTTTTATATATTGATCTAAAACGAATTATGATTTCACACAGTAGGTATAATATAAAGAATCTAAGATTTATTGAAAAAGTATATTATAGTTTAAGCTTCTTTGGAGCTCTCACTAGGTAAGTCTGTATGTTACGTTTGACAGTTATCAGCTTACATTTCGGTTTCGGTTCTCAAATAATAACGTTCTCAAAGATAGGTAGTTACGGTACTAAAGCACCAGATACTATTTTTCGGGTTAGATTTTTATATTATGATGTTATTGCATTAATATGCCTCCTCGTCCTGACTTCTTTAATTGATATGTCATTAAAAAATTGTACTAACAAGATAATTTTGAACCTGCAATAGTCACGTTACTCGCTACGAATACACTGGGCGTCCAATTAGGCTACTGACGCTTTTGACCACATCCTTAGAGGAATTTATTGCCCAAATTCGAACAAACAAAAGAGAAAAGGTAATGTAACATGTGCAAAATCAATCAGGAGGTCTCAGTGATTATGGGTGAATTTCGAATACTCGGCAAGCCCTAGTAATAATTAAAAACAAAAGAATATAACGTACTGTCTAAGTCTGAAAGCTTCTTGTCGAATTCCTTGTCAAAGATAAATGTGCTGAATGAGACTGTGTGTTTCTTGACCGTCCATATCAATATGATTGTGGCTATCGAAAGTATGATGCCGAGGATAGCAGTGATCAGGGACCCGGTCCGAGTAGAAGCACAGCAGCAGCATTTCTGAAGACGCTTCATTTTGTTCTGAGATAATTTTTCGGCTCAGATAATATATCTCATAATTTCTGGAAAAAAAAAATTATTTACATTAATACCAATGTAATAATGCCAATTACCCGATAGGTAAGTTTTCAGGAGATTGTTGTGAAACTACTATAAAATGAGAAAAGACAGACGTAAAGATAATTCTAAAATTCAACATTGTACATCTTTTATCTTTTCAATATCGTCACCTTACTTTTATTGGCTTGGTGGTGCGAGTTCAAAGCTCACGCGTTTGTTAAGCCGCCAATGGAGCCTGTGCCTCACAACCTGCCACCTACCTGAGGTCTTAGACCTTAGACCTTAGACCTGAGGTCTAAGTTTCAACTATAGTATGTAATAGCTGTGCCAAACATAAGTGTGGAAAGAAAGTGGTGTTAACCCATACGGGTCTCACAATAGGACCTATCATTGTGAGGTCTACTCAAACTAACTTGGCCTTTGCCCTACCTCTTATGACCAATTCTAGTCGTAAACATACGAAAGTGAGCCTACTATTCCTAAAGAGAGTGGACGTCGAGTTGGTAGCTGCTGGTAAATGTGATCAAAATTACAAATCAAAATCATTATTGTGATTCTAAATTTTGTTTTTGAATTCTTTTTACATAAAATACATAAAAGAAATCATTGTGTGAACGATATATGCGGTGAAAAACATGTTTTTGTGTCATTGGAAAGTCTATAATTTGATTTACTACGAATACATTGGTTTATTTCTTTAGTGGTATTAATACTATTTACAAAAAATGGTTTTCGATACATATTCAGGAATCTAAAAAAGAAACTTCAATAAGGAAGCAAGTTAGTAATTTTATTATACTAGAAGTTAAATTACGAATATAATCTTTTCCCTTAATATTCTTTATAAATGTTGTTATGTGAAAGAGCCCTCTTTTCAGCTGTTTACAAACATGCACCGACTATGTTGCAATGCAACGCAATACCTCTTTCCGGCTCTAGTTTTAGCGTCAAGACAAACCATAATGTGACGACTGGGGCTGTTATCGTTCATTATTTCCTGACACCGTTATTTTCGTCACTTTGTTTTAGCTGTATACGTACTTAGATTGTATGTAAGTTTCACTTGGCGGTAATTCAGTAAGTCTAGTTTCTATAGAACGAAACTATTTGGTTTATTAGAGCCTAATTTAAAAAACTCACATCTTTCAAAAATATGTTAAAGATTATTTTTTAATTTTGTATTACCCGTAACGTATACCGTAAGATTAAATGTGTGTATTTATTTTAAATATATGTATGAATGCGTATAATAATTAACGATTTTATTTAAAAAGCGGTCACGTGCAACATGGCTTATTTTGTAAATAAATAGGCTTCATAAATTGAAACCATCATAAATTTTAATAGATAAAAGTAAAAAGAGTTATCAGAACGAATGCTGGATATTTTATGTAAATCTTCAAGTAGTTCAGTAATCGGTCGGTAGGTACCTATTGTAATTGGAGCAGGAAATAAGATAACCCTCCCACTCTCATGATGACATTGGCCTGACCCAATTTTCTATTCACTATACTTCATTACGAAAGCCTCATGCCTCGCCTATGTATCTTGGTAAAAGGGCACACCTAGACATTTGCACTCTATTACAAAAACAAAGACTACCTAAGTACCAACCCGCCCGTGATGTGCTTTTGGTGTATATTTTTACTGCAAGGTTTTTTGAAAAGTTCAACGTGTAGTAAACGTATAACTAATTGAAATTATCTGTTCATTATTGTGTCCCGCAAATATATTACCTATACAAAATCAGTAATACTACGGGTTAGTGAAACGGAATGGTCTTTCAGAAGTTTCAGCAGTTTCTGTAACGGGTATATCCAACGCAAAACATATTAAAGTTAAATCAAAGGCGGAGTGTTAATGTGGTAATAAAAAGTTTGTGCACCTTATAACATCGAAATGAAAATCGATACGAAACATGGAATCGATAACCTTTTGACCTAATACTTTTATTTGTACCTACATCATGTTTAAAAAAAAAGATGTAATATGTTTTTCTGTGCATTTGTGGCCCTAATCAAAATAATAGCTGCATTATAATAGCCGGAGCCCATATACATCTACATTATTTTGAGAAATAAATCCGCACTCAAATCGAAAACAAACGTTTGATGCGTTTGATATTAAAAAAATGTCTAGCGTTTGCCGACTCGTAATTTGGTCGAGTCTGTGTGGTTGTGAAATTGATATTGTGTAATAGTTTTTTTTAGAACGCTTAACTTCGAATGACGCTGTGCCCAAGCCCATTTGCCTCTAAACATACACTAGAATATAAATGGCGTTGCCGGGCAGATCTAAATGAATGTGTTAATTATTGCAATTAGTTATTGTTTGGTTGAAAAATCGCTCCAGGAGCTTTTTTATTTATTTTTTATTTCATAGGAGGGGTGGACGAGCTCACAGCCCACCTGGAGTGAAGTGGTTACCGGAGCCCATATACATCTACAACGTAAATGCCGCCACGTACCTTTACAGTATATACAGTATAGTTACAGTACAGTGACTACGACACTGAATTAAACGGAACATAGTGGCCCAGCCATATAATAATATAATTGTTCGTGTTTCCGCAATGAAGGTTTACAAAGCTCTGGATTTAAATTTTAACAACGGAATTCAAATGCCACCCGGTGGACACTCTTCGAAATCTTGCGCTTCAGCTGATTTTTGCTTGGATTACAATGCCTTATTAAAAATAAAGCTACATTTAACTTATAAGACTGAGACTTTTTTAATTATTTTTTTCGTGACACTGAATACTGTTAGGTATAGAGTTCTACTTAATTAAAATTATTAAATGTCTAAGCCCGAGATGTGACATCATAAAATTTGCCCTAGAACTGTATACAATGATGAAGTATTGTAGCACTCACGTCAAATAACGTGTTACTAGAGGTCCCGCAGTAGTCGAAATTCGACTATACCTAATTAATTGGAATTGTAAGTTTGTACACTATTATGATTGTATTATATACTTCTATAATCACAAATTTCGCCAAGACTACACTATAAGTATAAAACATATTAACAAAGACAAACAATATATAATCTCAATTTGACAAGAGACGTCAAGAACAAAAGTTTGACAATAAATAGTATGCATGCGTGTGTGCGTTAAATACATGGTATGTAGTGTGTGTAATGTTTTCTTTATTGATTCAATACATATATCTTTCATGCATTTTAAAAAAAAAATATTAGCATTGTGCACTTCTTCTCTATATTCTCTATAAGTGTGGAGAATTTCATACTTACATTAGACAATGTCATTGAAATAAATTACGTAACAATTGTAGCATGTAACGCGATAACTTAATTTTACAATTGCAAAGCATTTACAACTTCAAACCCAAACATCGCAGCTGCTGCTATTACAATACAAGTACGTAGTTTTGTGGTACCCGATACCTTCGTCACGGCTGTTAGTTAGAATTCTGAGAAAAACATGATAAAAGGAGCACTCACGGCTGTCAGGGATAGGATTGTTCGTAACAACAACGCCATTGACATTCCAAAATCATGTACCTTGCGGCATTGAACTATAATATTAGGGAAATTTTAATTGTGAATGAAGCTAATAAGATACCAAACAGCATAAGAGATCTTCCACTAACTCAATTTAAAAGAAAATTATATTTATGGCTAATAGACAAGGCTTATTATAGTGTGGAAGAATTTTTAAATGATAAGTGTTGTACATAATAAAATATTAGAATAAGAAGTGATAGAATGTAAAAATAGATAGATTTAGTAAATTTTGTGTTATAATTAATATAAAAATAAATTAAATTTTCGCATGCCTAAACAGGCGAAATATATGAAACTATGTCCTATATCTTGTAAACTATATTTCTGGCGAATAAAGATTTTCTTTCTTTCTTTCTTTCTTTCTAGTAGATAATAGATGGTATATTATATTAACAATATTCATTAAAATTAATTTAATTTTAACTGAATCCTTCTTTTTTTTTATGATTGTAGGATTACTGGTGGCCCGGAGGCCTTTCCAGTTTCACCAGGACAGGTGGGCGAGCAAAGGCTCAGCCAGGAGGCATATAACTGAATCCATGCGACTCATCTGTCCACACACACTAATCATTATATTACTANAGTTTCTCGCCGGATCTTCTCAGCGGGTCGCGATTCCGATCCGGTAGTAGATTCATTCGCGAAGCAGCTACTCTTGAGTTGTTAGGTCTCCTTCGGAGGCGCTCGGGCAGCTGTTAGCAAATCCCACCCCTCCTGGCTGAGCCTTTGCTCGCCCACCTGTCCTGGTGAAACTGGAAAGGCCTCCGGGCCACCAGTAATCATTCAATCATAAAAAAAAAAAAAAAAAAAACACACACTAATCATTATATTACTATGACCCTATTTATCTGAATAGTAGTACATCTTGCAAGTTGTGTAATTGATCCGATCATTTAATCGTATCTTGTAAGCCCACGCTCGTTCCCAGATGTATTACTATAATTGCGTCGTTGTTTATCGCATACTTCACAATAACATCTCAAGATTTAAATGTTGTATATTTGTAATTGAGCAAATCAGATAACGAGGCCAATGTTTACCTTTTATTGCACTGTGAACGATGGCTAGATTTCCGTAAAAATAATTATATGTTTTAATAAGAAAAATATTTTTAGCCCGCTAAACAAAGATTCGATTTGTTCGTGAACTACAGTGACGTTCAACTACTCGTATTGCATTCGCTAAAACTACAGAACCGTATGAGAACGTAATACAATAATATGTACTTTGATAAAACCAGTATAGTAAAATATTCAGCGAAAGGCCTTGAAAAACCAACAGTTACGAACGACAGAATCATATTATTATTTCGACAATACAGAATACCGTATGCATGTTGTTTCTAGCACCTAATAGTTATCTTAAGAATGTAGAACACAAAAATGTATACAAGCAAGAACGGAACTGCCCTAAAATTCACATCGCTGTGTGATAAAAGTTGGAATGCCACGATCATACAAAGAATGTCATGAGGGTTTTTAGTTACAGACAACTTCGGAGAGTTAACCTCGTCGTAATAAGAATTGAGAAGGTCGGCGTACGCGCGTTGTGTCCGCAGAAGGTAGACTGACGTCATCATGTTGCGTGGTGATGCTGTATGTTAACAAAACATACCTAGTGAATATGTAGTAATGTGTCATTTGTCATGAAAAGTTATTAACTTTGAAAAAAAAAAAAACATAAAAATTACATCATTCTTATTTAGCTTAAAATCATAGTTTATTAATTTTCCAAGACATTGTTCGATGAGACCACAATGCGATTTCGTCAAATCTACCACGAAAATAAAGACTTCTCTGAAATAGTCAATAACTCGAACGAACTATTTATGGTCACAGACCTCGACGCGTGTTAAGGCGAACAATCAAGGTCAGCGACTATTAATTGGTTCATTGCTTAGGGGAAGTCCGGGCATAGTGGATAGGCCAGGCAAAGTGAATACGCTTTATTTCTCGTCAAGAACATGTCGGAACACGCGCTCCTCGCGCCATTACACTCCCCCGCCGGTCCGCATTCGTGGGCAAACAGAGGTAGCGGAAGGTCGCGTCGCGTTCGAGATAAAAATCGAAAAAACCAAATATTGAAGTTTTCTTATTACTTTTCAAGGTACGTAATACTTTAATAACTCATATAAAAGATAACCATATTGTTTGGTACGATTATGTCCTCTAAGTGCATATTTTCAAGTATAAATTCTGAGAGTTTTGTTACTTTGTCGTCACTTCATTTGGTTTTAGGTTAGGTTGAATGAAATAAATAGGTTTAAGGCAAAGTGATCACGGGTAAAGTGGATACGGTATTCGCTTTGCCCTCGATGACTTTACTAGGCATTCAATTATTATTATTTTTAGATGGTATATAAATACAAGAGGAAGACTAATCAAGCCCAATGGAGTGAGGACAGTATGATGCTTGCAATAGCAGATTGCAATTCTGGCATTCCTGTCAAAACGACCGCAAAAAAGTATGGTCTACCTTACGCCACTCTCTATAGGCATTGGAAAAAAGGTAGTTCGACGGCTCAGCTTGGTCGTTTTCGTAAAGTTTTCAATGATGGTCAAGAGGGAGATCTTCGAACGTATTTTTATGAAATGGATAGTGTTTTTTATGGGCTAACCCGAGAAGATTTTAAAACATTAGTTTTTGAATACGCGAAACGCAATAATGTCACTTATCCGCCTAGTTGGGACAAAAATAAAAAAGCTGGTGATGATTGGCTAGCAGGATTTATTAGAAGAAATCCACAAATTACACTAAGAATTCCAGAAGCAACCACAATTGGCAGAGTTAAAGGCTTCAATCGTCCTCAAGTAGAAAGGTTCTATAAACTGTTAAGTGAACAAATTGAGAAGTGTCAAATTGATGGTACTAGAATCTATAATATAGATGAAACTGGCATTCAGACCTCGACAAATAAACCACCCAAGGTTCTTTCAGTTAAAGGTAAGAGGCAAGTTGGAGTCATTTCCAGCACTGAACGTGGACAAACTACGACAGTCGTGTGTTGCTGCAACGCTTCTGGATCATTCGTTCCACCGTATATGATATTTGCACGTAAAAGGATGCAAGATCGCCTTTTGGATGGTTCTCCTCCAGAAACTCGAGGAAGTTGTTCAGCTTCGGGATGGATAAATGGAGAAATATTTTTGGATTGGCTTAAATTTTTCGTCGGCCACGTACGTCCGACAAAAGACAAAAAAGTTATTTTACTTCTGGACAACCATGAAAGCCATAAATACTACCCAGCTTTACAGTACGCAACTGAAAATAATGTCATCATTTTGTCTTTGCCACCGCACACCTCAAACAAACTTCAACCTCTGGACGTGGCTGTATATGGTCCATTTAAAATATTCTTCGAGCAAGAAATCAATAGATTTCAAAAGGCTCATCCAGGTAGGATAATCAACCAATACGATGTAGCCAAACTGTTCAGTCCAGCTTATCTGAAATCTGCTACTCCTAACAATGCTATCAAAGGCTTTCAATCAACCGGTATCTGGCCAACAAATAAAGATATATGGGGAGAGGAAGATTATGCACCATCTTCTATTACAATGACAGACCGTAATACCGCTAACCAACAGGAGACTTTTATAGACTCAAACAGTCAAAATGTTGAAATTACGATTGACATCGAAAAGCCTTCTACATCAGGGCTCCAAAGTCAGTCACTGCAAATTGATGTAGGACCACTGGAACAGATTGAAAGAAAATTTATTGACAATGTGAATGTAGAAGTTGAAGCTGCAGTGGAAAATGGAGAACAAAAAGAAAAATTTATAAAAATTAATGTCAAAGCAATGAAAAATATGAATATAGATTTAAATGCTAAACCAAAGACTGCGACAAAGAAAAATACTAAAACGACCAAAAATATAATTGTTAAAGATAAAAGCAGTGATAAGGAAAACGAGGAAGAACAGTGTGTATGCTATTATTGCGGGGAGAACTATATAGAAATAAATAAAAAACCAGTTGAGGATTGGATTCAGTTTGATAAATGTAAGCAATGGAGTCACGAAAAATGCACGGCTTATGGAGGAATAGGCTTATTCTTTTGTGATATCTGCACGGATTAAGTAATTTAAAACTAGGCTAAGTACCTATTTGTGTTCACTTTGCCCTATCGTCTTATCCACTTTACCCGACCTATGGGGCAAAGTGGATACCGGCATGTGTTGCAATATTATTGACAATTAAAATTAAAGAACTGCTATTAAGCAATTTTTGTTGATTATATTAAAAACTTTAATAAATGTTGATTCTCAATGAAATTTTCTTTTATTTATATGCCTATTGGTTTTCTTCCTATAGCCCATCAAACGTTAAGGTGTCCACTTTGCCCGGACTTCCCCTATTTTAATCCACATTAAAGATCATGATTCAGGAACTTGTTACACTATATAACGTTTATTTGTCAAAAACTGTTCCATGTTCATGGCTCTCGTCTCAATTTCTCTCTATTTAATGTCCTATAAATATCATAACCACGTTGGTGTTTTTTCTTTCAGCCAAATATATTTTGAACATAGCGGTGTATTACGAATATCGTTCATTGATATATTTTCAGTTATCGGCCAAGGTTCTACTAAAAATGATGTAAAATCTTGCAGAGGCCCTGGTATAAATGTTTAAAAAAAATTATGTACAGTATGGCATAAGCTTCTATCGATGTTAAAGGTTTGATTATTTTATAATTTATATAATATTCTGTTATGACATCATCAGCGTCGGGAATACTGCGATGTGTAATTCAACAGTACCTTGCAACTGTTGACTCATTGACCGAAACGTCTGAGTAAAGCAGAATTCTTCAAAACATTGAGTAATTTAATATCCGTTGGGGTGACTGGATTACCCTTGAATTTCGGAAGGATCATGGCGGGCAATATTTTGATCTGATTTAGGGATTCGAAATCTACGTTGGCAGAATAAGAAATTTTACGTAGCATAATTTTAAGTTTGTAACTATACCTACGTGCAGAGTATCTATTTTTAGCTAGGTCAAATTTCCCATTAAATATTCCTTAATTTATCAACAAATTTAATAAGTATAAACTGTTATTGTTTCTAAGATCGTAACCAAATATGGAAAAATAAACACTGCTTCCATGTCTGGCGTGTAAGACTCATCGCTGGAGTTAGTTGCACACAAACTTTATGACATTAACACCTTTAATGGGTTCACCTGAAAGCATGAATCACTTTCTTTGTGCGTTTCGTGGTTCGCTCCACATATCTGTTAATTACATAAATCAATTTGTTAATGGGATGCGAACAGAAACGGTGGGCCTATTTCGAAACCAGGTCACTGTTTGATTTTCGATTTCGTATCGTATGTTATATATCAAATAATTGTACGCATATAATTAACGTTATACCGTGTAGGTACTGTGATAAGATATGATTTGGCCTATGTCTATTTGATACGTTAATTATCTACAGTTAGAATAAATTACAGTTTTATAGGATACTGACGTTGAAAAAATCAAAATCATTTATTTTTTCTTTGATATCATAAAATATAATAACAAATAAAACGAAATTAGTAATTAAAAAAGCATTATAACGTGAAATGTAGAAAGTTCAATAAATCGATGATTTCTATTGCTTTTTCTACAAAAAGGCACGTAGAACTACCATACTTTGATGTCTGTTTATGGACAGTTGGGAATGCAGACGTGTCCTCACGTTTGTAAAATGAATGTAACATTCATGCCTTTTTCGGTAAGACAACTAATAGACTTAGACAAACAGGTAGTGCTGTAGGTAGTGTAGAAAAACAAAACCGTGCCTAACCTAATTAAGGTAGAGATATATGTTTATTTTATTGCAGTTTCCGGACCGGTACTTTTATGTTCAAATATAATAAATTAAATATCCAGATGGTTTATGAAAATTACTAACATTGTCAGTGTGTAACTCGTAAATGAATTCGTCGTTCAAACAACGTATAGATATTTTAGATTAAATTAAGTAAAAAGAATAGTAAAGTTAAGTTAAAATCAAAATTAATTTGATGAATTAAATAGTAGGAGGGACAAAAATTATTAACTTCATACAATACGTCTAGTGTAGTCGGTTTAAGAATGTGTCCTCAGTTTTATCTGTTTTATTTTGGATACAGATTTATTTTTGTTGTAATTCCAATAATCATCGACAGAATAGAAATTTGGTAAAAAAGTCACAAAAATTTAAAAACGTTACAAGTTTTGTTGTAAAATGTATAAAGTTGGTACGCTCCAAAGAAATATGAACTATTTTTACTAAGGTGCATCTGTACAAACAGCATCCTCGATCTACAGCTGTACTTACAGAACTTCACGTGCTGCCCGTTTTAGGAAACAGTTTAACTCCCAATTTTATATGAATGCTATTAATATAAAATGTATTCGGCGAGCATGCTTAATGAAACCTACCTATTTTATTTACTTCTATACTGGGAAACCTAACCTACTTCTATACTACTATACTACTATATGTTTGTAAGTAAAAACAAGACAAATCGTTTCAGTGTCAAAATATTGTAAAACTTATCGCTAGTCGAGATACAAATAAAAAGATGACTGCATCATATCAAAACATAACATCTTTGAACGTTAACAAAAATAGTTTGACGGTGTACCTATTCAGCGTGGGCCCGATATCACTGTGGAATTCCGCTTGGTTTGTGTTGTTACACGTGCTTCCGTATATATTTTTTTCAATTATTCTATAACTAAATAGTCAGTATCAATATTTCGGTATTTTATCCAACTTTTATAACATTTTGGTATTTTATTACTTAATTCCGTAATTATATTATAGAATAAGTTTTTAGATGAATATGGAGTAATTGTGTGTTTGTAGATCGTAATTGACTAAGGAAATTCATTAGGTATTACTATTAGATAGGTAGATGCTAGATATCAGATAGTTTTGAGCGGGCCCATTTTCAATGTATGTTAACAGTTATTCAACTACAATAATCTCAATAAATATGGCCCTAATTATGCGCATTCATTAAGAACAAAAGTTATGCACCAATAATTACATAACGGTGGAAGCGTCCACACGTGTATCGTAACATTCAATCAGTGACAAAAACCTACACCAAAACACGTGAATGTGTGGGAAAACGATTTCTTTAATTTGCTGCAGAGTATTAAACTGAATTAGTTGGAACTTCTGCGTTATCTTACCTTTGAAATTCTAAATGTATTATGCACAATAAAGTTTCTATAGATAAAAACGTTTCAAGCAACTATATTACTTGTTACGTCTACTTGCACATCATGCAGTACATTTATATTATTAATTTAAAAAGATACGAACAAAAAAATATTTTTATAAGAAATGTACAACGTCTAATGCATTATAATTATTTGTAATTATGTTACTGCATTACTTTTATCTGTAAAAACTAGCGTCCGAAGTAGTGTAGTACATTGTTATCATAGTTACGACGTTGCATTCCTAATGTTTAATACATTATGACATTTATTAAAGACATAAAGAAGTTATTGTGAAAGCGTTTCGACATAAAATATTTTTTAAAACCTTGATCTTTAGTCACACATTATTGTAGATGTTTTTATTCATTTGCACGCTTTTGTTGGCTTGACGTACACATGTATATTATTATGGGATGTTATGAATGTGTAACATAATCTTTGAACGTAGTTTTCACCAGTTTTCGATTCACTTGAATGCACAGGTGTCAAAGGCCGATGACAATACATTAATTTATTTCGATTAACATCCAGAAGGTAGCCAGACAGTGAAAATATTACTTAGAATTTTTAGTTCGGCTTGCTATTAAAGCGTGTTATTTAGTTTTTAAACTACTTAAACGATTTTTAGTGTATTGTTATTACAAATACAGAAGTATATAAATATCTATCACTAACTTTGCCTGCGACACGCGACACCTAAAAATGTGAACACTGTTTATGAATACATGAATAATACCATTCGTTTGATTAATAAAAACAAAATACTGTGTGTAGTGTATATAGGGAGAGTAGATTTCTCGTGTTTTACTTGTATAAATAATTTCCGAACAGAAATTGTTACTGTTTGAAAATTTCAATGGATTTTTCTGAAGGATATGCGTTGTTAAATTTTCATGGCAAATAAAAAGATTTTGTTTAAATGTATCAAAATAACTTACGATTCACAACGCAAAATAGTTCAAGGTAAGGTACGCAATTGGTACAATCCAAAAATATATTCTTCTAAGATCAAATCAAGGTCTCACTACTGATGCTAAAGAACGCGCGAAACATTTCTTTGATTCGCTTAACTCTAATAAAACAAGTAATGTTATTAATTACCTTTACCGGCGTTTAAATTACAACACTAAGCACTTGTTTATAAGTTCAATTTATCTTGTTCACAATCAATAGGTTACACAGTTCAGTTCTGAATGTCGTGTGTACACAGTAATATATACACGCGATAGATCCGGCCGGGTGTTGAAGATCGTCTGCTGTAGTCGCGGTATAGCGTAGGAGCGCGCTGCTATGACTGACGCATCATGATGATGCCACCGCTAATCGGGTACGGTCTTAACCTTAACTCTTTATTTCATAACAATTTACGTCACGTTATTTGAAATACTAAGCGAAATTTGAAATGTCCAAAAATGATGTTTAGGGTAGGTATAGTTTGAAAATATATAGTAATATTCTTTGCAATTACTTTACTCTATGTTTATGCTAATTTTTGCACTGTCGAAAATCAAATTGTGCTCACCTAGGCACAACCATGAATAATAAAATTTTTACGAAACTTCTTTTTGAAATTTTCTTGTAGTGGTCAACATTAATTGTGATTCGTAATATCAAAGCTGACGTTTCACAATACAAATGTCATTCAAACCATGAACATGTAATATAAAAATAAAATAAAAACTTCATTAAACACATTTGGTTGCTACAAAAACTGATAGTATGAACTTGCTATCGTATTTAGGTATGAGTTTACAATCCGAAGTCTGCTTGTGGACGCTGCTGGGCCTAATACGAAATATCTTTGATGCCACACTATTTAAAGTCAACGCCAACCTAAAACAGGTTTTTTAAAGCTCATCACTTATTCATTTGACGTATTAATATGACTACATTTAACACATATGACGTAAACACATGATATGGAACAATTATTAAAAATTAGAACAAATATTTCTTTACAAAATATGTAGATACGTATTAGTTGTTGAGATCAAATTAATCTTAGAAGTCAAGGACTGGTAGCACTGCGCATAATGGTATAACTTTTTATAATGAATTTTACTGGTGGTAGGACCTCTTATGAGTCCGCGAGGGTAGGTACCACCACCCTGCCTATATCTGCCGTGAAGCAGTAATTCGTTTCGGCTTGAAGAGTGGGTCAGCCGTTGTAACTTGATACTGTACTTGCGACCTTAGAAATCTTATCTCAAGGTGGGTGGCGGCATTTACGTTGTAGATAGATGTCTATGGGCTCCGGTAACCACTTTTCACCAGGTGGGCTGTCCACCCAGCTAAGCAAAAAAAAAAAAAAAAAGAAATGTGACTAGGTTCCAAAATTCAAGTTTCTATTGATATAATATAACATGTTTTATATTATGTGTAATATAACATATATTTCAGTATATTTGTTATGTTTGATCGTAAAATAAAATAAAATAGTAACACTTAATTTTAAAACATTGGGCAATCTTGAACCGGTTTCCGAAACTTGTATATTTTGATCCTTATGTTTATTACCTTTTCGCTGGTTCTATTAAAATTCTTTAGGATTGATTTTAAAAATTGCTAATCGCAAAACTCGTTTTGACAATGGCAAGACGTCGGATAAAACGTCTTTAATAATTTTATTAAAAATAATCGAAAAGATAATCGGTTTAGCTTTGATAGAGAGATGAGTTCATTGCATATATTATTATAATCATAAGCAGTTTTTTCCTACCTATTCTAAAGACTTCGAGGTGTCATATTATATTCACCGGGCGTAGTATAAGCAGTTACTGGAGTCCACAAACACTATAACGTGTTGCCCCTACATAGAGATCAAGATCGAAGTCTCAGCTGAATTAATCTAAAGTTATTACACTCTTGTAAATAAAACCGACAAGACCATGATCCCAAACGATATGAACTCATCATTGTTCCTTTTGATTGATTATGTTAGGTAATGGCAGGAACTGTCAAGCGAATGTCAACAATAACAGTAACTGTACTATTCCAGATTTAAATAGTTTTCAGAGGTTCCCAAAGATTGACACAATCTTTCGATTTTTTTCTCCTACCTATTCTTGAGGGGCTATTCTAGATTCACCGAACTAGTAGGTGATCCCAAACCGGGAGTGTTGCTAACACTGGCCCTAGCAAAAGCTAGCAGTGCTTCGCAAAATCTACCACCGGACCGGAAACGCGACCCACTGAGAAGATCAGGCGAGAAACTCAGTGGGTTGTGTCTATGGGTTAATCGAGCCCTTTGTCGCGAGCGACAGGTTCGGCGAGGACGGTGACCGGGGCTTGAGGTACCTAAAAGCACGGTTAATGGATCGGGAGGATCCGTAATGACGTGTTTAGGGCGACGTCGACTGCTTACCGATCGGTCCACAGGATCGGGTATGAATCTTTCGTACTAAGTTCTGAAGGCATTCGCAGGTCTTTCGTATTTCATTGGTCCGTCCCTTTTACTTTGTTTGATGGTCACATTATGTGACTTTTTCTTTTTTGGTCAATGAAGTCGTTGTGGCCTCAAGGATAAGACGCCTAGTAATGTATTACTTTTGAATGATTCAATTACATCGCCAGTGCTCAAATCTCGCAGTCATATACCAATTTTTCTAATCGTACGTAATTAATTTATGTTTACGAATGCTTTCTACGATGAAGGGATTACATCGTGTAATAAAATCAAACCAGCATAATTTATATTAAAATATGCGTAGCTGCTATACAATTGATTGATATCACATAGAACTCATGTCTCAAAGTGGTTGTTGGTATTCACATTGTGACATTATGATGTCTGTAGGCTCCAATAACCACCTAACACCAAGAGGACCGTGAGCTCTTTCATTAAAGTAAAAAATAAAAATTATATTTTAACCTGATTCTTCTTAATTATATAGGTCTTCTTAATTTTATATATTATATAGGCAGTCTCTATTTCTACTAATTTCTTTTGTGAGTTCATGTTATTTTTCAGGTATTGTGCGATTAAAAAACTACAAAATTATGTTACACACACACACACACAGCCATAAATCGTAATAAAACATAATTAAGTCACGTTGTGTCATTCTTAGGTATCTGCCGAAAATTAAATGGACTGCGAGGTCATCTACTGATCTTAACCAATAAAAAAAAGCTCTACCAGACCTCAGCATTCTAATCTAAACGCCTAATTTCCAGCGGCTATATTACATAATTGATTATCATATGCTCAAAACAGGTATGGCAGATGTCGATGCCGGATGAGCTGTCAACATCGGTGCAGGGAGTATTGCGTACCATGATTTCTGGAGTAATGCTAGTCCAGTGCTTTACAGTATACGTCTATCTCGCAACGTATATCGTTCTACTGTACCCAGTGTTTTTGGTAATTTTACTTTTATTAATAATCATTTAATTTCGATTATCGGTCTAAATTATAAATCAATCAAAGAAGTTCATGATAAAAAATATGAATTGACTAGACGTACTCGCCCGCTTCGCTGCGCCTATAAAATTAACATTATTATTTATTGTCATTATCATTAGGGAGTCCAACACCCATATAAATATTAGCCTATCCATTAAGTACATGTATTTTCTACATGGATACCAAGTTTCAAGTCAATCGGATGCATGGTTCAGTATTTATAACGGAACATCCGTAAAAATCACTGTAGATTTATATATTTGTATAGATAAGTTCAAATTAATTGTATATCGAATTTATTAGGAAGAAAGACCGGCTCTTGTTTTGCCATGGCTTCTGGTCGCCGCTATAAGGAAGCTGCTCTGCGAACTAACGAGCCTAGCTTTGGGCCTCGGAACTTGCGTGTTGCTGGGCGCAGCGAGGTCGCCTTGTGTAAAATTCGTCATTGTCAAATTTGCTTCGATAACGCCGAGTTTTTATATGTGGGTGATTACTTTAAGGTAAGCTTTCCTGTTTTGGTCACCTATTGGGGATTATATAAACTAGTATTATACTGTTTATCTAGTAATAAAGTGGGTGACAAATTCTTAAAAAAAAAAACTATTTTCGTTTGCGTTAGAGCACTCTAATCTCTACAGTTGCTGAAAATTGGTCTCGCAAGCATTTGGCTAAAATTTTCATCTAGGTATCGAGATAAAAATAATAAAAGATACTGTACACGCCCGGTGTACTTGTAACGAATTATGCGACTATGCCTGTATTCATACCCGCAGGTAGGTTCTAAATTTCTAATCTAATACATACCGAATACATCGTCATAAGTGACTTCCGAAATGAAGAAATCATCACCATTAATATACAGAAGTCCACTGCTGGATACAGGTCCCCTCCAAGGTTTGCCATAATGACCGGTTCTCCGATACCAGAATCACGAAAAAGGAATAATATCGTATTTGTTTAAATACAGCTGCTTGAACGCATTTGTGAGCTAAACCACCCTAAAGATTTCTACCGCAAAGCATTTTTCGTTCAGGCTTAAAGGGTTGAGATAGCCGATTTTTTGGCCTAAGTGGCTATTCCAGCTAGCCGTTATGCTGTACAATTGAGACTTAGAGCACATATCCTAGGGTGGGTTGTTGGCGCCTAGATATAACCCAGCGAAAAGCATAGCGGTGCTCTTTTAAAGGCGGAACTGAACCCGTATCTGCTCCTGCATTAGGCGTAGGAATTTCACATCCCCACTTATCCTCTTTGGCGATCCATACCTTGGGACAGAAAGGTCAAGTACCTCACCTTGGATGAATCGACGACAATCCGCCCGCACATAAAATAAGTCCGCGATCGCGCCGCTTTATTCTCGGCAGACTATCCCTATGATTTGTAAGACAAGTAAAATATCCCTTCGAAACAAGGTGACACTTTACAAAACTTGCATAAGGCTCGTCATGACTTATGCAAGTGTGATGTTCGCTTATACGGCCCGCACACACATAGACACACTTCAATGCCTACAATCCCGCTTTTGCAGGTTAACGTGGTTCGTGAGGAAAGTCGACCTACACAACGACCTGGGCCCTGAATCAATCCGCAAATACATGAAGTCAGTATCCGAACGGTACTTCGATAAGGCTATGCGTCATGATAATAGCCTTATTGTTGCCGCCGCTGACTTCTCCCCGAATCCTGATCACGCAGGAGTCAGTCACTGTTGACTCTTGCATTACACGCCTTCAGCTCTAACTAACGAGCAGGCTTAAGGACCCCAGTAACTGAACTTGTCGAACTCGGCAAAAAGTTCGACCTTCAACCTAACCCATACATCAGCCCGCTGAGTTTCTCGCCAGATATTCTCAGCGGGCTGCAATTCCGATCGGGTAGTAGATTCACTCGCGAAGCAGCTGCTCTTGAGTTGTTAGGTCTCCTTTGCTGCCGCTTGGGCAGCTGTTAGCAAATCCTCCTGACTGAGCCTTTGCTCGCTCTATCCTGGTGGAAATGAAAAGACCTACGGGCCACCAGTAATCCTCATTCCTAAAAAAGCTGGGTTGTGGCATCCAGATTGTGATATACTTACATTTATTGGTAATTAGGGACCAGACCTCGCTTCGGCTTGGGAGACTGTAATTTATTATTGATCTTATTGAATATTCTTTTATACAAATCTGGTACTGACAGTAACAAACACAATAAAAAAAGTATCTAACACACAAAAATCTAATCTTTCCCCTTCTTATATTAATGGTACACTTTTTGGGCGATAATGGCTTACAATGATTTTTTGTTGACAGACAGACAGAGCTACATTCGCATTTAAAATATTAAGTATGGATAACCTAATATCGGGTCAGCTATTTATCACGTCTAACATAACTCACGTATGAAATCGTGATTACAAGCTCTTGTGCTGTAAGAACGGAAGCTCTGCTGTAGCAGATAATTATTAATTAGCTTAAAGCGTTTTATAAGTATCATAGATGCAATAGGTACTTAAGATTAATATTTTATTTAGGTATATGTTTTTCTTTCAGCTATTACAACGCTTTGAAAGTAGTTGCAGCCTTTAAAACCTTTCCTAATGTAGTGCCAGCTTCCCATTGTGATTATGGACTCGAACTTGCTATAAGGCGACGTCGCACTAAGTCTCTCCAGGGGGAAGAGCAGTTACGTAGGAAATTATTGACAAATTTGTGAGTTCCGATTATTTAATTTCATGAAAGCACGTAATTTGGCTTGTAGCTTTTAAGCTTTAATTTTGCAACTAAGACAACAGTGAATGCTTTTTCTTTAAGAAATATTTCTTGGTATTTCTGAAGTTTCGATAATTATTTAAATCACAAGCTCATATTCTAGCAATAACGTAGTATTGTAATTTTTCATTTAAATTTTATTACTTATTTTTTTCTCATAATTTTCAAATTGACTCCTGTTCAAGAACCGTACCGAGATTGAAGTGGTGCCGCTAAACTAATCATCTAAATATTAGACAAAACGATTTTCTACTAATTTATTTCTCAAATTTTATACAATTATTTATACATGCATTAATATATTTATTTAACAGTTATGGGGAGCAAACTGTATCATCAAACGATGAAATCGGTTTCATTCAAAGAAATGAACACATATCGCGTATGGTCCATTCCACAGATACCAGTATAGCTGACAGTAATGACAAAATTATTAACGTTATACAAGGTCAATTGGAGACATCAAAGAGATTATCCGAAGCAGGTTCATATGAAGATTGGTGTATAAATGAAATCGTAATACCCCGAGATACAGATCGTATACTCGAACAATTCGTTTTAATGTCTTTACGGGTTAGTGATTACTTAAAAAAGGAAGGCACAGATTCTATGAATTCTCAAAGTCTTATATTAAAGACATCAAATTTTTCATATAGACAAGATGCTTTACATTGTGCAGCCATTACAACTGATATTATGGATAATTCTTCATATTTAGGAAGTATTAAAGGCAGTACAGCTTCTTACTTAAAAGAATACCCGAAGATATTCATGAAAAAACCATCACATGATCAAACTCCACACAATACTCAGAATCTTAATAGCGCCCTTGTGTCTAGTTCCAACAACAGCGAATGTAAACGTTCAAATTTGGAAACCTTTGATAGTTTTGATACGATGGAACAAAGTTTTAGTCCAAAACAATATTCTTACGAAAATAATATTAGCACGCAGCGAATCGATAGAGATCTGACACTAACACAAGAAAAACCAAAATGCTGCCATAAATTATGTAGAATGCGCAGCATTGATATTCCAATAGAGACGAACGAAGAAACAACTAGAAATAGTGATGAATCAATAGAGTCAGTTGGTAATCTTAAGGTGATTGCTAAGAAATTCAATGATGTAAGATTAACAGAAACTCAAGATACCGAAGTGGATGAAACACCTAGCATAGTATCTTTAAATAATTCAAAATAAAACACAAACTTTTCTTAAAATTTAATAGGCGTAATAATTAAAAACAGCGTAACAACAAATTTAAATTTATGAATAAATTGTTTTTCAAATGTATTGCTTGCATACTGTTTTTTCTACGATTTCCGCAGGGTCGAAATATATAACTCTATAATTGTAATCAAGTGGATCTATTAAATTAAACTGATAAAATGGCAATCTGTTCGTTATTACCCAAGCTAATTGAGGCACCTCATGATCCATTCGTAAATCGTTAGGGAATATCATTGTTCTATTGTTTTGTGCCACTATAGCTAGATTATCATTAGTATAAGGCTTGCGAGTGTCCCAACAACCAATAGCATCTCTGGAAATGAGGTTAAAGAACATGACACCGTTGCGGTCGACAGCTGCGGCTGATACTTGACCATCACCTCCTCGACTTTCGCCAAGAAGTGTAAATTCGCTTACAGCATTATCAACTCGAGATGGATCACGTATGACAGATGTTGCTACTGTGAACTCAAGAGAGCCGGACATCGAGTGGTAGTACAGTGGGCGATCACTTAAATGGTACTTGCCCAGTGACATACCGAACAATCCATCAGACCATTGATAATTTAACCCGTGTAACGTATAATTGGAAAGTAACGGCTCAGGGTAAAAGCTGTAGTGGCTGAATCTCCAAAAAGCTGCGTCTGAATCTCTGAACACAATTAAACCAAAACGCCAAGCGTCTGCAATGTACACATGTAAATCTCTACACCGCGCATCACGAGAGTCTACAATGAGGTTTGTGATTAAGGAATTTTGAAGAACGAATTCACTCGGTATTGGATATTTTGCAACTACAGTGTCGGTCTCTAGATCTATGGCAAATAATGTCGGCGGGCATAATTGACGCGGTGTNGAATCTCTGAACACAATTAAACCAAAACGCCAAGCGTCTGCAATGTACACATGTAAATCTCTACACCGCGCATCACGAGAGTCTACAATGAGGTTTGTGATTAAGGAATTTTGAAGAACGAATTCACTCGGTATTGGATATTTTGCAACTACAGTGTCGGTCTCTAGATCTATGGCAAATAATGTCGGCGGGCATAATTGACGCGGTGTTTCAAAAGCCTCGACTTGACCGGAGTCTAAAACCCACATAATGCCGCAATGGTCCACGCTCATACGGAAAATCGAGGTAAATCCAGTACAATTTACTGAAAGAAAAAAAAGGATGTCAGTGCTTAACATTACACAATTTATATTTTATTTTAGAATATAATCACACCTGCATTGTGCCAGTCCCAATTGGGATATGGGGCTAGTTCTGGTGATTCTGATTGTGATGATACTGGTACACTTGATAGTGTTGCTGGTACCCCGCTTTTCCATCGTGGGGTGCTTATAAATACTCGTCCTTTCCAACGCTCAATGCCCAAAGGTATCACATTGGCTTGAATAAATTCACTGAAATGAATATTTATCAGTACTTGTTTGATTTAGATCAGTAGAAATAAAACTTATTGATTTAGTGGCGGTAGGCCATATTGTGGGCTGGTCGAATGGATGCTGCCACCCAGCCTATTGCTACCAGTAATTGGTTATACATTTAGGTGTGAATCGTGGGACAGCCCTTATACAATGCAAATGAAACTTCGACCTTATGTTCAAAGGTGGGTTCTAGTAACCCCTTCCGCCGTGGAGCTTATTTACCTTCTTACATACCGACCCCACTAAGTGAAATAAGAGCAAGAAGATTGCACTTGTTTCATTGTGTGCGGTCGGTGTAGTATGTCCTCTTTTTCCTTTCAGACCTATCATATATCAAGTCTGTACCGATATCCTTCTCTCGCATATGCTTTTTTACACAGCCCATTCAAGTCTTTTTGGAGACCCCTTGTCTACTTTCATACCCAGGGTCTTTTTTTCCATATTATCATCTGCACCGGATAGGAGCAGAAAAAACATAAATATTATATTTCAACATTACTCATGTTACGTACAGATTTCCATACGTAATAATAATAAAGATACATACCCCGCATCAATAGCTTCCTGTCTCTGAGCTGGAGAAGGATATTGATAATCTATTTGTTTCCATCGATAAAGAGTACCTATTGTGGATCCATTAGGCGATTGCGTACTACCATAGCTGATCATCCATGCAGCAATAAAACATATTACTTTCATCTGTAACAAATGCAAAATTTTAACTTTTTCAAATAGAGTACAAGGCACAAACGGTTTTTTTTAGAAATTATTGTATTTGCTATGAATTTTGCTAATAAATTTGTATCTTTAACTACTTTTCGCTCTGGATTCGTTGGTCTGGCTTTTCGTGATGTGACAAGTACTGAAAGAAATCAAAATGCCTCCAATTTTTTACCTTTACCTAATATGTGGTTCCGGTTTTAATATCCGACCATCAAATAACGACTATTCGGTATTCGAAAGTAGTTGAGACTTCAACCTCAAGTCTCAAGGGCAGTGGCATTCATGTTGTAATATAATTTTTATTGTATATAATATGGATTGCAATCAGCTCATGGTTCACTTGAGATTAAATGGCTATCGGAATCCGTAGAAATCACAACGTGGGGCCAAAATCAACCCTGAAAGATGCGGTTTGAAAACTCCATTCCAGTTTATAACGGTTGGCATACCCAAAATACCCAAACCCAAATCGAACGCATCATTGTTTCGAGGCAAAAATTGGCCGGACGGTGGTACCTAGGCGTGCGGCACTAGTAATTACGCATGCATTTTCCGAGTTTGATTTTTAGATCATATTTTCTTGATATTTCGTTCTTCTCAAATGACGTTCGTGAAGCACGTACNGAAAACTCCATTCCAGTTTATAACGGTTGGCATACCCAAAATACCCAAACCCAAATCGAACGCATCATTGTTTCGAGGCAAAAATTGGCCGGACGGTGGTACCTAGGCGTGCGGCACTAGTAATTACGCATGCATTTTCCGAGTTTGATTTTTAGATCATATTTTCTTGATATTTCGTTCTTCTCAAATGACGTTCGTGAAGCACGTACGTAGTGTCGCATTTTTTTACAAAAATTAGTTCCTGCCTACGGGAGTTAACCACCGGGATTGGCGTATCACAGCATACAAGTAATCCGGGCGTCTAGTCTTTTAGGCCAAAGACTTTGAACCCGGAATCCATTCCACAAGGTAGGTTAAAAGTTTACATGCAAGAGACAATATGGCCGTATACTCTAACAAAAAATAAATAAGTATTATGTTCAAAATTACATCTATAATACAAGTAAGTAAGCAAAACTTGAAGATTACCTATTATTACATACAGTAGGGTGGGTAAACAAAATCATCACACACAAAAAATAAAAAAAAGTATTATTTCATTATTGCGAAAAATAAAGTTTTATTTTTAAAAAATATATAAAGTCATTCACTCTTTTCGGCGCTCGTTTGGCTGCAACGCTATATCATTTCATTAACTAATTCAGAACAGATTTATTATGTATCATTCAAACGAAACTATTAATAAAACTAGCCAACTAAAATCTAGACATTATTTTACGGTTAAAACAACAGACAGCATAAGTTTCTAATCTCTACGTAACCTAAGACTATAATTAATTATGAACATCATATTAACTAGATAAATTGATATTAGATAAAGCTGATGGAGTCTATTTATTGTAAAATGGCGGTGCTACTTCAAACTGCCATTCAAATAATTATTATAAGGTATTTACAAAATATGTTAAAATATTAATTTATGAAACAAAAAGGTATTATTCAGGAAACGTCGTCGAGCGTATCAAATAAGTGAATTAAACAGACAACATTCAAACTTATTTAGTTCGAGAGCTATGAATCTAAACTGGTTGTTGTATGAACAGGAAATGTGAATATTACACAACTTTACGTTACGTATTACCTCCAGAATCAATAATTGAGTAGACAAGATTTAAAGTCAATTTTTTATTTAAAAGTCAAATTAAAACTTTTCTTTGCATTCGTCAAACATTTAAATTCAAATGGTGTCTTTTACATAAGTGAGTGAAAACACAGCATTTTGAGATACGAAATGTTTTCGTGATGGTAGAAAATAAGGTGTACCTATATTTTAGAAATGTGGATGTATGACGGCTAATGAAATTCATATGGGATCTATTGTTTGATCAATTCCAAAATACATGAATGAATTTCCACATATTTATATAGAAATTATTCCAACTATTACACTACTGCTATTTGTTTAATGAAGTAATGTTACGAGTCTGTTATTAACAGTGTAATAACATCGCGTAATTCACAAATAAGTATGTATATACACGCAATGTCTATGCGTAATGTATGGATCAAAATCACTATGCTACTCAGGAATTGCTGACCTCGGTGTAGTAGGTATGTATAGTGCGTTAATGTCATTGTTTCTTTCGTGAAAATTCTTGAGATTTTGGTATTAGTAAAAAGTTTAAGAACTTTAAAGCTTAAGAAGTTTAAAAAAATACCTCATATAATTCAATGATAATGTCTTTAATGGATACGTTTTACTTTATACGTTATATATTATACAATCATAGTGAGTTTGAAAATAACGAGTATTGACTTTGCGGTACTTTTCCTTCTAAGAGACACCTGACGCTGTCAATTTATTATTGTTATACATAAAAAATACATAGGAAGCACATAAAATGCGAATAAGTAATTACAAATTGTTCAATGTTGGAAATTAACGTGAATGACGTAAATAAAATCAAAATAAACTTATGTCGCCTGGTAGGTTCATTCATAGGACTTCATTAATTTTTATTTCATTATTTGTAATACTAATTATATGATCATCATACGATTTAAAGTGGATTCTTAAAATGTCAGCTTCAGATTATCAAAAGAGTACGTTTTTTAGTAGTCCATATTTTATTCATATGGGAAAACACTTAATCGACTAACGCGTTACTACCAGGTAGATTTAAAATATACTCGATATAGGCGTTTTTGAATATATTTTCAGCAATTTATTCTACAACGTGAACGAAAAAAAAAGTCTCAAATAGTCTAGTCTAGATCAATACATATAAACCTGTATCTTCTCTATTAGTTGTACTTATACACAAAAATTTGGTTTCTATCAAATTGATTTCCAAAATCCTGCAACCACTTTTTTAAGGTTTTTTCTCATTGAAAAGACGAAAATTTTAAACAAAACACGTGATATACATCGTCATTATCCTGCCCTTCTCTCAGTCACCTGGGGTCGGCGCAACATGTTTTCTCCTTCCATACTCTTCTATCATATACCATTTCTTCGCTCACTCCCCTCTTACCCATATCGTCTTTCACACAATCTATCCATTTCTTCTTAGGTCTTCCTCTTCCTCTATATCCTTCCACATTCATAGTTAACACTCTCTTACCAACCTCATTTTCATTTCGTCTCATCACATGTCCATACCATCCCAAAACACGTGACATACAGTTAGCCTATTTTAGTGTCGCTGTATCCTAGAAGTTTTTCACGTTTTATAATTCTAATGCAGGTGAAACAGAGTAGGTATCTACAAATTGTATTGGTGCATCGGAGCGATATGCTAGCCGATAAGTTTTTGTTTTTCAAAGCTTAATCTCGGAACAGCTATTACTTACTAATTATAGCTCAAAAGTAAGACTGTCTCAAAATAGGTCGAACAACCATGTCATACATTGTCATTGGTTATCTGTAGGTACGAGTCGAACTAGTTCGGATAAGCCAATTCAACATTTGCCAAGCCAATATCCTAGAGTCTAACATTATTTTACTTGAAAATGGTCCCTTAAAAATAGAGTATATGATACTCACGACGCAGGTCATATTGCAGTCCTGATAAAAATGGTGACGAATATATTCTATAGTTACAATCAAAGATTCTCATTTTGTGATTATAAATACGAGACGAAAGATACAAAAAAATGTTAATAAGTTGTTAATTTGAGTTTATTAAGTTTGACCTTCCTAACAACGGATAAGCTAAAACTGCCACCCTTTGCTCTCGACCTAGATGTATAACTATTGACTAATCTGCTTTGTATGGAATGCTAAATGTGACGATTAAGGAAAAAAGTCTCGGACGAATTTTAATTCTGTCTTATTGTTGCTTACTTTAATACTAAATATATATTATTTGACACAGTACATTCTACTCTAATGAACAAACTGACAAATAAAGTGGAGGTTAAAAATTAAGGTCATAGTTATTATAGGTATTTAAAATTTAATAAGAACGAATTTCAATAGCCAAGGGCATTATTTTTAAACTACGTATAAAATTAACGCATCGAAAGGCTTAAAATTTAAATATCACCAAGCTAAGCTGTTTTATTAGAATTTGTAAAAGGCCTATTAAAGGTATTTTGGAATTTTTAGTAAGTGAACAAAAGAAACACAAGAACTAGTAATATTAAGCACTCCTATATTTTTTTTTGGTCTACACGTCTATATAGTCTGTATACACATGAAATATTTATAATATATTTTAAAAAAAACGTACCTTGATGTTGCTTAATTTCGTTAATCAACTCTCATAATATTCCCACAGTGTTTCGTTACGGTCTACAATAATGTATTATGTGAACCACGTCTGTCCGGTGGCTAGTTTAGATTCACTGTGCATTAAAAATGCGGCGATCCGAAGGCGTAAGGTTTTTGGCAAGCCAAACTGGTAAAACTACTACTAGTAGAAGGGTGGTTACATACGATAGATGTTCCAGATATAAAACATTAGGTCATAAACGCTGGGTTTCTAAACAGTATTCATTTCGATTCGTCAGTGATCGATTCATTAGTCATATAACATTTGCCGAGAGGGGTTTTTTTATTTATTGCTTATATGGGTAAACAAGCTCGCGACTTCCCTGATGCTGAATAGTCACCACTGGAGCTCATAGACTTCAACAACATAAATGCGGGGGTAGTCTCTTGGTTTCAAGGGGGTTGGGGACCCACCTTAAGACTTAAGTCTCAGTTCAATAGTATAATGCTTCTGCTTCCTTTAAATCGAAACGCATTACTGATTCGCGGCAAAAAAGAGAGGATGATGGTACCTATTCGTACCAGTAGGAACCAACGATTACGCAAATAATAATTTTTGCGAGTTTTAATTTTTATTGCACGTTGTTATTATACCTTCAACGTGGAAATCCTTCGTGAACAAGTGTCAAGTACGAATTTCATCAGAAAGATGACACTTGCCTGCTGGTTTTGAACATAGTTTTGAACATCGGTACAGTCACGTCGCGATACGAATGCACCAGATATCTTATCCTATAGGCCACGATGTCCTGGTAAAAGTATAACACGTTGTATTTAAATTAATGTATTTATTTAATAAGTATTTGCAAGTCCGCACCTGTTTTTTTTTATTGCTTAGATGGGTGGACGAGCTTACAGCCCACCTGGTGTTAGTGGTTACTGGAGCCCATAGACATCTACCACGTAAATGCGCCACCCACCTTGAGATATAAATTCTAAGGTCTCAGTATAGTTAGAACCGCTACCCCAACCCTTCAAACCGAAACGCAATACTGCTTCACGGCAGAAATAGGCAGAGTGGTGGTACCCGCACGGACTTACAAGAGGTCCTACCACCAGTAATTGCGCAAATTATAATTTTGCGGGTTTGATTTTTATTACATGATGTTATTCCTTCACTGTGGAAGTCAATCGTGAACATTTGTCGAGTACGTATTTCATTACAAAAATTGGTACCCGCCTGCGGGATTCGAACACCGGTGCATCGCTCAATACAAATGCACCGGACGTCATATCCTTTAGGCTACGACGACTTCTTGTTTTTGTTGTTCAGCTTATCCGTAGATTGAGGCAGCTATGGCGGTAGTGATTTCAAAGTAAATATTTTGCCTATTTATGTCGGTTTAATTAAAATATTTCTCAAGACACAATCGGAACACTGGATGAAGACAGCACAGGACCGGTCGTTGTGAGGAGATCTGGAGGAGCTCTATGTTCAGCAGTGAACATTGGTAGTTGAAAAATGAATCAAGAAACATAATACAGGGTGGCCCATAAGTCCTTTGAAAAGTAAAATTTGAATAAAACGAACAGGGCGCGCGTGAGCGGTGCAGGGGAAGCGGGGGGAGTAACTTCGGTTTCTGGGAATTTAGTCGCGATGGAGCGTTTTACCGGAGCGGACCGTGCGTTTTGTGTGCGCGAGTTTTATAAAAACGACAATTCGGCAACCGTTGCGCGGCNATCGTCAGGTTTGGGCCCCGTGGGCTCACCTACTAAAGTTAGGGTTACGCTGACATAGCCGCTAGGGCTATCAGCTTAGGTAGGAAAAAAAAAAAAAAAAGGTTTCAATGTGGTTGGGGACCCACCTTAAGACTTAAGTCTCAGTTTAATAGTATAACGCTGCTGCAGAATTTAAATCGAAACGCATTACTGAATCGCAGCAGAAAAGAAAGGATGATGGTACCTATTCGTAACAGTAGGTTTTTTTTGGTCAGTAGGAATTCGCCGGACTTCCGCGCTCCTCTGGGGTTGGCGAGCGGAGCATGAGAACTCATGAAAAGGCAAAGGGGTGAGAGTGAAGCGCTTAGTGCGGAGCACCTCTCCCCCATCACCCTCCCCCTCGGGACGCCGGACTGGCGATCGTCGGCGCCACGAGCACCAGCCCTCTCGGTCGGCAGGCTGTCCGAAGCCCACCTAGATGACGCCGGTTAGAGTGAATTATCCTTCGGAATACCCCGCTGGGTCTTAACCAGCATGGGTCGAGGATAGCCGGCCTTCCGTCACCCGGATGCTCTTGCGTAAAACACGTGCAGAGCAGCATGGCCGGTCCGGTCATGACCTAACACGTAATTTCGGATCCTCCCGATCCACTATCGGCGCATTTAGATACCTCATGCACCGGTCACCGTTCTCGTCGAGCACGTCGCTTGCAACGAAGGACTCGGTGAGTAAATTAGCCCACAGACACAGCCCAGTGAGTTTCTCGACGGATCTTCTCAGTGGGTCGCGTTTCCTATCCAGTGGTATATTCTGCGAAGCACGGCTCTTGCTAGGGTTCGTGTTAGCAACGTCGTCAGGTTTGAGCCTCGTGAGCTCACCTACAAGTTCGGCTAATCTAAAATAACCCCTCGAGGTTACTAGAATAGGTAGGAAAAAAAAGATATAACGCGTTGTATTTAAACTAATATAATTATATATAATAAGTACTTGTAAGTCCGCACCTCTTTGTGTTGCTGTTCTGCCTATCCGTGGATTAGGATAGTTATGGCCGTAGTAATTTCAAAGTAAATATTTTGCCTATTTACGTTAGTTTCATTAAAATATTTCTCAAGATATGAACGCTGGATGAAGACAGCACAGGACCAGCCGTTGTCAGGAGATTTGGAGGAGATCTATGTCTAGCATTGAACATCTCTGGGCTGATAGTAGTAGTAGTTTAAAAAATGAATCAAGAAACATAATAATATCCTATCATTATACTTTTCTGGGTATATTGTTTTTAGGATTAATTTGATTGTAAGTACGTGTGTACAAAATTTGATATCATGGATGATTAATAAGCAAAAACATTGTATTTTTTTGTATTAAAGGCCATTATAATAGAGCCTAGGGTAAAGACTACGATTGTTTTTAATATTCCCTAAATAAATATTTAATCTCAGACATAAATAATAGTTATGCAACATTACTTCGGAAGAATGATTGGATTGTAACACGATTGTAATATAAGTAATTTGCGCCTGCCATCATTATATGAGCAAATATATAATTGAAATATAATAAATACATAATATGTTCATAAATTAACTTGCTATTATGCTTATAATAAACTAGCGGCCCGCTCCGGCTCCGCTCGGGTCTTTAACAAAAATTTCAACGACGTTCTTTTATTTTTTTAAATAAAAGAATTCCTGTTAATAATATTAGTATAGATAGAGACGCTTTGTTCTAATTTGAGTTCATCACTGAGTTTCACGCCGGATCTTCTCAGTGGATCCCTTTTCTGATCCGATGGTAGATTCTCCGAAGCACTACACCTGCTAGAGCTATTGTTAACAGCGTCCTCAGGTTAGAGGTTAGAGCCCCATTAGCTCACCTACTCATTCGTTTACGCTGGCATAGCCCTCTAAGGTTGCTTTCTATCTTAGGTAGGATTATACATATAAGACGGCCAGTAGATTCGTATGCAACGGTGTTCAAATCCCGCAGTACGTAGTAAATACGTACTTGACAAATATTCACGATTGACTTCCATGATGAAAGAATAACATCGTTTAATAAAAATCAAATCCACAAAATTAGCGGGGTGGGGCGGCTGGTGCGGTAGGGCGTCTTGCGAGTACCACCACTGCACCTATTTCTGCCGTGAAGCAGTAATGCATTTCGGTTTGAAGGGTGAACAAGGCAGCCGTTATTCTGTAAAAACCGCGAGACCTTAGAACTCATGTGTCAAGGTCGGTGGCGGTATTTAAGTACGTTATAAATCTCTATGAGCTCCGGTAGCTATTTAACACCAGGTGGCCTATGAGCTCATCCACCCATCTAAGCAATAAAAAAAGGAATTGTTTTTATTGATCTCATTAAAAAAGTACTGATAGTCACAAATTACAACACAGAACGAAACGTGGCTGGGTTTCACTACTTTAAAATAAAACTAGAATTTTATTATGGTACTTTATTTTGTAGTATGGCAGTATAGTTATCTCCGGTTCACTAGTAATCTACGAATTGGAATTCTGATGGCAGGATCGCAGACTGTTCCGCGCACAGCCTCTTTCGTATCTGCATAAAGAATCCGATAATTATAATCATCGGAATCTAAAGAACCATTCTGAAACATGGGCAGTTTATTAGAAATTACCCACACATTTTGTTGTTCACCTTGATTGATTTTGATATCATTCGGAAATATTAATGTTTCTGCGTTTTCTGCCACTGTGCCTAGGGTTCTCTTTCGATACGGCTTATTGCTGTCCCAACAACCGATACTGTCTCGGGAAACTAAACCATAAAACATAACTCCTCGATCATCAAAAGCCGAAGCTGATGATTGTCCGTATAACCCACGACTCTCGCCCACGAGATTAAACTCCGAAAAACTGTTGTTAACTTGTGATGGTCTGCGTAGCACTGAAGTTGGCACATAAAACTCTCGGTAACTTGATAGAGAATGGAAAAATAGCATTCTCTCCCGAAAATGATCTACGGGGGTTAAAGCGAGCCCAAATATTCCGTCGCTCCATTGAAAATTGAGACCGTGTAGAGTGAAGTTTGACGCTAAAGGATCCGGGTAGAATAACGGATTAGAGTATTTCCAAAACATTCCATCTTCTTGCCTGAAAACTATTAATCCAAAACGCCACGTGTCCGCTATATACGCGTGTAGATCTGAACAATCTGATGTTTTTGTATCTAGTATTATNAAAGCGAGCCCAAATATTCCGTCGCTCCATTGAAAATTGAGACCGTGTAGAGTGAAGTTTGACGCTAAAGGATCCGGGTAGAATAACGGATTAGAGTATTTCCAAAACATTCCATCTTCTTGCCTGAAAACTATTAATCCAAAACGCCACGTGTCCGCTATATACGCGTGTAGATCTGAACAATCTGATGTTTTTGTATCTAGTATTATATTCGCAAACAAAGAGTCCTGCAGTACATAGTTGTCGGGTATAAGATAACGTGCTATAAGCATGTCTGTAAGTAGATCAAACACGAAGATGCTCGGAGGGCAGACTTGTACTGAATTATCTTGCGCATTGATTTTGCCGGAGTCTAAAACCCAGAGCCTTCCACACGGGTCCGTATTGACTCGGAAGACTGATATCATTTTCGTACAATTGAAATCATCATCTGCAAGTAAAAATAATAAGTAAAAACAAAAAGAAGTAAAAAATACGAATCAAAATATTTATTAATTATTTATTACGAAATCGACTTCGCCACTGTCCTCAATATCGATAACAGAAAAATAACGATTTTATAAAAAGGAGAAACTATTTATGTAAAAATTTTGAACGTTGACATTGAGGATATTATGTTAGAAAGTTTTACGCAAATTCGAACAACATATTGTACCACATATCAACGTATTCGCACCAAAGCCGTCCCAGCCCAGACCGACATGTCAATGTTAATGACAAAATAACATAATTTCACTTTAGAAATGTAGCGATACAATAAAGAACTGCAATATTAATTAATTATATATAAATTACCACACGATTTTAAGAAAAATATGTTTATTTAATCAAACTATTATATTCGTATGTACTGTGTTACTCATAATATTTTGTAGTCAAGTTTAACAATATTTGCTATGTGTATGTGCATTACTATAATTCTCATGTTGTATTTGTTATTTTAGTATGATGTATTCTTTTTTGTGTGTACATAAATAAATTAATAAATAAATAATAAATAAACTATTACTTGTAGTCGAAGATGTCAAGCGCATGTTAGCGCCATCTAGTAAGCGCGCGGGCAAAACGAATTAGGTCCAAATGTAACAGGTTCATTGAAAGTATCAAGGCCAGCGCCTTCTATCACCACTGCGCCCGTGTGGGACGTACATCTTGCAATTTTTTTTCCCTACCTATGCTGATAGCCTTGAGAGGCTATTTCAGCTTCACCTTAACATGTAGGTGAGCTCACGGGACTCAAACTGGAGTGTCGCTGGCCCTAGCAAGAGCAGTGTTTCACAGAATCTACCACCGGATCGGAAACGCGACCCACTGAGAAGATCCGACGAGAAACTCAGTGGGCTGTGTCTGTGGGTTAATTCGCTTAACGAGCCCTTCGTCGCAAGCGACGGGTTCGACGAGGACGGTGACCGGTGCTTGTGGTACCTAAAAGCACCGTTAATGGATCAGGAGGATCCGTAATGACGTGTTTTGGGCGACGTCGACTATTTACTGTTCGGTCTACAGGATCGGGTATGTAATTTCCAGCGGCTACGACAAGAGGGTTCTCATGTCGTGCCGCCTTCACAAAGTGGCCTGCACCATAGGTAAAGCCGCTTCTGCTTGTATTAATCGAAGTCGTTCTTTAGATTTTTTTAATGTCGACGGAAGACCTTTGAAGGTTTATAAGTAGTAATCGATTGTGATTGACTAGGTCTACCGAATATGGTGCTTATTGTATAGTTTCTAATTCTTGTTTTATTATACATCAATTTATTTCCTGCATCTTAGAAACGGCTATAAAGATTTGGCATCTTAGAAACGGCATAATATTTGCATTAACCGTAATTAAACATAGCTACTATGGTTTGGTTTGCATCTCTAAATACGTAGGTGACTCCTCCAAAAATAAGCGCCATTTTACAGGAAACCTATTTATAAAATATGATGAATGCGCGTTCCCATAAAAAAGATTGTATTACAAAACAGCGTTACCTACCTACTATCTAATATATTTTTTATATAAAACTGCATTTATGATAAATGTGACCTACCTAATGCATTATGGAAACTAAAAATAATTGCGAATCGACAGAGGCGAGCAAAACTCGGTCGCCCAGGTGCTAGTGTCTAACTGCAGGTCTAATAATGCCTCATTTATATGCTAGATATTCGTGAACAATTCACTAAGCTACTATTCGAATAATTCGTGCACGAATACGAGCACTTAAACAATTTATAGATACGTCCATATTCGGTGAACATCGGCCGTTCAAACATGGAAGACATGTATGTCACTCGCCGATACGGCTTTATATGTATTAGATGTGACGCCACTTTTTTTTTCCAGAGATTTAGGTCTTGTCCGCACTGCGATATTTCACCACACATTTTTTTTCTCGTAATTCGGTAACACATTTAATCCTATAGGAGTAGCCGCACTGGCGGTAAGAAAATCGTGCGGGAAAAATCTGTGACTTGATGCAAATTGAATGCGAAGCGGTACGATTTATTTCCGCACGAATATTTTGTACCGTATAAATATAAAGTAAGTATGGCTATGTTCGCACTGCGGAATAAAATTCGCGCGTTTCGCTCAGTTTCATGGGTCTCAATTCCTAAGTGGGTGAATCCCATGTTCATGACATCTTTTGATACCTACGGCTGTTACGCCGCGGCGCTGCCTTAGATTAGATATATTAAAATTATAGTTCGGTTGTCCATTTTTCACGTGTGTCTCAGCCGAGAACTGAATTAAATTGACAAAGATAATACGAAATTTTATTCGCAATGCGTACTTGGTGTAATTCCGATCGTGGAATTTAATACGCGAGAATAAAAACTTCGCGGTGAAATATCGCTGTGCGGACAGACTCTAAAAGACGGCAACGAAGTTTGTGGATGACTGTTATCAAAGAACAATGACAAAAATTTAAACACCGCGCACGAATAGAAACCAAGAATTATTTTATTTGCAACAAAAAACCGATTTCACGCAAGAACGGTCAAGCATCGGTACTGAATACCGAATAGAATATGTGAATCTATCCAAATACGGCTTCATTGTAAAACGGATGTTCTCGCTTCATCATGGTGCAATAATGAAATACCTAGTGGTGAAGATCGATTACCTACTCTGCACTGTTTTTAAGTTCTATCATGTATAAATATTGACAAAATAAACAGCGGGTGCATTACTACTTATCAAAGCAAGGCAATCTTGGCTCTAACCACGTCTGAAATATTCACATGCGTTAATTGTCATTCATTCTTACTGATTTCGCATGGTACTTTCTTTTTACAATTTGTTGCATTATTGAATCAACTAATTCTCCGTGATGCTAAGATTTTAGTTGTTTCATAAATACCGGCTTCCACATTTTATTTTTTATTGCCCTTGTAGGCAGACGAGCATACGGCCCACCCGATGGTGAGTGGTTACCGTCGCCCATGGACTTTAGCAATGCCAGGGGCAGAGCTAAGCCGCTGCCTACCGCTGCCTAATGCTTTTATTTCGTCATTATTTTCCCTTATACCAAGCAGTTCGACCCCGAGTTTCATTCTTCAAACTGAAGTTTCCAGTAAGAATGTGATTAAACAAAATCATAGTGCGTTCGTCAGTCGATATCTTCGCCAAACGGAGTCATTGAGATTGGTCAGCTATTTCAACTAATTAAAACCGCGTCTTAAATCATATCCGAAAACCATTCTAATTGTTGAATTCTTGGTGGAGGTGTCATTTATCATGTACTTTTTTTTGTAAAATCACTGATGTTCTGACATAGGACTCAATAAGTAGCTACAACTAACTAATTAAAAAAAGCTCAATATATCTATAGACAATTTACAGATCAGAATAACGGTAAATTTATCTGAAAGTAAATATGACCTTGTGCGAAAAAAATTTATCATAAATCTTGAACTGCGCAGCTTTCATTTTTATTTGAAGTGACAAAGCGCCAACGCTATACTCCGACCCTTATTATAATGTAATAATTTGGTTTAAGTATTAATCTTACTAAGTGCTGTATGATAACTCCAGTCTGGATACGGCTTAAGCGCGGGTGAGATGACACCTCCAGCTCGCGGCACCGTAGCCAAGGTAGCTGGTACACCGCTTCTCCAGTTTGGTAAGGTTACCCATATTCTTGAACCCCATACCTCTAAACCAAGAGGTAAAACACTTTCCGGAACAAATTTTCTGGAAAATCGATACAAACTTTAATATTTTTATAACGCCCTTTCATTTTAAATTTTTTTTTCATCATATTTTGTCGTTAATTTCATAATTTTTTTGAGTTACTTATTAAACATTTAAATTTTTACATGGTTAACCTTACCTTAGATATTTAAATACAAAAAATGCGTGGTGTCTTAGGACACCGGATAGGAACGAAGTTCCTTATTATAAAAATGTTAATTTTAAGTTCTATTCGAGGTATAAAGAAAATAAAAATGGAGGTTTCTCAACAACCCACGGTCATTCGGTAACGTGCGAACTTATTGTGGTACACTTCATTCACGGTTGTTTGCATAAGAGTTAGTGTATTGCGCAAACGAACGCTCTGAGATCGTGGTCAATGAATGATATAAAAATATGTTATTTTTTGTACGTTATTACAAAGTTAAGTCGTACACTGTGTGCATTACTAATTTGTACGTTATTACAAAGTTAAGTCGTACACACGCATTCCTAATAAAAATCTTACGTTACGGACATTTTTTCCCGGTTAGGGTACCCCGCCGCATCGTCCCGTAAGGAACTTCGTTCCAAAAAATTATACTAAATAATATTTAGACATCCGTAATGAAATAAGGTAAAAAAGATCGTACCCAGTAGCAAGCGCTTCTCTGCGATGCCCGATTGAAGGGAATTCGAAGTCAACATTTTTCCATTTATACAGCGTACTGAAGGGTGGCGTCTCATTATCGGCTGGCAGCAGCTGAGGTTGCGACAAACCCATTACTGTTAGCCATAGCGTTATAGCGGCAGATCGGGAGCGATCTGAAACCAATAAGGTACAAATCAAAACTAAGCAATATAAATGTTTAAACTTAAACCGAAACTTAAACTAAACTAAGATTACTAAACTAAACTTAAACTGACTTTTAATGACTTGAAATTGGAAATAGGGCATGCATTAAATTGTTCGGGAACACAGTTTAAAAGCACCCATCTTGTTTTTGTCGTGAAAGAGTTATCAGAGCAATCTTGTTTCAAGGGTGATTGGGACGAGCTCACGGCCCACCTGGTATTAAGTGGTTATCGAAGCCCATAGACATCTACAACGTAAATGCCGCCACCCACCTTGAGATATGAGTTCTAAGGTCTCAGTATGGTTACAACGGCTGCCCCACTCTTCAAACAGAAACACCTTACTGCTTCCCGGCTGAAATAGGCAGGGTGGTGGTACCTACCCGTGCGGACTCACAGGACGTCCTACCACCAGTAATTACGCAAATTCTAATTTTGCGGGTTTGCTTTTTACTACACTACGTTATTCCTTCACCGTGGAAGTCAATCGTGAACATTTGTTAAGTACATACTTCATTAAAAAAATTGGTACTTGCCAGCGGGATTCGAACACCGGTGCAACACTAGATATGAATGCACCGGACGTTTAATCCTTTAAGCTATTGCGACTACAACGTTATTAGTCCTTCATCAGAGGAATTGTTCGCAAAGACGTGTTAGACTATTTACTTAGAAAACGAGTGCTATACAATGTATAATTTATGTTCGTATCTCTTTTTAGTACTACAAATTCGCGTCTCAAGCGGTATGCATAGAAATGAAAGAAAGTAGGTTGTGTGATTTTCTGATACCAATATTAATATAAAAAATAAAACAATCCATCTTTTGCGAATTAATTCTCATACATAAATAATCCTCTTATCTATTTCTACATCAAATCTACATCTAAAACACATAATTTCAAAGCAGAAGTCAAATCAGGTTTCTAGTAAAATATTGAAGCTTCAAAATGTAAAAAAAAACTATAAAAATCGTATTAAATCGATTTGATTGTCCGCAGAGTGAAACCGTCTTTCTAAGGTTTACGCTACAATTACTACGGTAAGGTAAGCAATTAACCGAACTGCATTTGATTGCTTCGTAATGGCTATCAAGAAAACTATTACTTGCTTATGGCGTGGCGCATATTACTCAAGCCCCTATGTTGATAAAATATAAAAAAATATTATGAACAATAATGATAGTTTTATTTTTACATTTGCATAATCCAATTATTTAGAATAGAGTGGAGTGTAAAAATATAATTGATTGTATATTAATATAAAATCAAAACGAATGCATGCAAAATATTAAATCTTAAAAACAAAAAGAGCGAAAGACAGAAACACAGAGAGCGGTCTATTCCAGAAAATCATCAAAATATTAGTCACGATGTGCTTACCGATTGAAAAAAATCACATATACATATAAATAAATAACTGGGAACAAATTATCCACGGTCATCTGGCTCCAAATTCGGATTCTCTGTGTTATGGGTACCAGGGACTGACATACATACTTATACGTTATATAAATACATATATAGTTAATAAAAACCCAGACAAAGGGCAAACAAACTTGTTCATCACCCAAATGCATGTCCGATGTGGGAATCGAACCCACAGCCCTCGGTGCAACAGTCAGGAGCGCTAATTACTGCATCACCGAGACAGTTGATATATAACATTATAACAATAATAAAATGTATCTCCATATAAAATGTATTAAAATTTAGGTTGTAATAACAAAGGTAAAATACAAGCTAAAGTACATATTTCAAGCAACATACATTTTTACTTGGGATATTTAAAAAAATATGCCATTGACCTTCCTTTTTCTATTACTTTAATTCGTGTATCACGGGTACCTACATTTTAGGTTATAAAATTAAACTTATTCTAAAAAAAAATAATTAAAACAATTTAGAATAAGTTTATGTACTTCTAAATTATAGTTTAACAAGGAATTAACGAAATAATGATTTCATGATATTTGACAGATGTTTTCATGGATAATTTATCAGTTTTAACTGCCTAGTGCTTTCCGGTCTGCGGCTAGTCGATAAAATTTGTTTTTACTATGAAACTTTCTTAAGAGCAATGCACTTCAGAGAGAATACTTAGAAATATTATGATAACGTTATAGAGTGATATAGAGTTAGCTAGAACCATTTTGTGTCATACTTGATTTGATTACTTAAATGTAAAAGTTAAGAACAATTTTGACATTTTTATGTGCCTCATAGATTATACATATAATACAAAGTTTCTCAGATAACTCGATTTTAGGCTACTATATATGTATAATATCTATTATTTATTTTATATTATCGTGTTGTAACTAAACAGGTTGTGATTTATTTAAATTTATTTGTACTCACAAGAATCCATTATTTAGAAAGAACTCGTCGTGAAGCGTGTTCTGATTACTTATGCTGGACATGCACTTCACACGTGCTTTTCACACAAAATGGTGTTAAGTTTACATAATAAGTTCTTAAATAACATTCAGTTTGATAATTCAACAAAATGAACAATGATATTATATTTTCTTGATGTTCATTGATTGGCAGGTTGAGAGTATATTTTTAAAAGTTGGTTTGAGCAATATCATTAAGGTTTAATTTTGTCGCACTCAATTTATTTTAACTGAATTCAAATAAATTAATCTAACGTATACCTAATTTTTCGTTTTGTGCCTTTAAGGAAATAGAGTTTATCCAAACTAACGTCAATATTCTTCAGGGTTTTTTATTTATTTCGGATCTAGAAGGTACGATGTTTCAAGATGAATACCCAGTAAATACTAAAACAAACATTAAAACATTGTTTACACGGATACATTGTAAATTGTCTTTAAATGTGTTAATTTAATACAGAAATAAATACACATTTCCGATATTAAATAGTTGTTTACCGAGCAATTACTATTACATCAATCAGATAGTTGGTTATTGATTAACTAACTACTCGCGATTAAGTGGTAAATTACGTCCGTTTCGTGAAAAACCTAATGAATAGCTTCCGGAAATCTCTATATATAAAAATGAATTGCTGTTCGTTAGTCTCGCTAAAACTCGAGAACGGCTGGACCGATTTGGCTAATTTTGGTCTTGAATTATTTGTGGAAGTCCAGAGAAGGTTTAAAAGGTAGATAAATATGAAATTGCTCGGAAATAAATAAAAATAACAATTTTGTTTTTCCTTTTTGTTTGTTTTAAGTTAATTTTATACAAAAGTTTAGGTCTTTTATTTATCGATTGAGGCACTACGAAGTCTGCCGGGTCAGCTATATACTATAAAAACATCGATCAAGTGTTTAGTTTCCATTTTAACGATTCAAAGGTATTATTTTCAATCAAGTATAACAAGAAATCGAATATTCAAGAAAAAAATTTTTTTTTTTTTTTATAGCTTTGATGGGTGGATAAGCTCCAAGCCCACCTGGTGTTAAGTGGTTAATGGAGCCCACGAACATCTACAACGTAAATGCGCCACCCACCTTGAGATATAAGTTCTAAGGTCTTAGTATAGTTACAACGGCTACCCCACCCTTCAAGCCGAAACGCATTACTGCTGTACGGCAAAAATAGGCAGGGTGGTGGTACCTACCCGTGCGGACTCACAAGAGGTCCTATCACCAATAATAAATATTTCAATTCGCCAATTCAACCAAATAGGTTTTCAAAATGCATAAGATTTGCGTAATCGAAATACGGCCATAATCAGATGATGATTGAATCTGACCTTGACTTTAACCTGAAATCTTTCATTTATCACTTTTTCTTTTGTTTTATTCGTTTCCATGAAAAAAAATTTTATTTCATGGAAACGTTATTTGATTCCTCAAATAACTTATTTATAACGTTCAAGCTCGTAAATAGTAGCATACAAAAAAAGGTAAACAAACAGAGGAGAAAAAAATAATTTAAAAAAATAAATTAAAATCGGACTGGTATTATTTTACTAAAAATTACATTTTATGGAAGATTTTGGCTGTTTAGCTATTGTATTGGTTATTTTAAAAAGCGAATTATTGTGATTAAGTTTTGATTTGAGAGGCCTATGCGTTCTCAGTGTGTTGATATAATACTAGGAGAATGTGGCTGCTACACGACATGAGAACCCACTTGTCGTGGCCGCTGGAAACTACATACCCGATCCTGTAGACCGGATGGTAAACAGTCGACGTCGCCCAAAACACGCATTATCGATCCTCCCGATCCATTAACGGTGCTTTTAGGTATCACAAGCACCGGTCACCGTCCTCATCGAACCCGGCGCTTGCGACGAAGGGCTCGACAAGCGATTGAACCCACAGAGACAGCCCACTGAGTTTCTCGCTGGATCTTCTCAGTGGGTCGGTTTCTGATCCGGTGGTAGATTCTGTGAAGCACTGCTCTTGCTAGGGCCAGTATTAGCAACACTCCGGTTTGAGCCCCGTGAGCTCACTTACTAGCTAAGGTTACGCTGAAACAGCCTCTCAAGGCTATCAGCTTAGGTAAAGTGGCTGCCGTTGCTATCGCCTTCAACGTTACTCAAAGGACGAGATGAAACTGTACTATTCTAGGCTGACACCACACAGCCATTAAGTACGAACCTACCGTTCACTGGTATATTAAAACAGACTTAAACTTTAATGTCTATGACTCGTAAGATCCTGAGAGTGTTCTAATAGTTTGTATTTTTATCAGTGCAATTTAAGTAACAATAAATTGTCCCGAGTGAACTAAACGTACAGTACGATTTCACTTTCACCGATTGAAGATATTGCCCAACTCAAAACTCAGCATGTATACAAAGAAACGATACGATGTAAGTATTGTAATAGATATATTTAAGACGCGTACTTGTGGTTTTATGTAATAGGTTTTTTACAACGTGCACTTAACGTTCTCTACAACTAGATGTAAATCGTGGTTGAATGCGTAATTAGATGGGATACACAATACACTTTCTCACAAATCGATTTTTTTTTTAATTATTTGATGAGATAAACAATGTATGATAAATATATAAAATACATATCATGTATGATAAATAATATATAAATATTAATTAAACAACTAAGCATTAAGTAAAACTTATATAAAAATGAATTGCTGTTTGTTAGTCTCGCTAAAACTCGAGAACGGCTGAGCCGATTTGGCTAATTTTGGTCTTGAATTATTTGTGGAAGTCCAGAGAAGGTTTAAAAGGTAGATAAATATGATAATGCTCGGAATTAAATAAAAATAACTTTTTTTTTTATTTGTCCCCCGTCGGACGAGTTTATTTTATACAAAAGTTTAGGTCTTTTATTTATCGATTGAGGCACTACGAAGTCTGCCGGGTCAGCTATTAATCAATAAAAATAAATAATAAAGGACAATGCCCACATAGGTGTGGAATTCCGTCTTAAGTTGTTGCACAATAAATCTTTATTTATTATGAACTACGCTTCATACACTATCGAATAAAAGTGTTCGGTTCCCCATGATTAGCCGGGTTTTCAAGTAATTACACAGCCCACAAACAAAACATATTAATCATAGTTTTCACACATCGACTTCTCATTATCAGAGGCTCAAGCATCAACATGATTACAGAATTACAGAAGACTCAAGAGTTCATAAACAAAACATATAAACGTCCTGGCGTATATAATAATATAATATAATATACCTAGTTATTTAATTGTACAAGATTTTGATATCATTTTTGTGATGATTGAGTCTAAAAACTCATGCATGAGTAATCACTGTCTAAATAGAGAGAACGAAACGTCATGTCACGACTTTAATACGGAAATGATGCGAACAATTGTTGATTTACTATTAATCTTAAAATCATAATTCCGGTCCTGTACAAAATGTTTCTGTAGTGAAATTGATTGTAAAAAATGAGAAAACTATTTCTATGTTATTTTGATTCTGCAACATGCAACTTTGCTAGACGACTTTTGGTCATTCTCCTTTAGTATGTTTTGATAAAATCTAATCAAATTACATGAGCAGGTAACTACGAGTATCACAGAATACAAAATACTTGACAGATGTCTAAATCTCGCTAACAACATTTTCTCCCCTCAGGATACCTCGACATTAGATAGGTAATCGAAGCAAGTTGTAGAGAAGGACTTCCTTCACCGCTTCGAATTGCCCGACGATGTTAGGGAGCTCCTTGGAACCAACAACACCTCGATCCGCGCCTACGATAAGACCGTTGCCTATTCGAGTAGAAACAAGTCCCTAATCGCGAGTGAACTTCAGAGCGCAATCATAACCTTACGACAGTGGTTCCGAAAATGGCGCATAGACATCAAGGCATAGCGGTGCTATTTCAAAGGGGAAACTCCACACGGATTTGACAAAGTGACACTTTACAAAACTTGCATAAGGCCCGTCATGATTTACGCGAGTGTGGTGTTTGCTCACGCGGTCCTCACACATACAGACACCCTCCAAACCCTACAATCCCGCTTTTGCAGGTTCGCCGTAGGAGTTCTATGGTTCGTGAGGAACATTGACCTACACGACGAACCAGGCCTCGAATCAATCCGGAAATAAATGAAGTCAGCGTGGGAACGGTACTTCAAAAAGGCTATGCGTCATGATAATCGTCTTATCGTTGCCGCCGATGCCTACTCCTGGAATCCTGATGCCGCAGGAGCCAGTAACCTAGTCACCGTCGACGCCATAGACATGTCTTTACGGATCCATCAGAACCATTAACCTTTGCATTAGACGCCTTCATCTCTAACACTAGGAGCAGTCTTATGGACCGTTCGAAACTATAACGCGGGCAAAATTACTCAGCTTAGCGACGGTCCAAATGTAAATGTATCTTAAAAATGTTTTTTTTTTACAGTTTACAGGCCTTTACAGTTTCACCAGGACAGGTGGGCGAGCAAGGGCTCAGCCAGGACTCGTCGGATTTGCTAAAAGCTAACCAAGCGCCTTAAAAGGAGACCTATCAACTCAAGAGCAGCTGCTTCGTGAATGAATCTACTACCAGATCGGAATCGCGACCCGCTGAGAAGATCCGGCGAGATACTCAGCGGGCTGATGTATGAGGTAGGTTGCACACCGATCCCTTTGTCGAGTTCGACGAGTACGGTTAACGGGGTCCCTAAGCCGGCTCCTAGTGTTAGAGCTGAAGGTGTCTAATGCAAAGGTTATTGGATCTGATGTATTCGTAAGGACGCGTCTAAGGCGTCGACGGTGACTGGCTCCTGCGTGATCAGGATACGGGGAGTAGTCAGTGGCGGCAACGATAAGGCGATTATCATAACGCATAGCCTTATCGAACTAACGTTCCGACGCTGACTTCATGTGTTTTCGGATCGATTCGATGTCCATCGTGTAAATCGACATTCCTCACGAACCACGGAGCTCCGACGGCTAACCTGCAAAAACGGAATTCTTGGGATTGGAGGGTGTCTATGTGTGTGCTGGCCGCGTGAACGTACACCATACTCGTGTAAGTCGCCTTATACATGTTTTTTTAAAGTGTTACCTTGTTCCGAAGGAACATTTTACTCCGCTTACAGTTCATGGGATAGAGTTTGTCGAGAATAAGCGCGGCACGGTCGCGGACTGATTTTATATGTGGGTGGAATGTCATGGCTGCCTCCAGGTGACACCCAGGTACTTGATCTTCCTGACCCAGGGTATAAGTTGGCCGAAGAGGGTGATCCCCCCGATGTGAGATTCCTCCTCTTATCTGGGAGGAAATTCATGTGATACAATCAATATCTCTAGTATGACCCTTGCAAACAATTGAATTTAAGAAAATTTTCATTATGATCCGACAGTAAGCTGTTATAGAAATAATTTTCTTCATTTTAACCATTTTGGTTTCATGACCGAAACCTAATAAAATTGTCAAAATCACCTTTTTGGTAGACCTAAATAAGTTTCAACTTACAATAATCGAGTTTTAAAAGAATGCGTGTTTTATTGTTATTTCATTAAAATTCATGTTTTTTATATTCACTCTGCTGATCATGCTTGCCTATTATAACACATTAATGTAAACAACTTTAGATTTGTTATTGGAAATAAACATTTTAACAGGTTTTAAACTGTCTGTCGATGTTTTTGCAAATGCCAAACCTAGTTAGCAAACAACAATTTATGTCCACGTATACTCTTGAAAATTATCTGCTGTTAATTAATATAACTTCAATTATTTTGGTGTCATCCAAGATAGAGAAGGCTAAGAAAATTGCGGACAAATGTTGTAACCAATTAAAAACATGGGAATGAAAATATACTAAATTATATTTTAAAATAAACTATACCAATAGATTTTTAATTCTTTCTAATTTAAGTCCCAAAACCTTTACTATTAACAAAGTTGGCAGCAGTTAATCTTATACTTACTGATATTGCTTTATCAAATCACTTACCATTTGGTTTATGTCTTTCCAAAGTTTCTTTACTATAATCTCTAAGAGCCTGCAACCGTCCATTATACACATTTCTGTTGTTATAACGGTGGATACTAGATTCCGACGAGCTAATCCATTTCGTTTCCAAATTACCAAAATGTTCATTTACTTTGTTGTATTGACTAGTTATATCAGCGAAGAGCATCGATGGCGCGGACCATTGAACGAACCACTGATGCGACACGGCCATGTTTTCTTTTATGACTCAAATCACAAATAACGAATTAGTCACTTATAGTTTGTATTATACAGAAAATAGTATGGCAGAAAAGGAACCGGTATATTTTTCTGCATCGCAGAAAATGCGTGAGCACTAGAACAGTTCTTGAAATTGTCTGTCAAAGCGTCTCTGCGCTTGCCTTTCTGCGCGGAAACTTTCAACCCCACTTGAAACTTCAAAGAATATATACGTATATGTGATCTTATTTTATATTATACTTGTTCCTGTCAAAACAAAGTTTCGAAATAGACCAGTGAATGTATGCGAACAGATTCAGCTAGAACGAATCAATTAGGTCAGCCTTATTAGGCAGACGTTAGAAGGTACCTACTGGCGTTATTGTGTAATTTGATTTATATTTTAGCAAGCAAGTTGAAAGATAAAACTGAAATGATGGATCTCAAACATTATTAATGTTCAGATTTGTGCCACGTGAAAATCATTCTGCCCTGTTTTAATTTAGTTTTGTTTATAGAAATATTACAAGAAAATAAACAATTTAAATATTATGTTCATAGAATTGGCGAGCTTAACACAGATATGAGTTTCCTTCTAGTAAACCAAAATCAAAGGAACGTAGTTTACAAAAAATGTAAAAGTAAACAAGGAAACATCAATATACAAGTTGTAATAAGTATTAAATACAAAAACACAAGTATTTGTTATAAAATAAAATATAGAATAAGCATGTAATCGAGTAATTCAGTTTGGAAATTAGTAACCAGGGCAAATTCTAGAGTCCCGTGATAAAACGGACACACAGGTTCTGAGATTATACTTTTTTTTTCTAAGTTTTGCTCGGCATTCTAAGATTCGGTTTATCGAAAATTTTATTGACAAAAATAAATTGAAAAATGCTATATCATCATGTATCAAAGAATATCTCCAACGATATATTATAATGGTTCTTTCTTACTTCGAGTCATTTTAGAAATAATTTGAAATTCATCAGTGTAGCTTCGTAGGCCCAAAACTTATTTGATTAGAAACCGATTTTTCATTGATCATTTCTCAAACATTGTTGAATAATACAAATAAATGAATCCAGGCTGAGTACAAAAATTAAACATTTGTAGTTATTGCTTTTTATGGATATTAATGATTTATTTGTTTTTTTTTATTTATGTTGATCTTTATCCGATAACTATCATCGTAGCAATTTTTCCTTTCTAATTGTTAAGTTTTTAGCTTTTACCATATAATCAAATAACAATTCTAGAGACTGATAACCTACATAAATATGCCCAATCAGCACTCTCCATGTGGTCAGAAACTACTTTATCGGTACCTTTTTAAATTTCACTTTCTAAATTGTTCAGTTGAATACAAAATGCAAGTGAAATATATCGCGTTGTTAACGATATTCACGTGCTCGCAAGCAATTTACCCATATTTCGATACGCAAGATTTTATATACAATGTTCCAAAAGTATACAGAATTTCAATTGTATTAGATAAACTATTAGATTATTATGAGAGAAAGCCTTCTAAAGATCCCGAGTGGTACATTGCTTTAGGAATGGCAAGAGGTGAGTTTTGTCTTCGGCATTATTATAGATGCGAGAATCGAAGAATTGCAAATACAATGCCTAAAAAAAGCCTAGTGACCGGGATCTGACGTAGTTTTTTGAATATGGGCTTCTTAAGAAAGCCCACAACTTTTGGAGAGGGCTTTTTGCGATTTCTACATACATGTATTAATTATTTAAATAGATAGACGAGTTTTCAACATTACTGGTAATTAAATTTTGAAGTCGTCGTGGCCTAAGAGATAAGACGTCCGGTGCATTCGTGTTGAGCGATGCACCTGTGTTCGAATCCCAGGCGGGTACCAATTTTTCTAATTAATTACGTACTCAACAAATTTTCACGATTGACTTCCACGGTGAAGGAATAACATCGTGTAATAAAAGTGAAACCCGCAAAATAATAATTTGCGTAATTACTGGTGGTAGGACCTCTTTTGAGTCCGTGCGGGTAGGTACTACCGCCCTGCCTATTTCTGCCGTGAAGCAGTAATGTGTTTCGGTTTGAACGGTAGGGCAAACGTTGTAACTATACTGAGATCGTAGAACTTATATCTCAAGGTGGGTGGCGCATTAACGTTGTTGATGTTTATGGGCTCCAGTAACCACTAAACACCAGATGGGCTGTGAGCTGGTACACCCATCTAAGCAATAAAAAGTTATTTGTTACCGGAGCCCATAGACATCACACGTAGGTCACTTTGCAGGTCAAAATTTCACATGTAAAGTATAATATAACTGCTCTACCTTTGGTGACGACGGTGATGGTACTATCTGTACGGATACGCTTTCCCGCCGGTAATTCAGGAATCAACAGCATCAACACAGACGAATTTAAGTCACCGTTATATATTAAAAATTATTTTTGTAAATATAAAAATATTAGAGTAAAGTAGGGTAAGCTAAATTGTACAGCAATATAAAATAAACACTAATTTAAAACATTAAATATATAAAGAGTGTTATTATCGCTAAGAGCGATCTCTTCTAAACAACCATCGGAACGACAAGAATCGTCTTAGCAAAGAAATTAGCCTGTGATATTACACACATTCATCGATTAAAAAAAATCGATTGAAATATTAAGTACAAAAAAAAAACCTGTCATCCGAGTCTTTTGATATCGGTAAAAAATGTCTCAACACAAAAATCTTAAATGAAAAGTTGATTTTTATTTAGGCCAATTAGAATATACTATTAATGAATTGGACAAAGCGGTTCCTGAAAAACTGAAAGAGAATTTAAAGAACATAACGCGAAGAATAGACCGCGTTCGAAAAAAAATTGATATGGGAGATTTGGTGTACCGAAGTAAGGATTACGAATATGGTACGTTTATTTATATGATTAAATTATAATTGAAAGGTAGAAATTTATAAGTAATTTAATTATAATTTGCGTAATTACTGGTGGTAGGACCTCTTGTGAGTCCGCACGGGTAGGTACCACCGCCCCGCCTATTTCAGCCGTGAAGCAGTAATGCGTTTCGGTTTGAAGGGTGGGCCAGCCGTTGTAACTATACTGAGACCTTAGAACTTATATCTCAAGATGTGTGGCGAATTTACGTTGTAGATGTCTATGGGCTCCAGTAACCACTTAACACCAGGTGGGCTGTGAGCTCTTCCACACATCTAAGGAACAAAAAAAAAGTAATCATGAAATCAATTTCTTTTTAATGGCTTTGTGATTGTTTTCTATTTTTCGGGCTACTTTTTCAAATATAAGCAATTTCGTGAAGCTATTCTAAAATAAGGCGCTTGCCTTTGACTGACTATTATTCCACTTCCATCATATATGCATTCCCACCTGAAATACAGGATGGGTTCGAATCACTGAAGTAACTATGGTTCGAACAACACATTCCGCTATCGTACATTTGTATCAACACGAGTATCATGCAGATAAAGCTTCAAAATGCGAGGTGACGATGGTACTCCAGGTTAAAAAGTACTACTAATAAGCTTCATCGGCATCCATTGGTTCATAGAAAGTGTATGTTACTGCAAAAATAGTTATTAAAAGTTTATAGATAGATTTTGAATGCAAATTTGATAACATATAATGTTAATAATTTTATCGCATTTATTGAATCGAGAAATAAACTATTGCACAACAATTAACATTTTGCTTGTTCCAGAAAATTAATCTTGATGGCACGTTTAATATGAGTCGAAGTCAGACTGTTAAAAGTTCTTGCACGATACACATTATTTTTATGAGTGTCTATTAAGTTTTCAGTCATTATTATTTTACTAAAAGATATAAAAGTGAAAAACACGGGTATACAGAGCTATTATTGCTTAGATAATGTGCACTAAAAAGAAAACTTTCAGCAGAAAGATAAGGAAAAAATAATTTAAATATGAATTATTCCGTAATATGTATCCGTAATGTATGTACCAGGTCTTAAGAGGCGATTCGTGAAAGGTTATCTGTCTCGTCTTTGAAATTAATTATTGCACTTAGCTGCTAATATTTAAATCACGATTTCGAATGCAAGTGGGCTATATTAAAGCTATGTATGAAATATTAAATGGATTTACCGCTTAATGTTTTATGTCAGAACAGCGTGATGAATGTGAACAAAATGTTGAAATCGTAAACGACTCATTTAGCACTCAGGAAATACACATGAAGATATTATTATGAGAATTTAATTTCGATGCTTATAATTAGGTTAATTTACGTAGCATTGGTAAATTTCTTGGTCTACTTATGAATTTTTTGTGTGTTTTTTTTAGATCGTAGAAATTAAAGTTGCATTAAATATTGTATACATTATGTTTTTGAATTTATTTGCAGTAGTGAAAGCAATTTTTGAAAACATGGATGTACTATCGAGTGTTTTAGAACCGATCACACTAGGAACAATGGGTACACAAAAACCATACAGATTTACATTCGAACAATACCTGCAAGAAGCTCGTACGAAGATGCCCGGTAGAAAAGCTGCAGGTAATAAACAATCAATGACTAAGTGAATTTGTAAGAATTAGGCGTTTTGGCTTATTTCTTACTAATTATATAACTCTATATTTAAAAATGAATTGCTGTTCGTTAGTCTCGCTTAAACTCGGGAACGGCTGGACCGATTTGACTAATTTTGGTCTTGAATTATTCGTGCAAGTCCAGGAAAGGTTTAAAAGGTTTAGATAAATATGAAAATGCTTGGAATTAAATAAAAATAACAATTTTGTTTTTCCTTTGATGTGTCCCCCGTCGGACGGATTCCTTTTGTTTGTTTTAAGTTTATTTTATACGAAAGTTTAGGTCTTTTATTTATCGATTGAGACACTACGAAGTCTGCCGTTTCAGCTATCTTCTATCTTTTATCTTTTATATATATAAAATTGAATTGCTGTTCGTTAGTCTCGCTAAAACTCGAGAACGGCTGGACCGATTTGGCTAATTTTGGTCTTGAATTATTTGTGGAAGTCCAGAGAAGGTTTAAAAGGTTTAGATAAATATGGAAGTGCTCGGAGTTAAATAAAAATAGCACTTTTGTTTTTCCTTTGATGTGTCCCCCGTCGGACGGATTCCTTTTGTTTCTTTTAAGTTTATTTTATTCAAAAGTTTAGGTCTTTTATTTCTCGATTGAGGCACTACGAAGTCTGCCGGGTCAGCTAGTACTTTATAAATTTGGGAAATGTAGACACGTAAAAAAGTGACAGATTAACGTCAGAAAAGGACGTAAATAACTACATAGGATACCCTATGTAGTTATTTACGTCCTTATGCTATGGTTTTAAGGCACGTGTTCTAAAATTTCAATACGATATAATTGTTTCTAAGTGGTGGGTCATACTGTGAGCCTACACAAATAGATTTGAAAGTAACAGGTTACCCTTCAAGTATAAATTGACGTGTTTTTTAGAGACCGAAATAGCACGCACCATATGACATAAGATCTTGTAACACATATCGTTTATCGATACTATCAATTTTCAATACTTAATTTAAATAAAATTAATTGACTTATTTGCAACAGCAAAAAAGTAGTTTGAAGTGGGTACGTATAGTTCACAAAATGTTGCAACAAATTAGACGAGAAAGATTTAATGAAGCGTGTTCTAGATTTCAAGAACATTTTTTTTACTATTTTATCAACACCACAGTTCGATCAGTATCGATTCTTGAATAGTGGTGATATTATTATATCTGTGGTTTATCTATATAATCTATTTGGATGGATACAAAGTATAGTTAGAGATATTACCTTAAATAGCACCACATATGTTTCAAGACTGAACACAAATTCATTCGAATATCAGTCTTAAAATGTTCGTCAAAGGATCAAGTATTCAATAAAAATTATAGTGGCATCTCCATTTTATATAATAGCTGCTAAGTAGCTCCTTGACTAAATAGTTTAAAATAATTGTACGATGAACCTATTGATCAAAATAATATAATTATAAAAGATTACATTCGTTAACTAGCCAAATTTAAGATATAAGCATGTAAATCTGTTTTGGAACATCGAAGAAGGTCTTCTTAATAAATTCTAGAAAGATAAACCAGAGCGGTATTAATTGATTTCGTGCACAATGAACTTTGTGTTACGCTACATGACTTTGCAAAGAAGCTTTAAGATGACATTTTTGTACAGTTGATTACATATTTGCCTACGATTTGTTTATTTATGATTTAAATAGGAAGTGAAACAGAAATAAGAGCACCTTATAGATTATTTGGCATTACTATACATAAGAACTAAACGAATGATGAAATGTTATATTGCACATTTACAATACGCACTAACTACATGTGAAAGAACAAAAATGTAATCGCACAGATAAATCATCAAATGAAAAAGAATTATCGCAACTTCGGTATGTTCAAAAAACTCGTACAAGATCTAAGACAGAGGGAAGAAGTAATAAGATAACTTAGATAGAGAGATATAAATTCAGAAATATAAATAGAAGAATTCAAACCTTTTAACTGACTGAAGAAAAATTTTGAACTTAGTTCGTTCACCTAGTGCGAAGCTAAATTCCATGTCTACGATTAGAACTGTTCAAGGTTGCCTACTTTTAAGAAGCTTGGCTATTATACTAATCAAGTAAAGAAGTATCCTATGATAATAATGCGATATATTTTCGTGATCTTTCTAATTTTCCCATTTTCTTTGATTTTACTTGCCAGTGGAGATTATTTCTTTCCGTTCTGTTCATAATGTAACAACATAATTGAACAAATTTTAAATTGACGAAAAATATATAGTTGGACATATTATTATGTTCACTAGGAGGGCTAGTAATGGAAACGAAGTAAATTTTTTTTTTCCAATACAACAAAAATAATAAATATTTTTGTTGTATTGCCATTGGTATGTATAAGTTATATTAGAAACGAAACTGTGGTAATACCAGTACCACATGGCAGGCTCATTTTTTATTTATTTATTTACTTATCCATTTGCTGGTAGCTTTAGGGGCTATTCCATCCACGCCCGGGCTATCTCATCAAGCTCATCTAATACTGATATCTGTACGAGATCAAATAGATTTAAGATCAAATTTCGAACTCGGCGAAAAAACACAACTATACGTATCCCGATCAAAGCTGGTTAATTCTGATATATCATATCCCGACCACGATAACTGCATGATCGTGCTGAGACACATGTGTGTTGAGTAATTTCTACAATGACAAATTAAGATTAATATAAATGTATTTTATTGATTTCATGTGATTCCTAATACTATAAATCACATGGATTGCTGTTGCAGTGAATTTTTTTTAAAACCTATATTATTTTATAGTTGGCTTAATTTTTCAGGACAAGGTATTTTTATCTGTCAATTCCTTTATTTACAGACGCTTGCACGATGCAACTATTAATATCAGCTATGGAGACACAGACGACACAGTCGGACGGTGTATGCGAGATGACGCCTGAATGTTCATCGCAGATAATCAAAGGTTCTGGACTTGCTTTTCAACAGACGAGTCGCGTCCGTGCGGCAGTTTTAGCTAGTTTATTTGATTGCATGGAAGGACTGGACGTACCGGCTCATATTTACAAACTGTGCATACAAATTTACAAAGAAACTAAATCTCTCGAAGTATGGGATCATCCTCCCGGTACAAAGACATTATTTATGCAACAAAGTAAGCAAGTATTCTTAAATCTTTTTTTTTTATAAATATACAAAATTAAGTCTTCAAATGAATGAATATGTGAAATTATTTCTTTTAGTTTTGTATTGCGCATCACAAGGCTATGGTGAGTTTGTGAAGCCACGTTGGATGAATAAGATAATCGCGTGGCAACAACCAAAAGGATGTTACGCTGATGATCGACAGCCTTTCATGAGGCTCACCGGTTTCGTTGGCGCATCGACACCCGCAACTCTTAATGATAGAGAAGTACGCAATAAGCGCTGCCATATAGCAAAAAAAAACATAAAGAGTTTATAAATTATCTCTTCATTCCAGCAAAAGATGTGTGCCTGTAAATGGATATGGTTCATATTGCTTCCGGTGATTACGTAATTTGTAGACTTTACAACGTGAATGCTGTCACTCATCAATCTGGAGCATAAGATAGACGTGTCATGTGTGTTTTTTTTAATCTCTCCCGTCTTTCATGCTGAAACGCATTACTACTTCGTGAAAAAAATAGGCAAGGAGGTGCTACTTGCGCATGCAGCATCTCTCAGCAATACCGCACGCGAGTTAAAAGTTTCCGTGATAGAAGAAAAAAATTTTTTTATTCATAAACAAAAACAAAACTGTTTAGAAATATATAAACATATCTGTTTAGAAAAAAAACTATAATCAACATAAACTGTTATAAATATTTATTCCATCGTAAACATTTTCATAATACGGCACCTCGTTGACTCTACTTTAAACGTTCTTGATTGCATTCTATTTTAATTTTTATGCAATTCATTTGGATGCTGAAACTTTATTTAGAGAGTTGCTTATATTAATGTAATTTCTAAAATTAGAAATATTTCATATACGTTTGCACGTGCCAGGAAGAATATCGAGTGAAGAAAGCGGCTACATCCGAAGGTGGCGCCTGTAACTCGTTGACGTCAGCAATGGCGCTTGGTTCATTAGTGCTGCATATAAGAACACTACTTGAGACAGATCAAGCATTTCAATACGACGTGCTTCTTTGATGTTCACGATATAATCTAAATTAAATATTATATAAACTTGAAAATGAATCGTTCCTTTTCTTTTGGGTTATCTTTTTCTTTCCTATCTATTCGCTGGCAGGTAAAGGAGCTACGCCCGGACGGGAAGGTGACCTCACGGTCTTAACCTAAGAGATTTTATTTTTTAATGCTTAGATAGTTGGACGAGCTCACAGCCCACCTGGTGTTTAGCGGTTACTGGAGCCCATAGACATCTACAACGTAAATGCCGCTACACATCTTGAGATATGAGTTCTAAGGTCTCAGTATAGTTACAACGGCTGCCCCACCCTTCAAACCGAAACGCATTATTGCTTCACGGCAGAAATAGGCGGGGTGGTGGTACCTACCCGTGCGGACTCACAAGAGGTCCTATCACCAGTAATATTTGCTAACACTAGCTCTAGCACTCTAGCACTCTAGCCCTAGCAAGAGCAGTTCTTTGCAGAATCTACTACTGGATCGGAATAGTGACCCACTGAGAAGATCCGCCGAGAAATTCAGTGGGCTGTTTAGTTTATCCAAACGTTTGTCGATATAGAAGATGGTTGAAGACTTTTATTCTTATTACCATCGGGGATCGTAAACTTAATTTAATGTAGAATCTTTTACCGCATTTAACTACTCAAATAATTGTTGTCTGGCCTGCGTGTTTTTTTTATGTAGTATTGTAAACATTCAGACATCTAGACTTCGATAACTAAATGTCATTGACAAAAAATAATTAATAACTCCGTCCGCTAACCGAACCCAGTGCAGAACACTGTTAGCGGACGGTACAGTTTTGTCACCAAACCTTTTATTTAGACCAACACGACGCAACAAGGTCATAATGTCATTAATTGATACGCATCATGTTTCATGTAAAAATATGCCGGTTCGTAACATAATACGGGATAACAACAAATACCAGCACTAATTCCGAAATTGAAATAATTACAATCATACAAATTTGATCCTTAAACATAGAAGACTTTCGAGAAAAATATATTATTGAGTATATAATTATTTTAAAAAACGGTACCTGTAGGTAAACCTGCAAGCCTAACATATTAGATCATGGACGCTTTTATACGTGGTAATAAAAATGTTAAATACTTTAATAAATTATTTATTTATGGTTCTATTCGCAATGAATTATCGGAGTTTATAAACTCGTTATCACAAGACTGCCAAAAAAGATATTCTTAATAAAATTAATAAGATCAATTCAAGCTCCAAAAACTAGTCCTGAAGAATAAGAAGCTTGGTGTACTGGTATTATGCGATGCATCTGTTCCAGTGTTAAAATCCCACAGGCAGGTATTTTTTTCCTACTTATTGCTTACTACCTCAGGGGTTCAGCTCGCTTCACTGAAGCTATAATATATATATATATATAATAGTCGAGCTTGCGGGGCTCAGCCTGGGATTATTGAATAATAATAATAATGCCTTTATTTCCCGAGCGTTTTACATTTTAAACTAACAATTTCAAGTAGACTAAAAAAAAAACAAAAAAACAGTACATTATATGCAAACAAAATATATTACAAGAGTAAAATGTCTCTCGTCTCGGTGTGTCTTTCGGCAAAGGCCTTCTCCAACTGTTTCCACGGCTTTCTCTCTTCTGCTACGATAATCTGAAGGGGTCCAGAGGTAATTTTTAGTTTGTCTTCCCACCTTCTTGGTTTGCGACCTCAGCTCCTCGCAACATCTCTTGGGTACCATACTGTTATCTGTTTGGTCAATTTTTCTTTTTTGCAGTGGAGCATATGGCCTGTCAATAGAGATGCTATTTGAGTTGATCAATATGTGACAGGATGACTGTTAATTTCGTTTTGCGCTTGATGTCTACACTTGTGACTTTGTCCATTAGTTTCAAGCCCACCATGCTCCTTTCCATACTCCTTTGACATCTTGCTAGTTTGTCCCTATATTGTTTCGTCAAAGCCCAGGTTTCGCAACCATATGTGATGTAGGGTAGGATACAGGTATCAAATGTCTTCTTCTTGATCTTAATGCCCAATTCCTGGGTTTTCATAATTTCTTTCAAGGCTCAATATTGTTCCCATCCAGTTGCAATTCTTTTGTCTATTTCTTTAAGCATTTGGTCATTGTGTGATATTATTTGGCCATGATATATACATTCCTCTACATAATTGAGATTTCTCTCCATTGATGGTTATATTTAATGGGTATTGAATTTGTCATCATTCTAGTTTTGTTCGATTACTTAGTCGAGTTAATTAATTAAAATTATTGGGATTATTAAATACCTATGTACTTATGTTCACGAATGATTTCCGCGATGAAGGCATAACATCGTGCAATAAAAATCAAACCCGCAAAATTATAATTTGCCTAATGACTAGTGATAGACCATCCTGCTGATTTCCTGCAGTTTGTAGAGTGGGACTGACGTTATTCTATACAATTCAGAGTAAGATCTCGTATCTCTAGTTGGATGTCGGCATTCATGCTGTAATGTCCATAGGCTCCAACAACATAACCACCTAACATCACACATAAAAAAATGGCATCTATGGCATCTAAATTCTAAGACAATAAAATAAATTTGCTCATCATAGACACACCGAGATCCAGAGATAATTTTATTAAACTATTTAAGCCTTTTCCCGTTCTTGTAGCAAAACCTTCATAAGCGTAATTTTATATTGACAGCTGATATTTTTGAAGGGTTTGATTTGATTGTCGTTTTTGCGTACCAATCAGTGGTACCAATTAAAAAAGTCTTGTCTTGCTTGTTCCTTTACAATAGGAACCATTAATTCTAATACTAATTCTTTTTGTTTCATAAATTACAAATTTGTTTATTAATATCATGTCTTGCATTTTTCGACGATGCATGTGTACCGTTGGACTCGCTAAAAAGCCCCCAATACCAGTATTTGGTGAGATACTTAGAAATTTCAATTAGAATTTTAATAACTTAAGCTTAAAATAGAAACTACTTCGACATGCTGTGTACCGGTAAAACAAAAAGAAAAATAGTGGTAGCACTTAAACCATCCAGAATTCCAGCACAAAGTAGAGGCTATTAAGTTTAGGTTTTGTGATCCAGATAATAAGTTATTGAGATTGATAAAGACTTTTACGACGATTACATGTAAAATCTGCCTAACTAATATTTTGATAAAAATAATATTTTTTTTGTCGTAAACTTGGGACAGTATAACAAAAAAGTCATTATCGCTATACACATGACACTATAAAATGTAGGCGTTTAAAGACGAATGTCAGAAATACTTCATGGCAGCAAGAAACTAAATTATATTTATCCGTGGCGTTTTGAGATGTCCTGTCGCCTCTAATTACGTAAATTTTACCGGTTTCATTCTATTAATTTGTGCTATTCATCTTAAAAGTTATTGCGGTGAATAATGGAAAATTCAAAAACAAAGGCAAAGACAAGGGAGCTCGTTCTAATCAATAATTCAAAATACAAACATGTTTAGGTGTTGAAGGGCGGTATGTATCAGCACTCTATAGTGCGGCTGCACAAAAAAATCAATTGGATGACGTCGAAAAGCATTTGCAAATTTTGAATAAAGAACTTTTGAAACCAAAAATGGTTGATTTCATCGAAACCTGTGTAATTAATTCTGCAGCGAAGGCAAAGATGTTGAAACAGGTTGCAAATGAAGCTGGTAAACAATTGAATTTTTAGACATATTTTGTATTACGATTTTTATGATTGATTTTCTAGCAGTATTTCAATGTATAAAAAATTTACATAACTTTAGATACTACCTATTTTCCACCAGGAATGCCAGACACCGCCATAAACTTTCTAGAGCTTGTAGCTGAAAATGGACGTTTAAAGCTTCTGAGAAAAATGATCAACAAGTTTCTTGCTGTTATGATAGCGCACAGAAATGAGGCATTATGTGAAGTAATAACTGCACAACCACTTGATGATAGTACCAGAAAAATCCTTATGGATGCCCTTAAAAAGTTCGTAAAGGAAGGCAAGAATATACAATTGACAGAGAAAGTGGATCCATCTATTATGGGAGGCATGATCGTGGGAATTGAAGATAAACACATAGATATGAGTATAGCGAGAAAAATTCAAATGTACACTGATATTCTGAAACAGTCTGTTTAATATTATCGTATTCAAAATGGTACAAAATAAAACAATAACTTAGTTCATAAATTACGCAGTGGTTATAAATATTTAAACGATGGCCGTATTAGTGCCACTGAAACCTCCTGAGCAATTCTTCAGACAAGATAGTTATTTCTTCAGAAATGATACAGCGCCATACCTGTAGGTACCACGAATGTGACCATTGCGAACGATAATATTTGCATGGTAACCAGGGTGCCGATCCTTTGGGGGATTATTGCAGGGAGAATCGGCAAGGACAGTGGGAACCTTTTCAGCATGGATCCTAAAATTAACTCTGTCGGAGGAAATGGAGCCTGTCATTACTCGTTGAAAACTGGACGTGAGAATCCACAATTCTTGCTCCCCTTTGATATTATTCACCACTTTTAGCCCACTAGCAAATTGCAGGGTTTCTTTGTCAACAGCGATCTTGTAAAAGTTCCTGGGAGAAAATTCCGTTGCTGAATTCCAGCACCAGATACTGGGAGGGTTCATGAGCCCAAAGTACATAATGCCGTTTCGGTCCATAGCTTCCGCTGCTGATTGCGAAGTACGCTCTTCCGGAAATTCCTGAAAAATAATTCTTATGAACTAGCAGAAAAGTTTATTTTATTTCCTACTAAATCCAGTATGTGCATGAATAAACTCTGAAAAAAAATTAATTATGTCCTATGTTAATTTACTAAGCCAGCCTTCTTAAAAATCTTTCGAAGTGGGATTTGTAACTCATCAATACATTTACGTGAATGCTGAGGAATGCAAGATCAATGCTTCCTCTGGTTAAAATGTTGTTTTCATTAATGGGACTTTAGTTCGCGTTCGTCCTAGTTGAAGTAAGTATTATATATAATATTATATCACTTTAATATTAGTATCACTTACGAATACTACAGTGAGTGCAGTAGTTGCCATTCTCTATACGTTATAATTCAATATTGTCATTGAACAGTTTCTCAACTCGGAGCGCATATTATTTTTTTATTCAAAATCACAACACTAAGATGTTAGAATTTTGAAATGTTGTCAGTTACGCAAATTTGTTTTGTTGACCTACATATGTCTTTTTATAATTCAAACGTAGCCTGTCTAGCTATTAAATATATTATGCGGTTGTAAAACATTAAACTTACGGCGATAGCTTGTGGATCAACTGTAGGGTCAACAAGGTACGAATTATTTCTTATCACTTCAGTTTTAACTACGTTTTCTGTTGTAGACGCTAGAGAATGGAAGTAGAGAAAACGGTCACGTCCTGTTCGATATGGAGACAGAGCCATACCAAGAACTCCATCCATCAGATCAAAAGATTCTCCTAAAATAAAAAAATAAAATTCAATATGATAACTATTTCTATTTAATTTCTACATTAGAGTTGTGAACTTTAAGTCCATATGACAGCATCAAATATTAGTTTATAAATATCATCAAACATAATAGGTACAGGGCATTTATTGTCAGTGATATTGATTTAACGTAAATTTGCTAAATGTTGAAATATAAATCTGAAATAGACGGATTGTTAATAATACATAAAATGGATTCAGTTAAATTCTTTTGGGTTCAAAATAATTCAATAAATAATAAAAGTCCGTTATTATATTATCTATGCTCTTGTATAAATAACCAATCATTAACTACTACATATTTTTTCTTCTATTTGTCAACCATATTTCTCTATTTGTTTAGTAGTTATTGACGAAATTTATGTGTTATGAATAAAACATTGGAAATATTTTAAAATAAAAGGCAAAACAGTTAAGTATCAGATTCTCCTCTCTTGAGCAATCAACTTTTTAGTTGCTATTGATGAGCTTTATTGTGTATAAAAAAAGCCAATATTATTTTTATATCTTGCCTAGTATGTGTACATCAAAAACAAAAATATGCCAATACTATTTTTACTTAACACAAAAGTATCTATTTATATAATTAATACGTGAAGAAAAACATGGTACCCGTTTTTACGAAAATTGCGCGGAAGAGGTGTATGAATTTTCCTACACTTATAGAGAATATAGAGAAGGAGTGCGGAATGCATTGAATTGAATCAATAAAAAAACTTTACACACACTACCATGTGATGACACACAAACATATAAGTATATTATAATTATTGTTTACTCTTTATTTACTATCAAACTTTTGTTGTTGCTTAAAGTCTGTGGTCAAATTGAGAGTAGGTTATTATTGTTTATCTTTAATATTACTTGTCCATAGTGTAGTCTTGGCAAAATCTGTGATTATAGAAATATAACAGACCTTTACAATAGAACTATAATAATGTTCGAACTTATAATTTCAATTAATTATAGTCGAATTTCGACTACTGTGGGACCACTAGTAATAGTAATAGTCTACCAAGTTAAACTTTAAGATTCAACCCTAAGCGATATGAAAAAAGCATTACCGTCAATAGTAAATGTGCCTCGAGAAGGATAGGGGAAGAAATATTTGTTGGTCACCCTCCATGAGCGATCGTTAGCCACATCTAAGACTAGTAGTCCAAACCCAGACACGTCGGCGACGTATACGAATGTGTTAGCGCAATCTCCCGGGAACTCAGGTCTTACATCGACCACCTGAAATTATTGCTCATAAAATAGTACTCNAGCATTACCGTCAATAGTAAATGTGCCTCGAGAAGGATAGGGGAAGAAATATTTGTTGGTCACCCTCCATGAGCGATCGTTAGCCACATCTAAGACTAGTAGTCCAAACCCAGACACGTCGGCGACGTATACGAATGTGTTAGCGCAATCTCCCGGGAACTCAGGTCTTACATCGACCACCTGAAATTATTGCTCATAAAATAGTACTCGAACATTTTTAGTTCCTGCAAAAGGTAACCACGCGAAATTAAAAAATTAAAATAGCTTTAAAATGGTTTACAATAACATTGTACACATATACGCTGCAACTAAATCCAAGAAAACAAATGTTCAAGAATTAGAAGTCTTTATATGAAGGTGAAATTCGTATGTTCAAACGACTTGGCAATGTCGAATATTGAATAGACTATGGTAGATAAGTGACGCAATTGTCGCAATTTGGTATGTTTCAAGTAATACTCACGGGTGTAATAAATAAAGAGGGTGAAGTGTAACTTGATATGTTGACGACATGCCTATACACAAGTCGATCTGTGGCCAGGTCAAACGCTAAGACCTGAGGTGGACAATATTGTGTATCTCCAATCTTGCCTGCGTCCATTATCCAGAGACGATTGCATTCATCAATCTGAAATAATAAATAAATCATCAATCTGAATATAAAATAATTTATTTGTTTTAATAATTTATTTAACAAAATATAAAAATAATATTTTGTTGGTTTTGACATAATCATTTTCTTTTTTTTTTTTTATTGCCCTTGTAGGCAGACGAGCATACGGCCCACCTGATGGTGAGTGGTTACCGTCGCCCATGGACTTCAGCAATGCCAGGGGCAGATCCAAGCCGCTGCCTACCTTGCTGTAGACAATTTGAGACGTTTGGTAGAGAAAACAGCGACAAATATAGTTGATCTCGTGATTTTAGTCTAACACTACCCAAAAATCTGAAGAGACGAAAACAGGCGAAAATTTGTGGGTGCAGGGTCAAGTATATATGATAATTAATGCAATAAACCTTTTCAACCAAACTTTCCTTTCAAATCAAAACAAAAGTTCCTGAGTGCCTAGAGATGTGTATAAATCGGCGTTATCATTATGAAAAACAACATTTTCTGTAGCTCAATTCCGCGATCGATGATTCTACGGCAGATTCTAGTGGCAGAAGCTCTTATGAGCTTACGTATTTGGATACTTTTGTGGACCGCACAATAAACAGCTTCAAAAAGATTTTGAGTTTAATCGCTACGAGTTTTACTATAATCGGTGGAGCTTGACCATGATCTTTTGCGCAAGTTCTTGTTGTAGGTAAACCACTTTTCATCACCATCATCTTTCCAAAAACGGTTCAGTTTCATTGTATTTTCGTAGAGAATCGCAAATAAACACCCGATTCATTAAGTTTCTTTGAGTGAGCCCATATAGCTGCCAAAAATCGAGCTTTTTTCGTATATTCAGACATTTTAAATGGGTCAAAGCCGTTTGGTGGCAATTCCACTCCAGCTATGTCATAATTACTAATATGCTGACTTGGCCCTCTGGCTGATTTTTCAAATATTACATCGACTGTTCGTATCAGGTCGACCAGAGTAAAAGTAAACTTTATCTTTGATGTCAAAATTGTTGGACTCAAAACACTTGAACGAAAGTTTTGTTCGCGGCATGTAGCTTTTTTTGTATTGAAAATTTTCGATTTTTTTTTAATTGGTTCGTTTGCTTTACTCGTTTTAGCGGACAGAAATAGAAAATTCGCGGAAAATCGTTTTACTTTACCAGTTTTTTCATTTAATCTATGATGACATAATATTAAAATCAGCTAAATACAAAAATCTCGCCAGACTGATATTATTTTAAACTTTGTAATAGAACACTAAACATAGCAGCTATAAATTGGGTATAATGTAGTCAATCTTTTGTATATGTATTATTGACAATCTAATACATCCCCACGACTCCCTAGAAAAATAAATAATGAAAATTAAAGAATAAAATAGGAACATTGGAATTTTTCACCTCATTTCTCAATGTAGATGATGACATAAACGTACAATCTATTTATGGTTTGTGCTAATTACAGTCAACTTTTGATTGGATAGTCGTTAAATTTAAAAGAGACTATTTGACTTTTTATGGATAGTCGCTAAAAGAGACTATTTGACTTTTTATAAATGTACGTAAAATCATTTTAAACTACTAGCATTGAAGAGTGTCTGGTGAGCCCGGGCCTGCTTGCCTTCACAGATTAATAAAACTGTAGTAATAAAACTGTGTAAAACTGTAAAAAACATGTTGAGAAACACCTACGCCACAAGCAAAATCTTAGTCTGAACTTAAGGTCAGAGTAGTCTTAAAGCCATGAACAATTATTTATTACTATGTAAATTTTGTTAAGAATAACACTATTTCAAAGAAGAGATGCGGAGTATAATAGTATTATTACAATTTATGAAAATAAATCTGAGCGATCGAGTAGCAAGGTCACAATCCTGAATTTCTCGAACCGTTTTATCATTTGTTCGTAGTATCTAATAACATCCTTATCTTAATTTTCTACTGAACTCCCTGTTCCCTCAATTGTGGTCTTGGTTATTAGTTATAGGGTGTGTACCTATTTTTGAAGGTAGCTAGATTTTTATGTGTAATGTAAACATGTGCTGATCTGATTTAAAGAAGATTTAAACTAACTTCACCGCCAAGCAGTTTTAGGGGGAAAACCGGAACAACCAAAATATATAACTAAAAAAATGGTGTCGGTGTACCTCGAGAGTATTTGGAAATGTTTCCACCTCAAAACCCTGAGTTTGTTTAAGAGTTTGGGCTATCTATCAGTCATGGTAATTTTAATGGATAAGTTTTTGTTTTTCAAGAAGTAATAATAGTAGTAGTATGAGCAGTAGTCAAGTAGTAATTGGTACTCACCGCAACTCTAAACACAGAAGTTAGTCCTCCGCAGTTTTGCCCCTGGTTTTCGTGCCAAGAATAATCCGGATAGGCAACGATACGTCCCTCGTCGTCTACAGTTCCAAATGTCACAGGACGTCCTTCGTCAAAACGAGGTATTGTCACAAATATCCGCGATTTTTTACCTGATGTGATAAAAACATGTAAATTAAATACAAAACTTAAGTGTGACTCGCTGTTAAATTTGTATTTCAAAATACTCCTATAATTTGATGGCTAACCTAAAAAATGTGTATTTATTCAGAATAAAACCTATTAAACGTATACATACGTTTTTTTATCCTGTTTAGCCCCGATAAAAACGTAAATAGCCAAAAACGCATTTAGCGAAGTCGTACATTCGTGAATGAACCTTTTGATATTANCAAAACTTAAGTGTGACTCGCTGTTAAATTTGTATTTCAAAATACTCCTATAATTTGATGGCTAACCTAAAAAATGTGTATTTATTCAGAATAAAACCTATTAAACGTATACATACGTTTTTTTATCCTGTTTAGCCCCGATAAAAACGTAAATAGCCAAAAACGCATTTAGCGAAGTCGTACATTCGTGAATGAACCTCTTGATATTAAATGGTTAATATAACAAAATATTTTACAACGAAGTATCAAGTATAAGTGCAACATAGTGTAGTGCAAGAAGTAATGAGCTTAAAATGTATTGAGCCATCGAGTAGAAATAACCATCATACTCTTAATTTTCATCTGTTTGCATAGATTACGTAATCGTATTCTTTATACCCTTATAATATGTAATATAAAACCTCATGTAGTACTTATACAAGCAGAATAGAATACTTATAAAAGCAGACACTGTTTAAACTATTCGATTTAATTTGAACTCAAACAAGAAAGAACCTTTGCGATATAGGAAAGATGCAATTTATAATTTTATTCAGATAAATAAACATAATACGTTGAAGCCTAATCGTTTGAATTATTATCGTTTGTTTTTTATTAAATGACAAAAGCTGGTATTATATTTATATTTTGATTGATTAACTGCTGGGCCGGGAGTCGTGGGTTCGATTTGCACATCGGACAACATTTTTGGGACGGACAGGTTTGTATGCTCTTTGTCTGGATTTTTAACATCTATATACGTTTATATTTAAATGTATAAACATAAGTATGCATATATCTGGTTGCCATAGTACAGGGACTACTATATAGTTTGGTACAAGGTGACCGTATGTGACTTGTCCCCGGTTATTATTATATCTTCATTGTTTGTTATTTCAGTTTTGATTTAAATTGGCCAACAAGCTTAAGGCCTGGTATGAAATGGTTGCAGGCGCACATACTCGTAGACACGTGTTAGGTATGTATAATATTTAAACATGAAAATAATCTGTGCGTCAGCATTACATATGACATTACTCAAAACGGAGTAAGTACTCAATGCGGCATTCTGTCCGTCAGGTCGTATATGAATGATAGATTTGGTATTTATATTACCCATAGTACAGGAAATGCTAGTATGGCGACAGATGACCGAAAATAGATATATAACGTTATAATATTAAAAGTAGAACATTTATATTGAATCACTAATAATATCGTTTAAAATTAGCAACACAGATAAATTTGGCTGGCCAATCCACACGTTACCTTGGTTTGTTGATGTTTTTTTAATAGTTCATAATATTAAATTAGCACGTTTATTTTAATTAAAAGAATAAATTTATCTACGATTCCTAGTTCCTTGTCCAGATAAAAAAATATAACGTCGTAAAATGATAATGTTTCTATTGAAATCGAAAATGTCGTATATTCGTAGAAATAACAGACGTAAAATCCAAAACATGGCAATGCATGCTAATGACCACAACATAATGCAACTAATCTGACTTGTCAAGTGAAGCAAAACAAAACTGCACATGTGTATGTCTATAGTTGTATATATGTAGATCTATCTGGAGCTAAAATGTGCTGTAAGATTTTAATTGTAAGATAAATCATTTTATTTTCGATCGTAATTTGAAATGGCCATTACGGGATGGGTCGGCTCATTTATGACGCATTGCATTCAAATTTTCAGAGAAGGGCACCCGTTGAACCAATGCAATTTTTTGATTTCAATATCATGGTCTTGACTGCTTATAACCAAGTGAGTTTTACGCTGGTCGGCCCATATTAGATAATAAAAGAACAGCTGCGATCACCGTGGTAATAGACCTTAAGATATTTAAAAGACTTAGTGATTAGAATGGCGGTAGGTATATGCCACAACTGGGTAAGTGCAGGCTTACTAACCGTATTCTCTACCGTTATTCTCTTGTATTTATTTATATACGTTACAGTTATATAAGTTAAAGATATTAACATTCAGTCAATTATTGTATTTTCTCCTCATTATATTTTCTTCGCGGCTGTCATAGCAACGGTGGTGGAGTTAACCCATGCAGACTTACAGTATGCCCTAACGGATATTGTGTATTATGGAATTAATAGATCCTGTTTTGATAATTCCGAATTATGTGTTTTAATTAAAATCGTTGAAACGTAGTTTACGGATTTGCTGAATTATAAATATAAAGGCTTCGTCAAACAGAACGCGTACTTAACGCGCGTCAGAACGCTAAACTGACGGCGCGCTATGACGCCGAGATGTGTTGTACTATGGTAATAAACTGTAAAACAGTGCCAGCGCTATAAGTACGCAACGCTCTGTCGCGGCATTAGAACGCTTTGACGTCAGCCGTTGTAATTTTTTACAAATTTTATTTTAGCGTTTGAGTGAATCTGCATTAAAATACTGGATAATGCCCGAAAAGTTGATAGAATTATTTAGAAAATATCCATGCTTATACAATGCCATATCTGAATCACTCGACATCTGAATACTTTTAAATTTTACGACTGCTATATGCGGCGGATGTTACGTTGGTCAAGGAGCGTTAGGCTCATCTAGTCATTTTGTGTGACTTGAAAAGAGCGCGACGTTAAAACGCAGCGCTAAGTACGCGTTCCGTTTGACAAAGCCTTAAGTCAACGCAAAACATTTACGTACCAGTCAAACCGGATTACTATTCTAAAGACGTACCTAAACAATTTGAAAATCATATTATATAGCATTCTTCTTATTTTTCGATATCGTAATAAAAAATATATCATAGGATATTATGTAGGCTTTGACCATAATAAATACCACTATGGTCTCAATATTACCTTATAAGGTTAAGGTTTAAATTTATACATTTAAAAAAAAATATGTTGTGCGAAACGTTAAATCCTAACTAGTTTAATAAGACTATTTGACTATTAAAGCGATAGAATTAAAGAAAATCAACTGACCTGATCTATGTTGCACGTCGACATCAATCGGCACCGAGGACCCTGGTACGTAAAATCGTTTCTCTAATGCATATGACCGGGCTTCTTCGTTCGGAAACACGAACTCCAGTTCCGCCCATTGCCTCACCACGCGAAGATTATTCTTCGCTCCGAGACCGGGCCAACAGCACGCCAAACAATATGACAATAGAAAAAATCGCTCGATTCCGTACGACATTTCCAGTTTAAAAGCATCCAACAGCTGAGGATCTGTGGATTTGAATAAAAATTGAAAAGGATGCATTTTGCTTAAAAATCACAAAATTAAATGACTATTATAACACGTCTGCACAGCACTTGATTTATTCTAAAATGCAAGTAGGTACGAAATCTTAAAACATATTTTTTAAATTGACATAAGGATAATTTAAACACAGAGCTCTTCATATAGTTTTTTGTTATTCTGAATGAATCAAAATTTAATGAGGTAATCAAATCAAATTTATTTAACATAATCAATGAATAAAATATTTCTTCCAAAACAATACAATTACCATATTGACGGAAGAGTGCATTACAAGCACCGTATCTTTGCAGTATTGGAACCATGACTGTTTCTCGGTGTCTTCGTTATTAGAAGAAGATATTTCACAAATTCATTAACAAATTTCGTTTCTCTCAATTCGCATAGACTTATGTATTCTTTAAATTATCGTTCATAGAAACTTTATTTACACAGCCGCGGTTGTTTTGAGCAGTACTTAGAAAATATTAAAATCGGTCTTGCATAAGGCAATAATAAAAAATGATTAATTAATTTGTAATTCAGTAATAAATTTTATTATAAAATACCTTCTGAAAGATTTATATGTTTGGTAAACTATTTAGGTATTCTAACAGAATATCTAAAGCAATTTATGTTGTTATATTGCGTGCTGTTCTTACTGATGAATAGTTTAGACTAATTGGCATCACATTGTGTTTTCCATATGGTAAACTGTGTGTATCAGATAACGGTTATCTAAACTATTTTACTAAACAGGTTTTTCTAAAAAATACTGAACAACCGCTTAACATAATTCAAAATGTAACGCTAGTTTGTGCTAGGTTCATTTTGGCAACCCGTGTACGTAAAAAAATATATTGGGCTATCATGTGTATCCTAAGACATATTATATTAATTTCAATTACAATTCGCTCTTTATCGTGCAGTATTGTAATATAATTATAGTTCTTTTCACATCTAATGATTAGCTTAATTCAATAACGTGATTGCACAAGAATTTGTAATCGTGTACATACACTTGTACTATACTTGTACTTATACTGTAAAAATTAACAACTCAAGTCGAAACTTCAAATGCGTTCATTGACCGGTTTTTTTAGAGCTCCGTATATCAACGACAAACCTTTATCAATTTACTCAGTCTATCTGTTCCTGGAGATAATATAGTGCCTATTAGTGTTATACTGATTGTTGGACAATAAACTGCCCAAAAGTCCCAAAAAGAAAGACCGACACCATTTGTGGGAAATTTTTAAAGGTTTTTGATGTACGTGAACCGCTTTGCAAAGGTTTCATAAAATTATGAATGAATATTTATTTTTCTTGAAAATATTTAGGTTAGAACCCGATTGCAGCGCTACCCATCAGGTCCAATTGTAAATCTATACCACCAAGAGGCCCTCTTAACCAAACAAAAAAAAAAATCAAATACAGAACCCTTAACCGTAGTTAATTCGACACTTGCCCAATTTGTTAGGTTTGAAGATTGAACGAACTTTGCTTGACACTTTTTTAAATATTAGATCTGTCAATAATATAAAACGTACCTACATAAGTTTTGCGGTTTTTGAGATTTATATAATAGTTTCATTGTATGTTCAAGTTCACAGTAATATCGTAGTTAATATATTATTAACAAGTAACAAATAAATCACATCGACGCTTCAAGTCAGTCTTTGAAAATGGTATTTTCATAAAATACTTTACGTTAGTTAATTTTGTAGTGTTTATTTAATATTCAGTTTTAAACAAAATAAAACGTATTTATTCACTTCACGGTATCTTTTGTAAGTAGATTAATAATTTAAAACGCATCTCTACATCTAACAAAAACTCACATTTATTATTATGACTAAATTAAATAACTTTGTAAATTCGATTCAAACGATCGTCTGTTTATAAATCTGAATCCCTTTTAAAAACAAAACTGTATTGTTTTAAATATAAGGAAAATTTGTTTCCTTATCTTCTATATTGCGTTGTAAAGATAATCTGAGTCGTCTATTATCAAAGGTGGCAATCTGTGCATTTGGACAAAAAAATGTTATTGATATGTCAATACAGATTGATTTGAATATAATCGTCTCCTTCAAAGAATACGGTTCAAAACCTGCATTAAATAAAGGTTAATACTTAACCTGTTATTTATCTAAGATGTCGTTCAGAAGAGTTTTGTGACTGCCAATGGAATACAAAGTCAATAATTCATTTTTCTGATTAACCAACAATTGTCCAAAAGTCACATTGCGAACTTTGATAATAGTCGACTCATCTGTTCTGAAGTAAGTTCTGAACCCGATAATCACGAACATTAAATTTGAAGAATACGAAAAGAATTAGAAGTAATTAAACACAACTTTCTGCTGCTTAACTTCCCAAATTAAATTTTAATGAGTGGCCCGCTAAATGTGTCTTAATTTTATTAATAAAACAAATGAAGTTTTTTTTGTTTTCATTATGAATAAATAAATACAGAAAACATTTAGAGGATATCTCTTGCTGTATCTACAGCTTTGATCAACAATAGTAACTGTTGATCGAAGATCTACAGCGACGTACGACGAAACCATGACTATAAATATTTATACCATTCAATTTACGGTAAATTTCATTATAATTAGACGACACACATACCTGGATATCCAAACTGCCGCACCTTACCGTTCCTATAACGGATCGCATTACTTTCTGCCCATTTACTACAAATATTTGTTTTAAATTCCATTTTGTTAGCCGATAATTTAGGCCAATAGACTGTGCGAGTTCGTTTCACAAAAATTATACGCATTTTAATGAGATGGCGCCCAGAGAGCCAAGGTTCGATCTCTGCGAATTCTTACGCCATTTCTAAACGCAACACTTCAAGCAATCCTCACAGAGTACAAATTGCTGAATCGCCATTGAAGAGATGTACGCGACGTGATGAATTGTTTTACCTGGTCATATAACATGCACGTGCATTGTAAATTTACCAGCTTTTGTGGTTTATATATTTGTACTATTTAGGTACGAATGTATATAATATACACGATAACAAATTCGTCAAATCGAATACTGTTACGTAATATACAAATTATTATATAAAAATGTTAGAGAATATAATATACATAAGTACAGTAAGTTGCCTTACCATTTGAAGCTTTTTTTTCAAATCCACCGAAGAATTATAAAAGTAAATATTTGAAAGTAATTGTAGCATAATTTTTTTATACTACTTATAAGGTTGTGGTTGTTTTTAAATTGACTGGTGTAGTTTGAAGTATTGTGAGGCTGTACTATTTGGTACAGTCATCTTGTCAATTTATGTTAGTAAAAAATCATATTTTCTCGAAGATAGGATATACTTCGATCTAATATTACATGGCCAGTGTCGGGATTCATGTTGCGTTATCTTTGAAGTCAGCAATCGCTAACTCTCTTTTTTTTTCTACCTATTCTAGTAACCTCGAAGGCTTATTCTAGATTCGCCGAGCTAGTAGGTGAGCTCACGGGGATCAAACCTGACGACATTGTTAACACTAACCCTATTAACTATCTAAGATTCGACACCGCTTATTAACAGTCAGAATTAAATAAAAATTCTGAAGTACTGAGGATTCATCGCTTGATAGACCGAATCTTCATCACAATAAAACAATTCTTCTGCCTATGTGAAGGTTTAAAATCATAGAACATTCGTGCAGCGTAGTGAATACAAGGAAAATGGCGTTTAGAGCGTGGAAAACGAAAACTTACACCTGCCTTTTTTAAAACGTTCCTTCTTTGTTCAAAAATGTTGCGCACATATGGCTCAAAATTATGTCGACCTCAATTTGTTAAGTATCCGTTAATAATATGGACCAAAAATCGCTACTTTGAGATTGCATGTTAAGGAAAAGGAGATCTAGAATATACCCTACTCGACATTTCAATACAATTGACACATTACAACTAGGTATTCATTGTTTCATTCGCTTGAGTAACTACAGGAAATATTTAGAATTACTCAGTCTTAGTATAATGCTTTGAATACGCTTTGTTTACCCACCGATAATTGCACTTGTTATTTACAATTGCAAAAGTAATTCGTCATCTAATTGTCATCCGTAGTTTTTTGCTAATTTCTTATTGAAGCTCTATAATTATAATAATCGAGAAGTAATGTAAGTCTCAATAAACACTAATCGCAAAAACGAGCTCGTCCGAGCATAGCTGGAATAGCCCTAGCGATAATATAGCGAAAGAAAAAAAACGAAGACAAGTAGGTAAGCTTTCAGCATCATTTAGAATCATAATCGATACATGATCGATTTTATTCTTAATGTTTCTTAATAATGAATTCAGCTGACGTGTGTAGTCCACATCTCTAGTTGCGGGAAGAAGCGACATCCACCGGCTGTCTTTACTTTAGTTAAAGTTCATGAAATGTAATGTGACAATTTTAGGCTTACTCTTATTATTTTTCCTGTAGAGTTTTTTTTTTTTTTAATAAATAAAATCGTCAGATGGAACGCTCATGTACACTCGTGGCTCGGGCTATCCTCAAAGAAAGTTGAGATATGTCTGAGATAGAATCTGGCTACTGTTTGTTTCATCTTCGGGAATTGGTTCCAAGCGACTTGCATAACTTTCGAATGTCAAATTGATATTAAAAATAACTCACAACGTTAAAATTTAGATTTCAAATTAATCCAATTTTTCTAATGGAATTATAATTGATTCTGACGTATTTCTAATGATGTCTATGAGACAATTTTATTGCAATAAAAAATGTAGAGGAATTATTATTTAGATAAAATTTCTTAAATTGTTTTATCAACAACGTACTGCTCAAGATGAAGGCTCCAAGAAAATATATAAAATAAATGCCAAGCTGTGATGTTCTTTAAAGTAAATCCGAACTTATGAATTTGGAAGTGAAAGGAAATTGAAGAAAAAGTGTGGAACACTCGTTTGATATGGTGTTTGAATACGCAAATTATTTTCAGTATTCTGCATTTTTTGTGCGGACAGCTTTCTAAATGAATTCGTCAGAGAAAAATCCGTCGATAAGAAATGATGGTTTCCATTGACTGAACTCAAACCTCAGTGAGCGTTTAACCTAAATGAGATAGAAAAGGGAAACCAACCATGATTCCGTAGCGGTAAAAACATAAAAGTAGTTAGCTAAATTTACTTTGTGTGTTACAGATTAACTATACGAAATCATACACCGTAACTCGTAACATTAACCATCCTTAAATATAATTGTGTCTTCGATTGAATTTAGCATAAAGAAATCCGATACCTACATCCTAAATAAAATAAAAAAATGTAATGCTTATTAAAATTTACCAAATTCGTTTGTATAGTTGCGAAATACCAGTAATAAATAGAAATCGATATAATAAAAATAGGTATGTTATAATTTCTTAAATATTAACTGACACAAAGTATTATAATATGTATATCCAAAAAATGCTATGTTCGAACAGATAGCTAGGTTTTTTTTTAAGGATGGCGTAGGTATATGAATGCAAAACACGCTTAATAACTGTTCATTATTTAATTAATTCTGTGTAGTGCCAATTATTTGAAAGCTATCAAAGTATTCGGTTCGAAACTTAATTTCCAATTCGATGCATTTCAATTATGTATTTTTAATTACTATTTTCCTAATTACATCATGCTTTTTGACGTATAATGACTGAAAATATGGACTTGGAAATAAACCCACAGGCATAAGCGAAAGTAAAAAAAATATTGAGTTACTACTTACTATATTATTTGTTTCGGCGTCAATACCAGAATCAGAACATTAAAGTGAAATTTTTGTGCAGCTTACTTCTTACTTTTTATTAATTGCGCCTGTCCATCAAAGTCACCAAAATTTTCAAAAACATCCTTAACTTCAATATTATTAATTTAATATTATTATATACACGAACATGCTGTGGAATAAACATAACTTATCCAAGAATATCTTACTATATATAATTTAGCATTCGTAAATGTTTGTAAGATAATATTATTGTATCACCTGCTACAGGTTTACGAAAGTCTTACGACAATTTAACATTTCACCTATGAATAAATAATACTGTTTATTCGTAGCATTTTGATTTTTATAGGTATTTCCCAATGCATTTAACATGCAATGCAAAGTTAAGCTACCTTACAAATTATCTCATTTGAAAATTAATAAAATAGATTAGATCATAAAATATTAGGCCATAGGGTATTTATTATGCGATAAAATTCTGTCAGGATTAGTCAATATTAGCAGTGATGGTATGTTACCGTAACCATCAATAGCAACCTTGCTACTACTTTTACCAGTAGTGTTATAATAACCGTATTTTCATATCCGTCACTTGAGAAGGAACTATCTTAAATAATGGGGGTCCGGCGTATTGCGAGTCCGTACAAGATAGCAGCAGCACTGTCATTTCTACCGCAAATCAATCATGCAGTCCAGCGTGAAACAACTTGTGGTAGGACCTCTTGTGAGTCCGCACGAGTAGGTACCACAAACCTGCCAATTTCTAAAGCTACTGCTACAGAAATACGCAGGTTTGCAGGTTTGCATGTTTGGTGGCGTTTCGGTCTGAAGGTTGGGGCAGGTGTTGTAACTATACTAAGACCTTAGAACTTACATCTTAAATTAGGTGGCGGCGTTTACGTTGTAGATGTATATGGGCTCCGGTAACCGCTTAACACCAAGTGGGAGACATCTACAACGTAAATGCGCCACCCATCTTGAGATATAAGCTCTAAGATCGTACATTAGTTGCAGTACATAATTTTCCTACACAATACCTCATGCTCATTAGACATCTTCTACCTCATCACATAATTCATGTAGTATTTAGAGTGACTATACAATCATTTTTAGGTTATTACATTTTTTCAAACACTCATTATGTAGGTTAATTTTAGCTTTTACGTCAAGTAGATCCGTGTGACTTGTTTGAGTAATTTAAGAATATATTTTATATTTTCACAACTAAAATGAAGACACATTTAACATTTTAAGAAATAATATCGAAAGGTTTGTTAATTAATTAATTAAATTTCCGAGAAGACAATATTCAAAGTTTTCCTTCAAGAATTAAAACTATGGTTTTGTCTCATATTTACGTATGAGACAAAACCATATTTATGAAACGCTACCTATCCAATACTGTAGTGAAATTACGAAATAATATATTAGTGGTACTACTACGTGTAGATGAGAGATGGAAAAAACTTAAGTTCACAAAATCAGTTCGATGTCGCTAAAAACTATAATGCGATATAGAGTTAAATATAGACATGTATATGATACATGAGATATGTATATTGGATGCGTTGGACGCATTTAAACCGATCTACTGATTCGGTTTTCGGGAGTCCGAAATATAATGACAATTACCACTATAAAGGTTTCATTTCGTTTATTGTTTTTACGAATTTCATTTGTGACTATGAGCACTATTTATTATTCGAAATTGTACCAAATCAAAGTACCAAACGCAAGTTTTAATCACAAAAAAGTACTGTTAAATGTGACCTGATTTTGCTATTTAGTTACGGAACGCACAAAGCAGCAAACAAGTGAATATACTACTGAACAATTTGACGTTAATATGTGATTAAATCTGCATAATAACATAGTTTTCACGACAAGGCCAGTTAGTAACTATACACCGTTAGCATCAGTAATTATGTCTGGTCTAAGTGATATTTTTTTACGCTAAGTAGCTGGCTACCTACAGATTAAGATAATATATTATTACAAGAGATTTTCAACTATAAGAAAATTATTATGTAAAAAGCATTTGCGTATATATTAAAAGGTTGAAGCAAAATAAGATGAATTGGAAACGTGTATAATCTCTGTCTCTTCTTATGTGTATCGTTAATACCATTGGCACAGACATAGTGCTACCTAGTGAGGTGGACTCTCCGAATACCTCATTTAAAAAAAATTAAGGGAATGGGAATGGAAAGGAAATACCGTAAAGAGGAGTTCATTTCAGACCTGTACGTGGCACAAAATGTCTCTCACGTACTATTAATGAAAGTAGCGGTTCCAGATAGCATGGATGAACTGTGCTGCGGTAGTGGAAGGTGTAACGGTAAAAAAAAGATAAAGGGGTCTCCACCAATTCTTCAGAACACTCCGCATAGAACATACGGTACAAACCGTTGAAGTCGTCGTGGCCTAAAGGATAAGACGTCCGGCGCATTCGTATCGAGCGATGCAACGGTGTTCGAATCCCGCAGGCGGGTACCAATTTTTCTAATGAAATAGGTACTTAACAAGTGTTCACGATTGACTTCCACGGTGAAGGAATAACATCTTGTAATAAAAATCTAACCCGCAAAATTATAATTTGCGTAATTACTGGTGGTAGGACCTCTTGTGAGTCCGGACGGGTAGGTACCACCACCCAGCCTATTTCTGCCGTGAAGCAGTAATTCGTTTCGGTTTGAAGGGTGGGGCAGCCATTGTAACTATACTAAGGCCTTATAGAACTTATATCTCAAGGTGGGTGGCGCATTTACGTTGTAGATATCTATGGGTTCCAGTAACCACTTAACACCAGGTGGGCTGTGAGTTCGTATACCCATCTAAGCAATAAAAGAAACAAAAAAACCACAGAGAGAACCTAAGTCTTTTCCTAGACCTAGAGGTTCCGAACGATCCGTAAGAATGGGATTATCGACGATCCGGACGGTCCTCTTCTGTATGGATTTTAATTGCAGTACTCCACGCCCGGGTCGAATTGTGCCTTGTGAAGCACAAGTATTTGCTCTAACTTTAATAATACACTGTAAACTACTATACCAATACAACTAATTATAAAATGTTAAGTGTAATTGACCGTCTCCTTTCTTGAAAAATTAATGCCCCTGTTGTGCCATCGGGTACAAATTAAATTTTTCGTCAGAGCTAATATATTTTTGAGGTAATCGGGGTATGTTTTTGTTTCGTATGTATTTATAGCAGTCTTAGCACAGGGGAAAATAATTCGTTGAATGTGTTACCGTTATTTTTTTTGTTAAAATTTCGATAAGTGAAAGATATTAAAACAATTAACCAACTCTACATTTATTCTGAAAGTTTATATTTAATTTATACAAAAAATTTAATTTTCATTCTTAATCATAGAAAAATAGCTAATCGCATTTTAATGAAATTTCTAACAAAGATAATTTGTAACCTGAATTAATACTTTTCTCAAGTTAAATGATTTATCCCGGTAAAACCAGGTATATTTGTTATATAATAATAAATACAAGAACCTGTTCACTGATTTACACATTTAAAAATCGACCGGTCAATGGACCAGAGAGTGACACAAACAATTCTTTATCCCGGGAAAGCGCAACACGTTTCACTCATCATTCTTTATTATAAATTTAACACGATTAAAATCACAGTGCCAGTCTAGGTTATTTTGAAAATAAAACATGAGCTGTAATAATGCAACCTAAATCAGGTTTCGCGTAAAAACCGATATTAGCCTAATGTATTTTAATATATTACCGATATTAGCCTAGCCTAATTGATCAACTATTTTAGTTATTGTTTGAAATGGGTACATATACACAAAAATACGATTAAAGCGTATCTGGATTTTTTAAGCATTATAAATAATTAATTACGAATTAATTAACTATGGATATGTACTTCAAAGTTCATATTGCATAAACTGTGATTTGGACGGTTATAATTTCTTTTTTTATATTTAAAATAATATCTGACGCATTAACCTGTTTTTGTTTGTTTGTTGTTTTAAAATGTTGTTTCTAAATTTACATGTAAATTTCAATACATTTTTCTTTTTAAAAACTAAATCTACGGTAATATGCTTAAAATATTACTCACATACCTTATTTAATTGTTAATTTCCAGTTCCTCAACGAAGCGCAGAAAGTGAAGTAAAACTATTTATTGAATTTATATGTACTTAATATAAATATATTAATAATTGAGACGGGTGTCCTAATCGCGAGACGAGCCAGCACTGTTGCGAAACCGTACAAATGCTACAGATTGATAACTATTGTTTTTATTTCAACCGTGTAGGACCGGTTGATACATCTTCCCTTATAGTGGCATCACAATATGTGACGCACGTGAAGCTCACACGTGCTATAAGCGCAGTCTACTGCGGACCTTCTAAAATGTTTTTTACTTAAAAATATATGATCCAAATTTGAATCGTTAAAAGCTACTTTACCATAAAATAAACGAGTTTCAATGATTCATTTAAATGTAATTCTATAATTATTTTTGTTAATTAGCAATTATTGGGAAATTCGTGTTTTAAGAATCTTAGAACTTAAAAAAGCCACCAACGGAAAATAAATTACATTAAAGAAATAATTTTGGTTATTGTGTTCTGTTTCACTATTTTGACCAAGCAATTTGTACTGTATGAAATATAAATAGACTAGAGTCAAAATAAAAAATAATCATTGAAATGAATAATGAAACAAATAGCTTGAATCAAGAATTAGTATATTAAAACGTATTCAGACATCAATATTAGCAGCGGGATACTATATTTTTTTTTTTATTATTAGAAAAATTGACAGTAGATAAATTATTAATGGACATTTATAGTACNGAAATAATTTTGGTTATTGTGTTCTGTTTCACTATTTTAATCAAGCAATTTGTACTGTATGAAATATAAATAGACTAGAGTCAAAATAAAAAATAATCATTGAAATGAATAATGAAACAAATAGCTTGAATCAAGAATTAGTATATTAAAACGTATTCAGACATCAATATTAGCAGCGGGATACTATATTTTTTTTTTTTATTATTAGAAAAATTGACAATAGATAAATTATTAATTGACATTTATAGTACATATTTCTAATCTGGAAAATTTTGAAGTTTTCCATCATATTACGTTAAAATTTGTGATTTTTAATTAATTCTTATGCAGACACAATACGTACAACGATATATTATGTACACATATTTCAAACCCTACACACGTACATCATTTGGTTCTGGACATAATCAACAAAAGCCGGATGGATGACCACGTAACCACCACACGCTTGAACAAATTGCAAACAAAAAAACGAAATGAAAACTGGTTTTAATTTTTATTATGACTCTAGTCCATTTATATGTCATTCAGTACAAATTGCTAGGCAAAATAGAGAAACAGATATAAAGCTTACATAAAAATATTTTGTCTGGTGAATTTTTGATCTAAACAAGTTATTAAATTACAAGTAGGTACTGTAACGTTTTAAAATTCGCCTAAAGATAAATGTTATATCCTTACTTTTGAGAGTATTATTAATATTTTAATTATTGCTGAATTGAGAAAGACTTTATTTAGTGATGCGAGTTTCGAATTTGCATAATACTATTTTCAAAATTATTGCTGTCCAGGTTACATTGTTATTAGAGTGAATAAGAATCTCCTCCTACCTACAGTTTTTTTTTCTCCTGATAAATAACTAAATATTTTATTCACATGCGGGTGCTTTAAACTAGTCGGGTCACAGATTATTTACGCTTAATTTCAAAGCGTAAGTCCTCCGGGCTTATCAAGTATGGTTGTCATGCGAGTATTCCATGTTTCGGATCTTAGTTTTTTTTTTTTTTAATCCTATTCCAATTCCTTCCGAGTTTGTTACCAATGCTGTCACAAAAAGTTTCCCGAATATTTATGGAGAAATTTAACTTTTACTGTCTAGCGGTTATTAAAATATAGCTGTGAATTCTAACGTATCTCTCAAGATGAACGTTTACGTTATAGCGTCCTGTGTGTTCCAGTATTAATTCCGGGAAGCTCACTTCGATAAAGCGGCACGACACGAGAACCCCCTCATCGTGGCCGCCGGTAACTACATTCCCGATCCTGCGGAAAGAATGGAAAGCAGTCGACGTCGCCCCAAACACGTCATCTCGGATCCTCCCGATCCACTAACGGTGCTTTTAGGTACCTTGTCGAACCCGTCGCTTGTGACGAAGGGCTCGGCGAGTAAATTAACCCACAGACACAGCCCACTGAGTTTCTCGCCCGATCTTCTCAGTGTGTCGCGTTTCCGATCCGGTGGTAGATTCTGCGAAGCACGGCTCCTGCTAGGGTTCGTGTTAGCAACGTCATCAGGTTTGAGCCCCGTGAGCTCACCGACTAGTTAAGACTCCGCTGATATAGCCTCTCAAAGCTATCAGCTTAGGTAGGAAAAAAAAATACCGGGAAGCTACGAACTCCTCTACCTGCCTCTGTAACAGAATCAAGGAAGAAAATAGTTAATATAACAGTAACAAGTAAAAGTGATCGGTTATTTTCATTCAGACGTTACATTTTCATACGGCATATTTTAAGTTTGCTAAACTGAATAAAATTGCACCGTTATCTTGTTCATAAATTTCAATAATTCTATTGAAACATTGCCAACAAAACAATTTAAGACAACAACAATAAAACATTTCACAACACAACAACAAAATTTCAGACAGCAAAATAATTAAAAAATATATCAAATCGATTTAGTCTTTCTCAAATAATTCGCTTACAAAAGAACGTCATTTTGAAAGAAAATCTAATGCTTCTATTTCGGTTCAAAACTCTGTTCATAATGCGTTTTGAAAATAGGCATGCGAACATCACGCGATTCTTTTCTATTTTACCAGCAGCAAGACCGTCAATATTTTCTGTCTGGTACATAGTACTTACAGGCTACAAAGTTTCTAGACAAAGTGATTGATATGATAACACCAATCAATGTGCGTCGTATTAGGTATATCATGGTTTCATAAGTATCATGTTTTTTTCTTTGTCACAATTCGTTGTGGTCATCTATGATAACAGCTACGATACTAATTTTGCCATGCCGTCATTCTCTGTATTTGTCCCAACATGTTTAAAAAATAAAAATAAAAAACTATTACCAAATTTTAGCGATATTATTTTTTGTACTGACCACATTGCAACTTGTTTTGTTTCTCATTCGGCGTTTTCGAACTTTGACCTTATAATAACAACGTCATTCCATTGTATTGTGTTATTTTTTACTTTTTTGGATCCTACTTTTTAGTTGTAAAACATGTGCTTACATTGCGTCCAATAAGATTAAATTCTTCGTTTAATTATGCATATTGTTTTATATGTAATTGGCGTATCTAAAAATATGAATACATTATTTCTAAAAATGACAATGACGTCGCCATTAATACTATTTTAAAGATGAGTAAAAAATCGCACCTCGGACTTGATGGCGATGACGTCATCAACCATTAGGCACATATTAATAAAATAAACACCCGCAACATAAGATCGAGAAGACTTAAATTATATCTTAAAGGATCTATAATTATTTTGTTTTAAATGTTAGATAAAATCGTATTTATAAACACATTCCTATTATTCCTTGTATATATTAAAATTAAAACTGACTCAAACAATTCTATCATTAACTCTTGACCTTTAGGACAGCACTAAAGTTTATCATTTGTGTAATTATTGTGGAAAATTCTTTAACTATACAATCCACTTTTATGACAAACTCATCGTGGTAATACACATTGCTAGTCATGTCAGTCACGATTCTAAGCAATTAGTTCCAGCCACATATTTGTATGTTTTAAATTTATTTCTCCAACATACAAAGAGCCGTCATACAAAGCATAATTACGTTAGTTCGTAGTTCTTTGCCAATTTGTCTGTATGTACGTAAAAATGTGAAATCTGTATTTACTTTTCCTAGTAAAGTATATGCATACTTTGTTTCTGGAACTCAAAAAAAACCCTCTATAGACAGAAGTACCCAGGAGTGTAATGTACCTTTTATGGTAATGACTGTTTACTGATAACACACTACGATAACCTCAATAACGTATCGTGTTAAATTCAACTTTATTTACCGTTGTGATATTTTTTTACTAGATATCGATTGAATGAAAAAAATATAAAGAAATAATGGTTTTCTAATTTAGCAGGATTTAAATATTATCTGGAGATTTTATTACAACGAGCTATGCCTTCGACTTAATACGCGCAGCGCTTTATTCTAAGTTTTTTTTTTTTTAATGATTGAAGTATTACTGGTGGCCCGGAGGCCTTTCCAGTTTCACCAGGACAGGTGGGCGAGCAAAGGCTCAGCCAGGAGGGGTGGGATTTGCTAACAGCTACCCGAGCGCCTCCGAAGGAGACCTAACAGCTCAAGAGCAGCTGCTTCGCGAATGAATCTACTACCAGATGGCAATCGCGACCCACTGGGAAGATCCGGCGAGAAACTCGGCAGGCTGATGCATGGGTTAGGTTGCACGTCGACCTCTTTGTCGAGCTCGACGAGTACGGTTACCGGGGTCCCTAAGCCTGCTCCTAGTATTAGAGCTGAAGGCGTCTAATGCAAAGGTTATTTATTGGATCTGATGGATCCGTAAGGACATGTCTAGGGCGTCGACGGTGACTGGCTCCTGCATGATCAGGATTCGGGGAGTAGTCAGCGGCGGCAACGATAAGGCGATTATCATGGCGCATAGCCTTATCGAAGTACCGTTCCGACGCTGACTTCATGTATTTTCGGATTGATTCGAGGCCCAGGTCGTCGTGTAGGTCAACGTTCCTCACGAACCACGGAGCAGGTGTTCGGGCCGCGTGAGCGAACACCACACTCGCGTAAGTCATGACGGGCCCTATGCAAGTTTTGTAAAGTGTCACCTTGTTTCGAAGGGACATTTTACTCCGTTTACAGATCATGGGATAGAGTCTGCCGAGAATAAATGCGGCACGGCCGCGGACTGTTTTTATATGCGGGCGGAATGTCATGGATGCATCCAAGGTAACTCCCAGGTACTTGACCTTCCTGGCCCAGGGTATAGGTTGGCCGAAGAGGGTGATCGGGGGTGTTATATTTCTCCTCCTAATGCGTGAGGAAATAAGCGGTGATTTTCCCCTTTGAAATAACACTGCGGTGCTTTTCGCTGGGTTGATGTCTATGCGCCATTTTCGGAACCACTGTCCTAGGGCTACGGCTGCGCTCTGAAGCTTCTTCGCAATAAGACACTTATTTCTACTCGAATATTAAACAGTCGTGTCGTCGGCGAATAAAGCTAACTGGCTCGACGGCGACCGGGGAATATCGTTGACGAATAAGCTAAATAGGAGGGGCGAGAGGATAGAGCCTTGCGGGACTCCAGCCGTGAGAGGTTGCGGGGAAGAGCGGGTTCCCTCGACTCGATATCGAAAAGAGTGGTTCAACAAGAAGTCCCGTATGATGCACGAGACTGTCTGGCACGCCCATGTTGAATAGTTTGAAAATCAAGCCGTTGTGCCAGACTTTATCGAACGCTTTTGCGACGTCGAAGAAGAGGGCTCCCGTGTAGATTGGTTTTGGTCGGTTAAGCCCTACGAGAATGTGCTCCGTCAGGCGGTGCACCTGTTGTACGCATGAGTGATTTGCACGGAATCCGAATTATTCGGCGATGAGAATGCCCTTGGATGAGACGAAGTCTCTGAGACGTTTGTAGAGCACACGCTCATACAGTTTGCCTAGAGACACGAGGAGACTAATCGGGCGGGAGTTCAGTCTCATGCGAGGTTCGGACGTTGATTGTTGAGCGACAGGAGGTTTTAGTCGGTTCAACTCCGACATGCCTCGCCAGCCATCCCCAGTAGAGGACGGGAATCCGGCGATTTCCTCCAGACAAAAAAAAAACGCCATGGGGCGGAAGCTCTCATATAACAAGATATTTGACAGATGCCTGAATCTCGATTACGACATTTACAAGATAAGCTTGTATATTATATACAAGTTCCGAACAACAACATTCGGGCGTCATTTTACCGTGCAATATCACCGTCGGGATCATCAATCAGGGGAAAACGATGAAGGGAAGATCTTACACTGCGCAGGTTTATATGATAACGACCGCCACAGGCACACATCTACTCTTCTAAGCGGAATAGGGATAAGAGGATCACTCGATACAATTATACCCATAAGCGCCCCGTAAACAAAAAAAATACTTATTTTTAAACTGTAAAATTCAACATGACTAAACACTTTTTTCATACAGATATTTAATACATACATATGTATATAACAATAAAAACATCATAATACTCAAAGAAAAATCATTACTGTGTATCAAATTCATTTATTTTAATGTGTACACGAAATTGTTTACTATGATACAATACAAAGTTCATTACAACCTATATTTTTATCTACAATAATTTAAAAGGATGAAACCTGTTTTTGCCAGCTCCGTTATATTGTTTTATTACAGTAATGAAATTAAAGTAGTCGAATTTAATCACTTTAAAAAAAACCCTATAAGTATAATTGGTTTCCATTTTATTCGTAAGCATTATGAACATATTGTTAGAATTATGAAATTTAACAATTAATTAAAGCATATGCGGTAAATGTATATGTAAAACAAGTTTCGTAAATACGACATGGATAACTGGTGAAAGAGTTTTTTTTTTAAATAATATATACATATAAGGAAACCGATATGCCACGTTGCAATTCGGTAGCTGACATTAATAAAAATAAGGTTCGTTTTGAAGTCATCAGAAAAATACAGGAACAACCAAAAGCTTTTCTTCATCAGAAATTAATTCAGAGATCCGAAAAGTTACATCTTCAACAAGTATTTATTTATTTATTTATTAAGTTGCACCAACAAAGTGATCATCAATACAAAACATTGACAAATTGACAAAAGTTCATGGCAGATGTCACCTCAATTATAGGTGCAATCGACAGTGCATTAACATAAAAAAATATATATATATAAATATACCATATTTAATTGAAACCGTAACCAAAATCGCTCTATGTGGTTTGGCCAGCAGACTTAACGGTTTGATGGCTAACAATAGTGAGGATAACAAAAAGAGAAAACGAATCGAAAGATAAAACACACTTACGTACTTCGTTTACATGATTTCTATTTTTCATTTACAACGAATACTCGGACATGTTTTTTTACTTTAGCCGGAAAACCCTCAAAGATATAAAGTTGAATTTTATTTTGCTCACGTCCGCGAACTTTTTGCTAAGTTTTTGGCGTAAATGTAAACAAAAATTTTGACCAGTCAAATACTTGTGATTAAAAAAACTTAAGCATACCAGCAGTACAATCGCAATACTAATATCGCCTAAAATTACCATGAAAATAGAATAATATTTAATTTAATTGAAATTTGGACTGCGTAAATAAAAGAATAAAAAATACAGATAAGTTAAAAGTATAAAATAACATCTGTTGTATTTCAATTACTTAAAAATAAGAATTATGAAATGAGTGTATGGATTATGTACAATGTTTACACTAACAAAATATATACTGAGAACAAACAATAAGATATTTCTTTTAGCCTCCACTTATAAAATTTAAGAACACATAGCCTAGCCATGGCCTACAAAGGCAGTGATAGAATGTTTATTCAAATTCGAAACTTGATATTTAAATCTAAGGTCTAAGCTAGTTTACGAGCTGTAAACACGATCAATAAGCGTTACGCAAATTTTATAGATTTTGCTAATTTTACTCTATAATACAAGCAAGTTTACGTACAACTCACTCTGTTAAAAGTAATTATTAACCGGCTCCGAACAGTGAACGCTCGTAAATAAAGTATATCACACAATTACAAAAAAAGAAAATCTGAAGATATTTTACAGCAAGCCGTACTGAGTTTCTCACCTATATTATTTTTATTCGTTGGAACGTAATACCGCTAGACTACATGCAAGTCTGGGTATAAGAAGACATTCATTTAATAATGAACACAAAGTGAACATCTAGGCTATGGATATAAATGATTTTATGAATTGTTTATGAATTTGTTAAAATATTCACCAGTAGAAATTGGAAAGAGAAAAAAATGTCAAAAATTATTATAACTATTTCATGTGACTTAAATCAAATCGTAATTAATAACAATATGATTTAAGTATACTGACTCTGATAATACAAAGTGATCAAGTATTGTCCTAATAAATATTCAAAAATGCAAAATATCTTGAGAGCTCACACGCCAAAAAATTTTTAAACATACATATATTTTAGTTTCTTTATTCGTGAAACAAATCCAAAAAAATTGTTTAATAGTGAGAAAATCTTAAATTATATTTAATGCCTTCACCACAAACAGAATAGCCTTTAAATATATAGATGAAAAAAATGGGTTCCGAATTTTCATATCGTAGTAACTTTCAAACGATAGTAGCAGAATAAATTAATATTCAAAGCTAAATTGCAGTAATCTATGATTTATGCGTAACGACACATTGTTGATGGCGTGAGAAAAATTGACGAAGACTGAAAAAAATTATAAACGTTCCATATTATGGCAAGCGATCCCACACCCCTAAACTTTGAAGCGATCAGCATCAGTGAAATATTTAGTAGTCAACCGAAATCAAAATAAAATTTTAATTTATTAAACCGAATCAAATTTAACACCTTACAAGATAAAATTTGTGATAAAATGTAAATTTTAAATATATTTATAGTGAAAGCGAATTAATAAATTATTGATTTAAACATGTGGTGAACACATTTTATTTTGAATTCGGTTAATGTTACATTTCAGTATAGCGTAGCGTTGGCAAGACGTGTGGAGCGACGGAGTATATGCGGTTGTAACGAAACAAATGGCCGACCCTCTACCACTCGGACCACGCGAACATTAATCTAGAAAAAAGAAGAGATGCATAATATCATAAAGATCTAGTCAATTCTCAATTAGTTCGACTGAGTGAATGAAATGAAGTCGTCGTGGCCTAAAGGATAAGACGTCCGGTGCATTAGTATCTTGCGATGCGCCAGTGTTCGAATCCCAGGCGGGTACCAATTTTCCTAATGAAATACGTACTTAACAAATGTTCACGATTGACTTCCACGGTGAAGGAATAGCATCGTGTAATAAAAATCCAACATACAAAATTATAATTTGCGTAATTACTGGTGGTAGTACCTCTCGTGAGCTCGCACGGATAGGTACCACCACCCCGCCTATTTTAGCCGTGAAGCAGTAATGCGTTTCGGTTTGAAGGGTGGGGTAGCCGTTGTAACTATACTGAGATCTTAGAACTTATATCTTAAGGTGGGTAGCGGCATTTAGGTACGTTGTAGATGTCTATGAGCTCCGAATGATGATCTCGTTGTCTCATATCTAAATATCTATGACACGACGTAGAACAATAAACCTTTTTACTGGCTTGTACCATGGATACGTAGAGATAAAACGATTCTAGACTTGGATTTTTGTCTATTTCATATATTTATAACATGTGGAATAGTGTATACCTCATGTTTGGAAGCAGCTCTGCGGAAATACTTGTGGAAGCGAGTGGAAAGAGCCCAGACTGCGCCGTTGTCGCGTTCCGCCCACCGGACCTCTGCGCAAAACTGCAGCTTCTCGGAGTCTTGGGCCAATACCCTGTAACAATACAAACAAACCAACTGGTGGTAGGACCAGTTGTGAGTTCGCGCGGGTATGTACCACCACCCCACCTATTTCTGCCGTGAAGCAGTAATGCGTTTCGGTTTGAATGGTGGGGCAGCCGTTGTAACTATACTTGAGACCTCAGAACTTATATCTCAAGGTGGGCAGCGCATTTACGTCGTAGATAAATAAATAAAAAAAAAAACATAAAAAATGAAATTTTTTTTCTCGGAAATACTCTAATAATTTACACCAAAATAAGCTAATTATATTAATTTAATCGTGTTTTAAAAATTTGTTTTTTTCATTTACATATTAAGTGTTTATTTAATAGGATATCGCCTATGAGAATAATTTGCAAAATGTGACGCCTATGTAAATGTTAATTTAAAAATAATTAATTAACATTTTTACAAATTTTTTTTATTCGTTTTTAAATGAATTAATTTGAAATTAAAATTAATCTTTACCATAATAAAACCTTTTATTATAAAAGATTTTTTTTTATTCTGAATCATTTTTACTTCTGAATCTTCGATCAGTAGTATTATTGATCGAAGTTCTGAATTGACTTTTTATTAGAAACTTCGCGAACGTTTTTTTTATAATGACATCATGTTGAGGATGAGCGCATAATCTATGGTCACGCGAGTCCGGTAAATCCATATTGAATAAGTACGTACTACATATTTACAAGAGTGATCGATTCCATACATTTAAACCTTTTTTTTATATTTCAATATCTCGAAGATCGATATGCTTTTCAATTATAATTTTTTGATTTTGATGTTTGAACGAACTCACACCCCTTCCAGTGTTAAGTGGTTACGGCGCCAGTAAGCATGCAGCATGAATGCTGCTCCAACTTGGACAAAGGAGGCTGAATTATAAGTAGGACCTCTTTTGATTACTGTTGGTAGGACCTCTTGTGATTCCGCGCGGGTAGGTACCACCACCCTGCCTATTTCTGCCGTGAAGCAGTAATGCGTTTCGGCTTGAAGGGCGGGACAACCGTTGTAACTATACTGAGACCTTAGATCATATCTCAAGGTGGGTGGCGCATTTACGTTGTAGATGTCTATGGGCTCCAGTAATTAATTAACATCAGGTGGACTGTGAGGTTGTCCAACCTATATAGTTAATAGCAATAATAAAAAAAAAAAATCATAAGGGCTTTCTAGCAAAAATACGCCTGATTGTACCTACTCATGCGCGCTCACACTACGCTCCCTATCCATAAAAATACTTCTTGACGGTACTTATACAAATTTAATTTGAAATGGGATACATAAGAGAACAAATAATTTAATTATTAAAAAAAAACACTTCAATGGTTCACGAATTACAAATACGGAAATTTGCAATCTCATTTAATACGTCATCCAACATAACAGCACCCGTCTGCATCATCCAAGAAATACTGCGCCTGTGATTCCCCATCGTGAATAACAAAGGTGCAACAATGGAATGTGTTTCCCACAAAGCGATCAGCGGATATCGATTTATAACAACTCACAAAAATTTTGCGAAGGTCATTCACGCTTCGAATCGCTAACTGAGAAATGATCATGCGAATAGTTCGCGGTTTAAGCAATAATAATATTAATATGCGAACAAAACTGGTTTCTTGTATTACAACAGCTAGAAACAACGAATACTATTGTGTTTGTTAATACAATAAACATTTTGATCATGTCCAAAGTTCGTGCATATATATAGCTATCAACACAGCCTGATATTATTTTTCTTATTATATAAGAATTTTAACGAATTGTTTTATACATTAGCCGTATTATTATTTAACGAGAACTTAACAAATGTGAAAATCACGATTAGAAACCTTTAAATAATAGCGCGTGTAAAAATATTAACTTTAACAAATAGTTACCTTTTTTTTTCCTACGTAAGCTGAGAGCCTTGAGAGACTATATCAGCGTAGCCTTAACTAGTAGGTGAGCTCACAAGGGTCAAACCTGATGACGTTGCTAACACGAACCCTAGCAAGAGCCGTGCTTCGCAGAATCTGCTACCGGATCGGAAACGCGACCCACTGAGAAGATCCGGCGAGAAACTCAGTGGACTGTGTCTGAGGGTTAATTTACTCGTCGAGCCCTTCGTCGCAAGCGACGGGTTCGACGAGAACGATGACCGGAATAGTTACCATTAATTAACTCGTCTTCACAAATATGACGGAAACGAATGCTGAGATAGTTAGTTCATTAACTCAAAATTCAGTTGGATCATATAATTTTATTTCAACTAAAAAAATCATAAAAGAACTCACTTGTGTGTGTTAGTGATGGGGTTCCACGCTGCAATGGCGGTCTCGGTCATGGGGCTAAAGATGATAGTGTCATCGCGGGGGTCGACAGCCAAGCCTAGACCTTGAGAGGATTTTCGGCCTACGAGGTTCACAGGAAGCTCGGTACCCTCCGCAGGGGGACCAGCTGCAAGAACTGCTGTTGATACGCTGAATACTCTGTAATAAGCGAGAAGTAATAAGTTTACTTTGACAAGTCATATCAATTTAATATACTTTGTTTTTCTTTTTTTAAATCTACGTGCACTTTCGAATTAATATGCGATTGATATTACGATAAATTAGAAAAAAAGAATTCATGCTCACGAAAGATTTTCATCAATTTTTAAATTACAGCAATATTTAGCATAGTCGTAATCGCAAATTGCTTTCATTGATAGTGTGAAAACTATTCAGTAACTTTCACGTAAAATGGTCCCGGTTCTTTTTTTTCTCCTAGCTATGCTAAGAGAAAAAAAAGAACCGGGCTATTTCAGCTTCTCCTTGACGTGTAGGTGAGCTCACGGAGCTCTAACTGGGAATGTTGATAACACTGGCCCTAGCAAGGGCAGTGCTTCGCAGAATCTACCACCGGATCGGAAACACGACCCACTGAGAAGATCTGGCGAGAAACTCAGTGGGCTGTGTCTATGGGTTAATTCAATCGTCAAAAAACACTGTAGATTCTCGTCAAAATACATATACTTACCAATAATACCAATAATTTTCACTAATCATGAACTCAATCACTAACAATCGGATACTCATACATAGTTATAACCGCGAATTACACGACTCAGTAAATATCTAGCGTCCAGTAATTAAATTAATAACGTTAATTAAGTGTTTTGTGATTGTAAATTATACGTATTTTTTGTGTTACTAATACGATATGTTGCTAATTCACAACGGGGAAATTCTTGCGGTTTTTGTGTTAAAATCATCCGTTTTTTATCGTATTGTGTTTATTATTCATATGACTGTGGCTTCATATTCGTATCCGTAATGGTTTGATTGATAGCGGTTTTGAAACTTATTGAAAACGTATTACAAGAAGATTTCTGATATAACAGCTTTATATAATATAACGTATTATTTATATTTTATTTATTTTATGTAATGTTATTTAATGTTATGGATTCGTGTCTAATTGTCATTAGGAAGTGCCTCATTTAATGTCAGAATGTATTTATTATACGGTACACTTTTAAATCATAATTTTTTAAAGACATTTTTAGTAGGGATATTTATATTTACCGACATAGTAATAATGATAGGGTCGTCGAAAAATATATCGACATCGGAGTAATAACAATTATGCGACCTAATCTTTGACTGACCGACAGTTCTGTGATGACTTTAGGATAGTATTTAGCATCAGTGAATACAACCGTATTTACAGTAAAATCAAACTAAGATTTTAATAAAGTTTAGTTTTTCTACACAAGTTCTATTTAAATTATAACATTGGTTTTGTGGCTTTTTTTTTGTATGTCGTATTGTATCCATTATTTTACCTATCTGTAGCAAGAGGTTGGTAGTAGAGAAGTCCTTGGGCGGGGGAAAGCGCAAGGCCGACAACACCATCCATGAGGGTAAATCTTTCTCCGCCTATGTCATATTCGCCGAGATCGGGATCGGGGTACATTGATGCGTGGGTCACGCGCCAAGCATTATCACGACCACCATCGTACACTATTATGCCTGAAAACAAAAATAAACTGCAATAGTGGGAAGTTAGTTTTTTTTAGCAGTAAGTAATTGTGAGAAATTGTAAAGGGAAGTAAATTTGGTAGGCAGCGGCTTGGCTCTACCCCATGAGCGACGGTAACCACTTATCATCAGGTGGACTGTATACTCGTTTACCTGCTCGGGCAATAAAAAAAAAGTAGGTATAACTTCAAAGTTTTAAATCATTATCATCGTCACTTCATTAAAAGTATTCTATTTCGGAGACCATGTTCGCGTGTACACACGTAAACTCTCAACGTCTCGAAAAGTCGGAATAAGTAAATTTAAATTAATAAATGCGAATTTAAACTATTTATGTGGAATCAAGCATATCTGCAGCTCGTGAAAACCTAAGAAAATTATCATCCATTACCAATTTTTTAAGGTAATTAAATCCACTTCCGCATTGAAGGAATTTTTACTTCATGTAATAAAATGAAATCACCAAAACCTCTGTAATTAAGTTTAAAACTGATTTAACGATTCTCTCGCGTTTTTATGGTCTTTACATTACTGGTGGTAGGACCTCTTGTGAGTCCGCGCGGGTGGGTACCACCACTCTGCCTATTTCTGCCGTGAAGCAGTAACGCGTTTCGGTTTGAAGGGTGGGGCAGTCACTGTAACTATAATTGAGACCTTAGAACTTATTCTCAAGATGGGTGGCGCATTTACGTTGTGGATGTCTATGGGCTCCCGTAACCACTTAACACCAGGTGGGCTGTGAGCTCATCCACACATCTAAGCAATAAAAAAAAACAGCGTTTTGATGCTTACATCGCTTACAAAACACACAGTTAGACGAGTCGTCCTCAAAAGTAGTTTTAATTATGTATAGAACCGCATGCGATTATTTAATTATTGCAGTTATTGTCAGACCTGCAAGTATCATCGGGCGGTCCTACTAACCTCTACGGTACTGCGAAGTGATCATTAGTTCCATCGACAATAGTACCAATTTTAATATATACTAGTCTATACTAATCTATACTAATTTTATAAAGAGGAAAGATTTGTTTGTATTGAATAGGCTCTGAAACTACTGAACCGATTTAAAAAATTCTTTCACTGTTTGGAAGCTACACTATTCCTAAGTGACATAGGCTATAATCTTATTTAAAAAAAATTAGGGATCCTTACTAAAACTCCAATAATGTAACCCAAGGCGTAAAACAAATTACCTAAAATATTCTTTACATCGCGTGTCCTGCGAACACTATTGATGATAGAATAAAATAATGTATATGTATATATATGTCTAACTATTATAGTTATGCCGCAATAAGTGTTCTTTTATTTAAAAAAATAGAAACCATGTCAAATATCGTTGAAATTTTTGTTAAAGACCCGAGCGGAGCCGGAGCGATCCGCTAGTTATTCATATATAGTTAGAACTTCGACCATATGCCTCAAAATGTTAATGGGTTTCCATCTCAGTGTTTGAGAGCTGAGCTTACCACTGAACCCAAGTAATCCGTGGGTCAGCTGTTTCTAATATATATGTACGCCGAAAAAGCTAAGGCCATTAATAACAGATGATGATACATAACTCAACCGCTCAATTCTATAATTTTAGTTGTTCGTGGGAAAAAAAACATGAAACTAAAAGAAGTACACCGAAACCCCGAACATTTTTGACAAAGATATTGTTTTTCTCTAGAAGCCGAACTTAGACGCCGTTTTTTTTTTCCTACCTAATCTGGCAGCCTTGAGAGGCTATTCCAACCTTAACTAGTAGGTGAGCTCACGAGGCTCATACCTGACGACGTTGCTAACACGAGCCGTGCTTCGCAGAATCTACCACCGGATCGGAAACGCGACCCACTGAGAAGATCCGGTGAGAAACTCAGTGGGCTGTGTCTGAGGGTTAATTTGCTCATCGAGCCCTTCGTCGCAAGCGACGGGTTCGACGAGAACGGTGACCGGCGCTTGAGGTACCTAAAAGCACCTAGACCCCGTAATGCAATCGACAACGTAGCTAGGCGAATATTTTGTTTAATTTAAAATAATTCAATCTTAGAAGTGTAAATTAAACATAACAAAGCTTTTGTGGATTAACAGACACGGCCTGAATAATTTACAAAAAGAAAACAAAAAGGAAATCGTCTACTGACAAAACTACTTTCATTTGATTTTATGGTATCAAGCTTTGCCTCGCTTACAAAGAAACGTTTGACAATCAATCAAACAGTTATCGTGGATAACATGCATTAAAATTACGCAATGTTAGGTAAAATTTTGCGGAATAACAGTGCGTCAGTATAATTATTGGCTGCATCGGATACGTTGTAGCATTACGTCACGATTTGGGAGAAAGCACTAACTTAGGCTCCCGACACACTTAACATTAAAAAACGAATTAGAGCATATTTAATATCGAACACTACTTTCATTGAAAGGTTTTCAAAACAGACCTGAATTTAATAAGATTGATGTATTCAAAATTATCTTGATCACTATCAGTAAAATTAATTTTTAATTGAAATCAATTTCAATTAAGTAGGAATTCATTTAATATATTATTAAATCACAAAGCTGTTGGGGTTCTTTTTTGGCTTAGACGAATGAACAGCTGAAGAGTGTTAGGTGGTTACCGGAGTCCATAGACATTACAACATGAATGCCGCCACGCTTGAGACTTGAGGTCCGTGTCTCATATATAATTTACGCAAATCTATTTTTACTATCGTATAGAGTAATAAACGTATTATTCCCTCATCACGGAATCAATTCGTGAACATGAGTTCAATCTGCCTAAATCTGCCGTAAAACGTTAATGCGTTTCGATTTGAAGGGTGGGGCAGCCGTTGTAACTATACTGAGACCTTAGAGCTCATATATCAAGGTAGGTGGCGGCACTTGCGTTGTAGATGTATATGGGCCCCGGTAACCACTTAATACCAGGCGGTGAGCTGGTCCACCCATCTATGGAATAAAAAAAAAAAAATCAATTAGTTGAAAATAGTATGACGGTGCCTTTACGTAGAGAGTGCACGCATCGTTGCATGTTTAACTTTACTCCGAGAAAAGGCGGGCATTTCTGAGTGGTATTTATTCACTCGTAAATACGACATGGGCCGGTAGTGGGCCGGTAATATGGAATAATTACAATGTCAGCCTTTTTTCTGTCGGCACTTACGGTCGGCGCAACTTACTAATTATTGCTTAAACATCAATAGCTCGTATACAATACCAGTCTTGTTATACTCTAATAACTATTATCGGGTCATCTCCGATATTTACGTCCTAAGTCTGAATTTGAGATTTATAGCGTCAGGTTCTACTAACAATGTAGCAATTGAATATTAAACTCACTTTTGTGAGAGAGTTAGTTCAATATTACGAGTATAATAACAGTTATAGTTTGTGAACAAAACCCGCCTAATGAATAGTACTTTGCAAAATATGTATGATATATATAAATTCTTATGCATAATCACTACATAGTATAAAACAAAGTCGCTTTCTCTGTCCCTATATCAGTATGTATGCTTAAATCTTTGAAACTACGCAACGGATTTTGATGCGGTTTTTTTTAATACATAGAGTGATTGAAGGGGAAGGTTTATATGTATAATAACATCCATTAAATAGTGGAGAAATCAGTAATAAATTACAGTTTCCGAAGCGAAGCGAAGGCGGGTCGCTATTAATCTAATAAGACGAAGTTCAATGAGTATACTAGTAGTTGTGGACAGGTTCGACTTCCGGATTCATCATCAAATCAGCTCCAGCGTATCATGATATTATGTATTCGGATTTTTAGTGACTTCGTAGACAAAAAAAAACACCTAATTGTCGCCTTCACCGTTTGAAGAAGGGCATATCATACCACTCAAAAAACACCGTGGATACTCAATAGGCTTAAGTAAATTATCAAGTATAAGTATGTTTGAGCAGTAAGGCGTATTGTAACTCAATGATTGCCTAATAGACAGCACCGATCCGAGAATAAGGTGTTCGTTATAGACCATCTCATTTTATAGTGTTTTTGTATTTTTAATACAAAATGTTATTTTTTTAGAGATGAAACCCACCTTGAGATATGAGTTCTAAGACTCAGCCGTTGTAACTATACTTGAGACCTTAGAACTTATATCTCAAGGTGGGTGGCGCATTAACGTTGTAGATGTCTATGGGCTCCAGTAACCATTTAACACCAGGTGGGCTGTAAGCTCGTCCATCCATCTAAGCAATAAAAAATAAAAATAAAAGAATGCACCGGGCCGGGCGTCTTATCCTTTAGGCCACGATGACTTTAAATTATTTTATCGGTATATCTTGAGCCCAGCTTAGCACGATCATATTTTATCATATTTATCATATCATATTTTTCCTTCTCTCGTATTGTAAGTGTATAAATATTTATTTAAATGAAAAAAAAGGTAATTCAATTTTCGATGTTAGCGATGCTTAAATAAGCATGCTAACATAGAACATGCTGGCTTATATTTTGAACGACAAGTAGCCTAATATTTATTATATACTAGCTGACCCGGTAGACCTCGTAGAGCCTCAATCGATAAATAAAAGACCTAAGCTTTTGTATAAAATAATCTTAAAATCAACAAAAATAATCCGTCCGACGGGGGACACATCAAAGGAAAAACAAAATTGTTATTTTTATTTAATTCCGAGCATTTTCATATTTATCTACTTTTTAAACCTTCTCTGGACGTCCACAAATAATTCAAGACCAAAATTAGCCAAATCGGTCCAGCCGTTCTCGAGTTTTAGCGAGACTAACGAACAGCAATTCATTTATATATATATATATTTGTGTCTATATACACGAATAGTAAGCTACATTACCTGGTGCTACAGTGTCACTGATGTACGCATATAAATGATCACAAGTCGACGAAAGCCTCGAAGACGAACGAGTTTCATCCAGCACCAAATTGGTTAGCAAAGAGCTGGGACGCAGTAACTCGCGAGGGAAGTATACGCTTCTCACCTGGAAATAAATTATGAACAATTCATGATCAAAATATTTAAGTAATGCCTTTTTAATACGCTCTTTATTAGCTTCAGACGTATGTAAGTTAGTATGTAACGGTCCCATGATCTGTAAGCGGAGTAAAATGTCCCTTCGGAACAAGATGACACGCTTTTTTTACAATACAATAATTTTTTCTTACACTATTTTTAATTCAAATTTACTAAAATTTATTTCCTATTTTTTAGTTGGATTTTCTATAAAAGCGTGTTTTGTTAGTTTTTTTTAAGCTATTATTTATTTTATTGCTTAGATGGGTGGACGAGCTCACGGCCGATCTGGTGAATGATTACCGGAGCCGATAGACATCTACAACGTTAATGCCGCAACCCACCTTTAGACAAGAGTTCTAAGATGTCAGTTTTGCCTGTTAATTTTCTTAATTATCGTTTTAGACACGGCGTGTAAAATGTTAATAGAAAATATCGAATTGAAAAAATACAATATCACGTAAATGCCTGGAATAATTGCGTACAAATGACTGACTTGACCACGAACAATGAACATAATGTACAATAGGTAGTTACCATGTCGCCCACATTGAGTGAGGCGTACAATTGCCACAAAGCGACATTCGAAAAGCCACAGCCCACGCCCCGCACCCTTTCAAATAAACAGAATGACCTCGCAGATTCTGTTCTGGCCCCGATACGAGTGAACTTCTGTTGTCAGTACAACACGAGAACACAAATATCTCAACAATGAAAAATTTCATTAATTCTTCATCTTTTAGAATGATTTGAAACGTTTATTCAAACGACAGGTTCTATATTAGACCACTAGTATTAAAATGAGAAAAAATCAAAACTAATTTTAAGTAATGAACAACAATAATTTATGCAGTTGCAAAAGAAATACATTATGCTCCTTTATCATTAGAATAAATTAATATGTCAATGAAAAAAAGTAATGCAGTTCAACTACCAACATCCGTCATATTCAATAGATTGCGATCTATATTTCGAACGAAGTCTTAAAGTAGAGCGCATGCGAACATTCAAGGTCTAAAAAGGCGTTATTAGATAAGAGTAACCAGTTTCATTATAATCGATGCAATTTTCGGTTAACTTTTTTATGATTTATTTACAATTATTCAGTGTAGGAACATTGCATCCACAACTTAGACAAAAGACAACCCGGCGCGCATGTTGTCTGCAATTGCGCAATATTTATTATTCAAGTGTGCCTGAACTATAGCCAACGCAACTGCTATATATAAATGAATGACCGAAAGAAATATAATTTAATAGACCCTGCTAAAACTTCACAATGGTACACTGCAGCTATTTTTCTACTACGATAAACGTGAATATTTAAAAAAAAAGTAATATTAAAAAAAAACAAATATTAAAAAAAAAAACATGACCGCTTCACCGTTTCTTGCCAGTTCTTCTCAGGACGGAGGCTAGTTTTTGTGAATTGGCGGTAATTCTTTTTGACGTTCAACAAGTATGTACTTTCATTTATGTTGAATAAAAAAAATTTGATTTGATTTGATTTGATATCCAACATTTAACCTCCAGACAAATAACAAGGACTAAATATCATTACACGGTCAAGAAACCTGTTCACTTTGCTTGCATAGGTTACTTTTTATGATCAGCACGCGGAATTAATTTAAACAACTTTAAATAAAATCAATACAATTCAAATAGATTTCAGTTTTAACTACAAACACGATTGTTTAATAATACTACGATAACTTTTAAAATGAATGCGGCCATTAAAAAAAATCCTTATTTTTGTTATACGTTTTGTTTTATGTGCGTATTTACGGATTTATTTCCTATGTACCAATAGAGTATGTAGCCTAAATTACGTAATATTTTAAAATGCTTAGAGTAAAATTGTGTTTATGCCGGTTGTAGTTCAATATCCTTGGCTCATTCCCGATCCTGCGGCAAGAATGGAAAGCAGTCGACGTCGCCCCCAACACGTCATTTGGGATCCTGCCGATCCACTAACGGTGCTTTTAGGTACCTTGTCGAACCCGTCGCTTGCGACGAAGGGCTCGATGAGCAAATTAACCCTCTGCACAGCAGACACAGCCCACTGAGTTTCTCGCCGGATCTTCTCAGTGGGTCGCGTTTGCGATCCGGTGGTAGATTCTGCGAAGCACGGCTCTTGCTAGGGTTCGTGTTAGCAACGTCGTCAGGTTTGAGCCCCGTGAGCTCACCTACTAGTTAAGGCTCCGCTGAAATAGCCTCTCAAGGCTATCAGCATAGGTAGAAAAAAAAACCTTGGCGAACAATTGTTTCGTGAATAATTAATTGGATTTAAATTTCCTATTCAATTATTTCCTACTGATTTCGTGCACTGCTCGTTATATTACAAAAATATTTGTGTTGAATGAATAAACTCGAGCAGGAACACGATTCTCCTATTTTAAAACCATTGCAGTAAGCAGCGAACACATGGATTATTATAAAATTATATTAAAATGAATTTGAAATTTAAGTCGCCTAAAGATCGTAGTTCCTAAAGGAATTACTATTGTAGTTCCTCCATTTGTACCATAATAAATGTATTATTACGTAAAATGTATAAATTATATTTTATAAAATTACATTTATCTTTCACTTAGCACGCGTAACGATAATTTCGCATCGGTTACTTTACTACTTATAATGCCTTTAAATTAGTTAATAAGCATTGCAAAAAAAATACCTAAATAAATATTAGAAGAACTATCATAGCGACATTTCAGCGAAATTTATGAATGGAAGTACTGGTTGGTATATAATTGTGAAATGTATTTAAGGCCGTGGTTTGTTTCAAGATCGCGGTCTGATCTTGGGGAGCGTGAAAGAACCGCGCCTCATCGTAAAAGTTACGACACAATAGCATCAAATCATAGTACAGAACGGCGGCCACTACGACCGGTGAAGCATTGTGCAATTAATTAAATTGCGTTCCTTTCCTGTCCCAAATAACATTTTTCGAAAGATCTGTTTTAATTATAAATGTAAATTAGAAGAAAAAAAAAAACAATCATGACTCAGAACATAAACTATGTAAATTTATAAATCAACAATGTATAATATAAAACTAAAGTAGCTGTTAACTGTCGCGATCTTAATGAACAGTTTTTTTTTCTTTCTTATTCTCGTCATTATTAATTGTTATTTTATACATAATTAGCATAATTGACACACGAAATTCAGATTTCACCTAAGATTTCATTAACAGACGCAAGCGATCGTTTAGAACGGATATGATATGGCTATTAATTATTACGCGTTTCACTAAGTGATTTGCATTATTTAATTTGCCTAACTACGCATTAAAATACTGTTCGTATTTATTGCTGAATAATTAGTGATTCACAATTAATAAAAAGGATTTGAATGTCGGTAGTACAACTCTCTTTTGAGAAACACTAATATCAAGGTATCTGCTATTGGGTTTTGTATTTATCTTTATAATTCTACTAAGTAAAATAAATTATCAGGTTATTTTATTTGCCACAAACAAAGTAATCTAGCGTGCGTAGGACTTGAAGAGAAACGATATAGGCGATGTTATACCTGAAAATGTTTTCATTATTGACACACGGAAAACTTAAATAAGAAAATTACTTACAAGACGATCAGTAGCCATATCAAAAATCAATATTTTAGGAGGACAAACGCGTCGGAAATCATCAAGGCTGGTGATAACTCCGGCATCCAGTACCCAGAGCCTGTTGCATCTATCAGCTCGGACGCGATACACCGATATCAGCCCCGTACAATTGATGTCCCCACGTCCTGCTGTATGCCATGACCAGTCAGGGTACGCCTGGAATTGAAAATCACGTTATGACAACTTTCTTAGGTACAGTATAGATCATAAATCAAAATAATAATTATTAATATAACATATGCACTTTTACTTTGGACTATTTTTAATCATTTCATATTGAAATTAAAACCAGGTTATGTAATAACTTAAAACGAATATATGTATTTAGTAATATATAAATAATAAAATAAAATACAAATACATTTGAAACGATTGAAATTCATTATTTCATTAATTTGGCTAATTAATCAAATAATTGAAATTTAAAGAATATATTAAATAAACATTTCACAAGGTAATTTAACAATAGTTCAATTCTATGTTTATATTAATTAATTAATTCTATATTGCATCTGCCATCCGCAGACTAATTATGAACACAGCAATTTCCTCAACAATGCTTATTTTCAGCCATATGGAGAAGTAAAACGTGAGCTATGATCGATGTCTCTCAGCTCTATTATGGTAGCTCTTGTATCGAGTTGTGGCGTATAATTTTCTTTTTTTAATTATTAAAATTTAACAAACTTATAAGAGGCTCTAAAGTTGCATGACTTATATTTTCTTTATTCACATATTTTTGCAGTTCACATCAGAACGTGTTAAATATTCGGTACCTAGTTTCCGTTTTTATAAGATAGTTGTTTATTGTGTGTGTTGAACATAACTACAAAACATTTCAATGTCGATCCGGCTCTTCAAAATTAGTACTTCTGATTAATTATATAATTTCACTTTACAATCTTAACTGAACATGCTTAATATATCAATCAATAACGATTTATATCAGTACCAAACTATGAAGTGGTTATACGTAAAATATTTCATATCGTTTCACATCAAAGGTCAAAGCAAAAGTACATTGACGTTAATAAAATTCCTTAAGGTGCTATAGTTGTTGTTGTACAGTTCCATTATTACAAACGTGACTGCGAGGACATGACGTATTTATTCATCGGGGCATTACAGCTTCCGAGATCGGCATACAAATCGTTTGAAAACAAAGAAATAAAAAAATTATCAACTACCATTTGAATACTTTTTTTTATTGCTTAGTTGGGTGGACTAGCTCACAGCCCACCTGGTGTTAAGTGGTTACTNATAGTTGTTGTTGTACAGTTCCATTATTACAAACGTGACTGCGAGGACATGACGTATTTATTCATCGGGGCATTACAGCTTCCGAGATCGGCATACAAATCGTTTGAAAACAAAGAAATAAAAAAATTATCAACTACCATTTGAATACTTTTTTTTATTGCTTAGTTGGGTGGACTAGCTCACAGCCCACCTGGTGTTAAGTGGTTACTGGAGCCCATAGACATCCACAACGTAAATGCGCCACCCACCTTGAGATATAAGTTCTAAGGTCTCAAGTATAGTTACTTAACTAAGTATCGAGAATTGTCATACAACATAAGCTTATTTAAAATTCAAATATGTATATACATTAAAATAATTTAGGAAAAAATCTGTAACAATCATAATTAACTCCATTTCAATAATTCTTCTAAAACCAGTAATAAAACCATGTTGATTTACATTAAATGAATTATTAGACACAATTAAATTATAACTTTTTTTTTCCGTCTATACTCAATCATTGGATACTTAACCATTTGTTTGCCTACGTAAAAGATGTCAGAATGGTAACCACATCTTGTAATATCTTTATTTAAAACATCTACTGTATTTACTACTTTCATAAATGCGTTAACAATTTCTCATTCACATTTATCATCATTGAGATTGCATAAAAACGTGGTCATAACTTGATTATTAGCAAAAAAAAACGAGAGGCAATTATGTTCAATTGATGTAGGTGACATTACAAAAACTTTTAGATTTTTGGTCAAAAGTAATGCAATGACATTTATTTTTATAATAAACTTTTTAGGGTCCTGTATGATTTTTTGAAAGCGCTGGTTGTATTTGTTTTGTCTCCCAGTGCAGTAACTTTCTTCGCAAAATTCTTACCAAATTTCTTGCCGTGTCTTTGCAGACTCTCTGCTTCAAGGTTTTTGAGAACTATTTGTATGCTGCTTTCGATTACCCTTCACGTTTTACCGTATATTACGCGTCGAAACAACGCAATTTATTGACATTCTTCAAGTACGGATTGTAACTACGACAGCAGCCATTTAATGTTAAGCTTAATACAAACAAATAAATTTGGATACAATGGCCATCCATATAATTTTAAATTCGATTTTTTCGACAATAGACTGTAATGCTTTATGGATTAATTCGTAATAAGTAACAAAGTATGTAGTCTCTATTTATAAATTATTATAAAGCTTAATGAATAAAAGCTGCGTTCACATCCATATGTTTGACAACAAAAAAAAAACTGTTCAAGTTATCCAAAAACAATTTAAATATTCAAAATTATTTATATATAGAACATAAAGCACTTTTTTTTTGGTAAATTAACTGGATCAATCTATGATAACTTAAATGAAACATTTAAATAAATTTAAAATTACTTCAAGCTTAGTTAAAGACCTTTAAAAATAATGTAAATAACAAGGACATTCTAATCTTGCTTGACATTTGAATGTAGGATACATTGTGGATTTAATAACGGTAATCGAAGATTGAAACTAGCATTGGTCAACGAAATGATATTATATCGATACTTATCAAGGATTTATGCGATTCCTACATAAAAAAGTTAGAACTAAAGATGTTCGTATCCCTTGTTAATTGTTGCATAAAATTAGGATACATTTAAAAACGCATGTGTAGATTTTGAGCGGTATTAATTTACTTAAAGCAAGCACGTGTTGCAAACTGTGATCGGTATCAACTGCCACGAAGCCTACTACAGTTTCAAGGATAAGAGAGCTATTCTAATCCAATCGAGATTTTGACCCCATTTCTCAATGGGGTCAGTAAGATTCATGCTGTCATGGATTTAAATTAAGAATTAAATTCGGAGCGCTCGTCCATTTAACTACGTACCGCAACTTCTTCTTCTTCTTGGCTTTATTCCAAATTTGTTGGAGTCGACGCAACAAGTCCTTTCATAGTATTGCATAGACATTTGGAACGAGTTTAACGACCGGCCAACAATTTTTTTTAACGCTGGGAAATCTATTTACGGATACCCGGTCGAGGGGGGTAACGGACCGGGTTATGTCAGACTCCGGCGGCTCCTGAGAGGAAGAAGGGGAGAAGAGAAGGACCGAGGTCTTTCACCTCCTCCCAATTTCAACGACCGGCCTGACGTCAAGCCTCCTAAAGCTATATCTTCATCTTCCATTTCAACGTGACACTTTTTCTGTATTCTCTTTTGGTGTTCCTTTTATTTTATCTGGTTTGGTATTTTGGTTCTATGATTTGAATTTTATCATTTTAAAAATTTACATCAAAGTTTGGATTTTTAAATACCAAAAAGACAAAAATAATATCACATTTTACTCGTTTTTGTGTATATGCATATGTAAAAAAAAACTACACACTGCAATCATGCCAAGAAAGAAAAATTAAAATAACTGTCAGATTCCGTTTGATTTATTAGGACATAGCATCTTCCTGTTAAGTCAAGATAATAATACTCTCCGTACTATATCACGTTATATCTATCGAGTATACTATGTACTTACATTGTAACTAAGTTTAATCACCGCAACTTTCTAAAAACCCGTAGGGACAATTGCGGAATAACGTTTCTGCAAATTCTAACTAAACTCAACCAAGCCGACTTAAATTATATCGAATATTCGTCTCACAGATTAGGTGTCGAGTAGTAATAACATCTAAATATCCTAATTTATCTGGTGCCGCTGGTGCTGTTTAACATCTCAACATTCCTGACAAATGAGACCTGCAGCGTTAATTAACCTGCCACAAATTTGACAGAACCGATTATCAAATATAGTTATACTAAATCACGACGCTATAACAAATGGTTTGTAGCTAATGAATATTTCGAAACTCTCATCTTAGTCTATATTTGCACTATTGGCAGAGTGGTCGTGGTCATCATTTCGGATGGTGGTGCGCTTCATCAGGCGTCGCCATTCCTCGCGTACCGCGGCCCTTCTTGTAGATTTCAAAACTGTTACTGTCATAAAGATTTTTGACTAAAATTGATTTTAAATCCTATTTTCCCCTTGTTATAAGATGTACATGTTCTGTACCGAGATCAATAAAAGACAGTTGTTTCTAAATTTCAAAAATATACATTATACTTTATAATACCTTTGCAGTAACTTTTTTAAAGTATAATCCTAACATTATCAAAGTTAGTTATAAATTTTAGTGTTTTAGACTAATCTAACAAACACATAATTTAAAACATTTTGCCTAATTAAAGTGAACTTATATACATAAAACTTCACTATCTAGAGTTACACTCGCATACTGTATTACATTATATAACCTATTCCATGATGTAACTCTGTACCAAATCTGGGTTTGCGTTATCGTCCTTATGTTGCGCATCTACCATGCTTGTAGCTTTCACAGCCATTACTAACTTACTATCTTTATACGTGACGGGAATCGAGTAACAAGCGAGACATTTAGATGGATATAGAAGATATATCACACACATAATTATATTCTTAATAGAATCGGCTAAATAATTTAAAATATAAACACTCGGGATACATCTTAGAAATTTATACAACCCATAAATATTTAGTAGAATTCGCGTATGAAGATATTTGGACTTTTAATATATTCCTAGACAAAGACGAACAGAAACTTAACTTAGTGGAAACATAGTTTGGGCAATTAACAGTACAAGCATGTATACCACCGCGTGTTTCCAGCCATTATAATACAAATGCCCAATACATTCACGTTTAACGACTACAATAACAAAATAGAAAACTGTTTATCAAAAAAGAAAAGTTGACTTTATTAAAATAAAATGAGCGTATGATCAATGTGCTCGAATTCAAGTGTAAATATGCATTATTAAGGATAAACCGAAACGTCCTGATCGAATCTTGATAAAATAAAATGAGACCACATAGGAAGCAACGACAAAAAAAAATGATCAAAATGCGTTCACCTACAATAGAGTTCTGATGGTTGGCTAATAATACACGAATAGAGGAAGGCAACAAAACTTAAATATACTGTCTTAATTAATCATAATGATATAGTAATTAATTTGAATTGTTTAATTAATCGCAAGATCATTAGTAAAGTCACACTAATCATCTACTTTTACGTAACTAATATTTGTAAGAAATAAATAGGAATTAAATCTTATTACCTATTAAAATACATAAAATGAAAGAAACAACATATAATAATACCAACGTTACAAAGGCAAACGTGACTAAGCGACAATAACTGCTTTATACATAAATGATAAGCAATAACCATATTCGATGCGCAAAAAATATATATTTCTAGGTCTATTAAAATAATTTCAATCCTACAGCTAGATTCGTTAAAATAGATTTTTTTTCATGTATTTCAACTTTAAATTAGTCTACTGTAAAGTTCACACATTGTCGCTTAGTCACGTATGCCTTTCAAGCGTCGAATCATGTAGTAAAAGAGAATTAGTTTTCTAACCTGCAAGACAGGACTGACACCAGGCGGCAAGCTCCGAGGAACCCATGCTACAGTGGCTGGTACGCCACTCCTTAACCTCGGTATACCGAGGTACAATTTGTCCCAACCTATCTCTAACCCTGTAGGAACAGTGTTTTCAGGTTCAAACTTCTCCAGAAGCACTGGATCAGGTGGAAAATCAAACTGCAGTAAGCTCCACTGGTTGACCACTTCCAGAGTCGCACTCACCGTAGCTAGGCAAGCACAAAGTAGTATCATTTGATGCCTCATTGCGGTTTTCTGTAAAAAATAAAGTTTTATAAGTCCTAAACAATGCTACAACTACATTTTCGGGTCTTTTTATTCGCCTGCATAGTCTTTATAACTCAGAATTAATGAAACAAGGTATTCTTAGTTACGTCGATGGCATAATAAAACGAGCTTAACACCAGATGGGCTGTGAGCTCGTTCACCCATCTAAGCAATAAAAAAAAAACAAAAAGAGAGCTTAAAGCCCGTTCGGTCGTAAGTCGCTCACGGGCATCATCAATGGCACAAAATCTCTTGCTGATATACTGGTTTATCAAAGCAATCTTACATTCGTGCAAACTCACAATAATTCGTGCGCTTGGTAATGACCTACGTTAGTGACAGCTCACGCGATCAACTTTCACTTATAATGGAGTGACATAATAGTAAAGGTCAAGGGCACATCTGTTGAAATCATAAATTTGCCACAGCTTATCGCCTTAAAATTCTGTCAATCAAGATGCTTAATGGCTGGGAAATAAAATCCAGAATTCAAAAATATCTTGTTGAATCTTCTGATTAAAGCTTCCGAACCCTCCCGACCTATGTTACATATTTCATCAAACCATCGTCTATCTTACTATATTGGATCTAATTGAGAATGACTTATTACATTAAAACTAAAGCAGAGGATCTTAAATGATAATGGCCCCGTAACTGAAGCCTATAGACATCTACAACGTAAATGCGCCACACACCTTGAGAATATAAGTTCTAAGGTCTCAGTATAGTTACAACGGCTGCCCAACCCTTCACACCGAAACGCATTACTGCTTCACGGCAGAAATAAACGGGGTGGTGGTACCTACCCGTGCGGACTCGCAAGAGGTCCTACCGCCAGTAATAATACCACCATAATGACTACCACGTAAGCGGTAAGGGGTTGGCCGGAAGTGCCATCCTGCTTTTTAGTAATGATGATTTTGGTACGGTTCTAAAAAAGGTCTAAGGAATACGGAATTTTAAAATTAACTAAAATCGAGCAGGAATCTTTTCAATACATAATTAGGAGTCAATTTTGGAAAATTGTAATAATCTATACTAATATATAAATCTACAGTGGTTTATAGGAATAACTACTGAACCATGCATCCGATTGACTTAAAACTTGGTATCCATGTAGAAAATACATGTACTTAATGGATAGGCTAATATTTATATGAGTGTTGGACTCCCTACACTAGTTGCGGGGGCGTTATTGATGAGTCTTTGTGAGGGTGAGAAATAAAAATGTTAATTTTAAATGCCCAGTGAAGCGGACGGGTACAGCTAGCTAGTCTTTTCTACTGTTTAGAGCTAATGCTTTGGACAACGTTTCCAAAGATTCTAAATATAAATGATTAGTATATTTATATATAGTAAGTCAAAATATAATAAACTGTTACGAGTGATAGTTTATTACATATTGTCTACTTAATTTGCGTTTTATATTTGACATACTTTATGTCTGTTTTCCCTTAAGCCGAAAAAAGAATTGAAAGCCTAATCGTTAATATCTCTTATGCATAATAAAACGTACAATACATAATAATCAAATGTCATTATTCATTTCAGCTTTCGTGTACCTCGCTCAAGACTAGCTATAATTTAAGTGCCGCTTAAACTATTATTTGAGCTATCAAGAGTAACGTTAGTTTTCGCGGTTATTAATTAAAATGTTTTGTTACATACTCATTATGCGGATTTAGACCAGCTAAGCTAATTCATTTGTTACGCTGACACGCCTACATTTTGAAATAAATAATCTTTAGAAATTAGTAAAGTGTTATTGTATAATTAATATGTTATGTTAATTGAAGTCGTCGTGGCCTAAAAGATAAGACATCCGGTGCATTCGTGTTGAAGCGATGCACCGGTGTTCGAATCCCGCAGGCGGGTACCAATTTTTCTAATGAAATACGTACTCAACAAATGTTCACGATTGACTTCCACGGTGAAGGAATAACATCGTGTAATAAAAGTGAAACCCGCAAAATTATAATTTGCGTAATTACTGGTGATAGGACCTCTTGTGAGTCCGCGCGGGTAGGTACCACCGCTCTGCCTATTTCTGCCGTGAAGCAGTAATGCGTTTCGGTTTGAAGGGTGGGGCAGCCGTTGTAACTATACTGAGACCTTAGAACTTAAATCTCAAGGTGGGTGGCGCATTTACGTCGTAGATGTCTATGGGCTCCAGTGACCACTTAACACCAGGTGGGCTGTGAGCTCGTCCACCCATCTAAGTAATAATTAAAAAAATAATTAAAATGTATAATTAAGCAGTGTGTTCAATTATACATTTTAATCAAAATAAAGTTCGAACGAGGCTTTCAACTTTAGAATGTTAAAATCTATACGCCTGCAATTTCAATAAAAAAATATATTACATATATTATATACAATAATACAAATGTATTATTGTATGTAATATATGTGTATTGTAAATACGCAGTTTGAATTATTCAAATGTTCTGAGAACAAATTTGATCAAATTATTTTTTGTCTTTTCCCTAAGATCCTCATACTTTTAGAGTACAAATTTAAAAAAGTGCCTAATGTGTTTCACATCGTAAACTAGATATTTAAGATATTTATTTATATTGTATTTAAAATTTACGCCGATATTCTCGAATCGTAGTTAGTTAATACGCATTATTTGCAAATGTCATTAAAACTACCGTGAATCTGGCAAGTATGAATTGTGTGTACCTATCATTAATCATAGATAAATAGGTTTTCGATGATAGATTGATAGTTTCGCTAATGAATATCGTTCGTCGATAAATTATTGTAAGTAATACAAGAGCCAAAGGACAATTTTTTTATTCCATCGTAATTAAAAAGTTATTTTTAAATCAAATTGTATAAGTTTCATTAAAAAAAAATATACTGCATCATTCTGATTTGTTGTTCAGTAACTAACTAAATACGTAACAAACTAATGACTAATGAAGATTAGAAATCGATGTAATTAGTTTATGATAGATAGGGCGTTTTGTATACCGTACGGGTTAGTTACCACCCATTGTCGGCTTCAAAGTTGGGTACAGTCATAGTACAATTAGATATAGACTTCGACTTCAACATAGCAACTTGAATAATTGTGATGTCTATATGCTTCGCTAACCACTTGATTCCAGGACCATAAATTCATTTACCCGTTTCGCTATATAAAAAACAATATATTTTTTTTATTGCTTAGATGGGTGGACGAGCTCACAGCCCACCTGGTGTTAAGTGGTTACTGGAGCCCATGGACCTTGCAGATATAAGTTGTAAGGTCTCGGTATAGTTACAACGGCTGCCCCACCCTTCAAACCGAAACGCATTACTGCTTCACGGCAGAAATAGGCAGGGCGGTGGTACCTACCCGCGCGGACTCACAAGAGGTCCTACCACCAGACCAATTATATCGACAAACCATGTATGAATGTAATAGTCATTTAAGATACGAACTATTTAAATAAGAAACTGATATGCATATCAATGCTATAATCTAACGCGTGTATCGATAAAATACAGAACTTTTAATTTAATTTTGCATATGTAATTTACTAAAAGCTAGTTAATTAAATTGACATCCTGTCTACAACCTTAGAATTCAACACTCACGCATTTTTAATTCAAGTAATAATTATGCAGAAAATACTATGTCAAGTAGATACTTAACTACATTTGGACTAGGAGAAGAATTTGAAACTACATTATACTAAACTACAAATCATTTGTCTAACAATTTAATTGATGCAAATCTTATACAGTTGCCTCAATACCGAATCAAGGCCGTGTTACATTCACTACAGTTTAAGGGAAGTTCAACTAAGGCACATTACGGACAATGGTACAACTATTGATATCAAACAACTCCGACATAATCAAAACTGAATATTATTTACCAACTATTTATGATCTAAGAAGGATAGGTTCTTTTTTTTTTAATTAACTTTATTACATTAGATTAAAAAGTGAACGCAAAGTCACCTTGCACAAAAATAGATTAATATTAAAATTATTCCGGAAACACGCAATGTTATTAATAAAAACATCTAAGGTATTTAACAACAACAATAAAAATGATTCGTTAATTAGTTCTTTTGATGTTTACTTGTTGAATAAATAATGGACATACAGCAATAGTCCTACAACTGAAAATGTAACATTCCAACACAAACCAGTATTGAAAATTGCCCAAGAACCGCTACTACTAGTCACGTTATTTAATATATTATTACATTCATTAATTATAAAATTAGATTAACAATGACAGATATTCATAGATTTAAAACACACTAGAGGTCCCGCAGTAGTCGAAATTCGACTATAATTAATTGTAATTGTAAGTTTGTACATTATTATGATTGTATTTTATACTTCTATAATCACAAATTTCACCACACTATAAAAATATTATCAAAGACAAACAATATTTAATTTATTCTCAATTTGACAACAGACGTCAAGAACAAAAGTTTGACAATAAATAGTATGCATGCGTGTGTGTGTCAAATACATGGTATGTAGTGTGTGTAATGTTTTCTTTATTGATTTAATGTATTTTTTATGCATTATTTTAAAAATATATTAGCTTTGTGCACTTCTTCTCTATATTCTCTATAAGTGTGGAAAATTTCACACTCCTCGGTCCGCGCTATTTTCGTAAAAAAGGATACAAAGTTTTTTCTTCACGTATTAATATATAGATCATACTCACATTATCTCCTACTATTAATTGTAATAGCTTTTTTTAAACAATGTATTGATTGGTGTCTGTTATTGACTTAAATGCAGTCATATGATATATAATGTGATATATAATATGATTTAATAGATAATGTATGTCTCACTGTTTACATTAGAAGTTACATGTATGCGACGTCGACTGCTCGGACGACCACTCTTAATTTCCCATCATCAATTTGTGCTAATGATGTTCTCTCCTAATCTTCCCCCTAAACACCCCTCTAAATGTTACGTGTTATGAAGCCTTATAGACTCGTACCGCGTTTATACAG